AGTCGCTTGCTTTCACACAATGTTTCCAACTGCCGAACCGACAAATGGAAACTGTTCCATCAATGCACCAGTCCCGTCTCCCTTTCATCGCATGCCGATGCAGCGAGACCTTAGACGTACTGTTGGGAATTTCAGATACGGGCTCCAAGCGCAAACGCCAAACGTCAAAGAGGCGTAGCTGTGGCCTTCGAAGTTGTATATACTCACGCTGTTTTGCCTCTTGACAACTTCACAGCCATATCTCAAGTCACGCGAGCGAGTATTATTTTTTTGAATTAAAACTTTGTTTTTTTTTCTGTAGTAAGAATTCTCTCGAACGAATTTATCGTTCACCGGCCTAGTCAATCATGACGGGTTCTATGCTGAAAGTAAGAAAAGTAAAAAGAAAGAAAGAAAAAGGGAGGTTGCGTAAACCTCCTGAGCGCGTAGTGGGCATGCGGGATGGGCATGACCGCGCCGAGAAACTTATACTCGTACGTATATATCCTGTGTTATTTTTTGGGGCTTTTTGTTTTGCGCTCACGTAACGCCGCTCTACCATATAAACGGTGCCGCCAGTATCAGGCGACGATTAATTTACTCCTCATTCACGCGCCACTGTTTCGTCTCCTCCCTTTTCGTGCGCAATCGACTCACGAGGTTCTTCGCGAATCGAATTATCTCGGGAGACTCCTCTCCTGGTGTTGCTGTCAAAGTCGTCGCTGTCACGACGTCTGCGGTCCGCCGGTGACCAGTTGGCTGCGATACCGGCAGCCACAATACCCGCCATAACAGTCGGGGCGCCGAGGGCCGAGTTGGACCGACTGCGCGAGCTGTAGGAGCGCTTGCGAGAGTTGGATGTCGCGGCGGCCATTGAGCCGAAACTGTCCTCTCGTGTAGGCGTCGTCGGCGTCTTGATGGAGTTGCTGCGCGAGTGTGACGGGCTGCGCGAGCGTGAGAATGTTTCGCGGGGGTGTTGTACCGCAAATTTGAGGTTGTTCAAGCGTCCTCCTTTCATCCTCTTGATGAACGCCAGCTCATTGCGGACATCCGAAAGTGGCGCCGGGTACATTTCGAAGTGCTCCTCGTCCGACACGGTAAGACCAGGGACAGTGTTCTTGGCACGGCGCTTGAGGTAGTCGGGAACAAGGCGCTCGATGAGAGTGTCGGGAATGAGTCGAATGATGACACCAAATGGAATTGAGATGAGTCCCAGAATGATGGCTAGGACCCACTGCGTGCCGGTCTGGCCCTCGGAAGCGATCTGGAAGGCTGCACCGCCAACGAAGACGATGAGAACCTGTCCTCCAATCATGATGGCACTAATTCCGATGAAGAAATAGTTCTTTGTTAGTCCTTCGAAAATATTGAAGTTGTTATCCAAGCGACGGTTGCTGCGATTGGTTAGTTCCATAGAAAACCAGCATGTTGCGGATTGATATACTTACTTCCACTGGTTAAAGATCTGCATCCATACGAAGGTGTTAAAGACCAACGTGGCGATCTGGTCATCAGGGACATGCTGGGGGCCAGGAACAATCGCATCCTTTCCGTAAAAAAGCATGAAGGTAATCGCAAGTTGGTAAACCGCCTGCCCGAGGATCATCTTCCACATGGTTGTAGTGATGATTGACGAGTCACGCCTCTCGGGCTTCCTGTCGAGGACGCTGTCTTGAGGGGGGTCGGTGGCGAGGGCGAGGGCAGCAAGAGTGTCCATGATCAAATTGACCCAGAGCAGTTGCACCGCAGTCAGTACTGAAGTGCTGCTAACCGCAGTAACGAAGGTGAGAATGACAGCAGTGATGTTGACGGTGAGCTGGAACTGGAGAAAACGCTTGACGGCATCGTTGACGGCACGACCCCACTTCAAGGCCTTCACAATGGAGTTGAAGTTGTCGTCCATGAGAATGATAGAGGATGCTTCCTTGGCAACCTCGGTGCCAGCAATACCCATGGAGAAGCCGACGTCAGCCGTCTTGAGCGCGGGAGCATCATTGGTTCCATCTCCGGTTACAGCGACAATGTCGCCTAGGGCCTTGAGGCGCTTCACCAAAATACGCTTGTCCTCGGGGCTAGAGCGAGCAAGAACGCAAAGCCGTGGGATGATAGCTTCTTGCTCCGACTTGGTCAAGTTGCGGAATTCGGGGCCTTCCATGACGAGACCGTTGGGCTGCAGGATACCACACTCCTTAGCGATGGCCTCGGCTGTGAGTTTGTTGTCTCCGGTAACCATGCGAACCATGACACCCGCCTTCTGGCAAAGCCTGACGGCCTCGGGAACTCCCTCGCGCAAGGGGTCCTGGATACCGACCATGCCGACAAAGACCATAGTCCGGAACATAAAATCGAAATCAACGTTCTCGCCTCCATCAACGCGGCGGGCGTTGCGAGGGGGCCACTGCTCGAAGTCCCTGTAGGCAAGGCCGATGGTTCGGAGCGACCGAGAAGCGTAGGTGTTGATGAGAGTATTTATCGTCTGGAAGTTGGCCTCAGTCATTTCCGTGAGCGTAGCGTCCTGGGACGGGTCCCGGAAGATCTCGGTGCACTTTCCGAGAACAATCTCGGAAGCACCCTTGACATAGACTCTTGCGCGACCATCCGGAAGTTGAACAACGATGCCCATACACTTGCGGCCAGAATCGAAGGGGATAAGTTGGAGGATCTTGGCGTTCTCGCGTTCCTCAGCGACGGGGTGCATGCCGAGGTAGTCACGAGCCAACAGGAGCAAGGCCGTCTCGGTCTTCGATCCAACGTATGTCTTCTCACCATCGACCTCACCCTCGAACGCCGTCGAGTTGAGCGAGATGGACTTGACGAGAATCTCCTTGACCGGCGCGCTGAGCATCTTGGCGAATTCGGCGATTGAGATGTCAGCAGCGCCGTCCAGCGCGGCGTTGGCATCGCCGTCAGAGCTGGAAGGTCGCTGGCCACCAAAACGATGAGTGGTGCCGATTGTGCCAGCAACGACCTGCATCTTGTTTTGCGTCAGGGTTCCCGTCTTGTCCGAGCAAATGGTGTTGGCGTTGCCCATGACCTCGCAAGCCTTCAGGTGTCTGACGAGGTTTTGGTCCCTCAGCATGCGTCTCGTTGCGAACGACAGGGCCAGTGTGACAGCGAGAGGAAGACCTTCCGGTACGGCCACGACAATAATGGTGACAACGGTGATAACGATGTTGATGAAGTCCTGTCCCTTCTGGGCCGGAGTGACGGAGGCCGGCTGCTTCGGAAGCTTGACCAGGAATTCGATGAACAACACGACAAAGAGCAAGAGACCTGCAGCACCTCCGAGTTTGGCGATGTATTCGGCAATGTTGTTGAGCTTCGACTGCAGCGGTGTAACCTCGGGATCCTCATCCAGAGCCATAAGAGTCTTTCCGAAAGATGAGTGAATACCGGTTGAGGTGACCATGAAAGTGCCGACGCCCTCCATGATTCTAGCACCGGACTGGATGAAAGGGTCGAGCTTCCTGGGGTCGTCACCGTTCTGGATGGCGTTGAAAACCTCCTCGCCGTTCCGCTTCTTGATGATATCCGACTCCCCGGTAGCCTGGGACTCGTCACACTTGACGTTGAAGCCCTCGATGAGAATTCCGTCGACGGGGACGAGATCACCCGGTTCGAGATGAATGACATCGCCAGCCAAGAGATCATGTACAGAAAGTTCGATGGTCTTGCCCGAGCGTACAACCTTGACATTACGGTCCTTCTTCCTCTTGTTCAATTTGGCAAATTGCCTTTCCTTGCTGTAGTCGTTGAGGGAGCCCACGATGACGACGATGGCAATGGCGACGACGATAGCAACGCCCTCGACCCACTCGACCCTTGGCTCGTCGGGTGCGTGCGGCAAGCCCACTGTTTGGTAGATGCCGATGGCCAATGAAACAACTGCAGCAGCGGTCAAGAGCATGAGGACCTTATCTTGGTAGGTGATCCACATGAGCTCCAGGAGAGTCTTGCCCTTCTTCTCAGGGATTCGGTTATCTCGAAAAACGCGCTTCCTGTCAGAGAAGCCACCATCGCCGCGCTTGCTCTCATGATCAGTGCTCTGCCTCGGGGGCGTCGCCGGTATCTGGCTCTCTTTGAAATCACCAGAAGAGCGGGTGTGGCTCGTGGCCTCGCTGAATGAGACTTGTCCGTCAAGATGTGCCTCGTCCAAGCTCAAACCCGCCTTGCGATCAGTCCGGAGACCCTTTTCGATACCAGTCAAGCCTCCAAGCGCATAGTACGCAGCAAGACTTTTTGGGTTGAACATCTTGTTGAGCTGGCCGGGGGTGAAGGCGAATGGGTTGTTTCCCACCTCAAAGTCGCCCTCGCTACCCTTGTCGGGTTGCAGAGCGGCCTCGTCGTTCATAATCTTGTCGTTGGACATGGGACTGGGCTTCATGGTCTTCTCAGTCGACTGGCTCAAGACGGCGATAGTCTCGCCCTGAGAGGACATGTCGTCGGAGTCGATCGAGTTCTGTCGGGAGCGCAAGTTGCTGGGCACGGCAAGGAAAGCGCGGTCATTTCCTCTCAAAGTCGCAACTGGACTTGATACGTTGTGCGGGCTCTGGGGTCTGCTGCTGTCCTTGATATCAAAAGACGTGTCGGCACGAAGCTTCGGCTTTGGGGGCTTCTCCTGGGACCGCGACCACGGGGCGGCAGCGCCTTCGGGTACGGTCGTTGGGCTGACTCCTTCATCCCGGGTGGGGATGGGTGAGATGGACGCTTCATTCGGGGGATCCTGTGCCATGGTCGGTGCGGCATTCGTGTTATCAGCACCGATGGCAGAGGGATCTATGGTGATTGTTGGACTGGAAAGAAGAATGTCAGTTCTATACTTGGTTGGTGAGAGGGTGGTGAGGCGACAAAAGCCATGACGCGCAAACGTACGCTCGATTCCTCCGTGGCGGCGCAGGGCCATCCTGAGGGGCGGAATTGGGATCCATGGCTCTGGATCAACCGCAACACAGCCGGGTTGGTGCGGCGTCGTCTGATGATGAAGCAAGGTGAACAGAGGCTGCCAGTGTGGTGAATAGATTAGGTAAGGTGAGGCTGTGCCTGTCGGTACAATGGAAGAGGCAGCCGGGAGGCAAAAAGAGCGATCAAAGTTGAGTGAGCCAGCTAGCTATATTCCGTGATGGGTAATAATCCCGCGTCCTTGGTGTAATTAGCGAAACCGACGTGGGCGTCTCGTGTTGTTATTAAGCATAAAAAGGAGCGGTATGGCGGGTTGTATTAGGAAGAGCGCACCGGCGCGTGTGATGATGAGACGAGGTCCAAGTCGTTGCTGCTCGTCGTCGGCGGCGGCGGGTAGAGTATCGACTGGTATCGGCGGGGAGTAAGGAATATTGAGATAGGCTGGCCGGTTGAACGCAGATATGGTCTCCTCTCAGGCGCAATGTCCTTGTCTCAACATGGCGGCAGGCGAAGCAGAGCAAAGCACAGCGCGAGCGGAGAAAAGAAGAAAGGTAGGTAGGTGGGAAGGCACGTTGGCTGGAGAGATGGGACGTGAGGTTCGTTTCAATTTCCAGGCGACTCCAGTAACAAGGGGGAAAAAAAAAAAGCCAAGGCTGGCGAGAGAAGGAAGAGCTCGAGACAAGCAATTGGCAGAGAGACAAGACATGGGAAGAGAGAGACAGGATGAGAGGAGCATTTGCCCCCCTTGTCAGGTCCCCCGTCTTCCAGAAAGAAGGGCGGTTGTGCTCATAACGATGGACTGATTTGATTGTATGCATAGTTGTATGTGCCGCTATAGGAGTGATGGTTTGGATCTTGCACATGTGGTGCCAAGAATTGAGGCAGTGCAAAGAAGTACACCTGATTGGCCAGAGAAAGGTCCCAAGCAGGGGTCGGCCGGTGTGCTTCGCACTACGTAGTAGGGGCGCTACTACTCTATGTGTCTATGGTTTAGCGTCATGTCCCTGCCTGCTGGAAGGGTTCCTACCTAGTAATGTAGCTGCTTACCTACACTGGGTAAGTGTAGAAGAAAGAAGCTCGTCTTGGCCGGGTAGACCCAAGTATCCCCGCGCCTCTTGGCCAAGTCAAGTACATCCCTCTACTTGGCGAGGGTAGTCTGGAGGATCCATTGCTGTGGCTGGCTCTGTGTGGGGTCTTTCCATCTCACACAGTACGTTGCCAAGGCGTACATGTACGTTTTTCGCTTCCCTTTTCTTCTTCTGCTTCATCTTCTTCTGCTTCATCTTCTTCCCCTTCTTTGTCTCCTCTCTTCATTAACAAACTGTGGATCAGCTGAATTCCTCTATCTAAACTGCTACCTACCTTTACTCGCGGGAGGTCGGTGCGTACCTTTCCGACCAACGCATGAACGACCGAGCCAAAATGACTGCCTCTGAGGGGGGCCATTTCTGCATCCGTACCCGCTGCCGCTGCCGCTGCTAACATTGCATTGCATGCCATGGCAGACGCGTATCTGGACACCCAGGTGGTCGGGCTATCTCTTCTGCTGGCTTTATGATTCGTAACCAAGGTGAACTTGTTGATCTAGGGTTCTAGCCTTGGAACATCAGGGCATGATGCAAGACGAAAAATGCAATGCGGCGAAGACTGTGTGTGCCATTACTCACGTCTCACGCCCCTTCATATCAAATCCGACCTATATTCTCCGGCCAAGTCCACCGCCAGAGCTACCTCAAACGTGAGATGCACGTTTTTCTGTTTCCTCTCGCTTATAACTCCGCCGCTGCCTGCGAGCTTGTTTCTCATGTTTCTTTGTTGCTGGGTGCACCTTTGTACGCTTCACTGTACTGCATGCCTCACCAACGACCCTTATTCCTCGAGGCTGAGCGGCAGGTTGACTCCCGACGCCCAATTGCTGCCGGCCTGTTTACCTTGTCTGCACTCGGAGGAATCTACCTGATAGTTTCTCTCTCACACATTCATTCATCCTCTCTTTCTTTCATGGAAAGATCTAAAACATTGGCCAGCCTGGCACGTCTTGGCTGTTACCTACTCTACTACTAGCACCTCACGGATAAGCAATAATAGCCTATGGGCTAAGGCTAGCGCTCACGATCGGATGGTGCCTCTTTTTGTCCCTCCACAGAGCGAGTCAAGCCGTTTCGATACCATCCACGCCTGGCGGTATATGAAGACTCGGTTGATTCGCCAACCACCCCAAGTCTGAGCATACCTACAACAGCATCATGGGAACCTTAGAATCCGAAACGCCTACCCCTACAGTGCGGTAAGATGCAGTTGATCAGGCTAGATGCCCGATGGCAGGTTTACATTGATGAGGCGACGGGCCCACAATCGACAACCAGAAGACCGTTTCGCATTAAAAAAGCTTCGACAATCCCAATAATCAACTGCTATGTATCCGTATGTCGCTGTGTAAGCCATCTATTCCCTTCCATCTGCCTGTCACGCGTCCGCCAGCTTGGCCTTTCCGACGGTCGTCGTCTCCAAGGTTGTTCCATGTAACCTTGAAGCAGGCGTTCGCGCGCTTTCCCTTTCTTTCATACACTTTTCTCGTGTCGCATCTGCAGTCTTGGGTTATTGTGCCTTGCCGGCTGTCAGGTCTGTCTGGTCCGGGGAGCCGGGGATCAAGGGCTGACCTTGCCGCAAGGGTATGCCCAGTCGGCTGGCTTCAGACCGTCGCACCTCGTGAAAGCCATATTTCGGTGATGAGATGCTGCCACGCACACCACCTCTTCCTACGTACGCTTGGCTTATTCTTTTACACGAACAGCACTTGACGGTGTGCCTCGGGCGAAGTGCTCTGTACCACTTGTGATCAAGCATTGGAAGACCGACGCGCCAATAACGGCGCATGGAGGCGACAGAAGCGCGTGGTGGCTTGCCCGATTCTGGCAGGTCGCAGCGGTTTAGGTTTGATACAAGCAATATTTGCAAAACTCATCCCGTCCGAGTACGCCCTACCCAGACGCCAAGATAATCATCACGCCAACCAACGGCCACTCGATGGGGCTTTTTGAAGTGCTTTCGGGCCTGCACGGCCGGTCTTTTGCACATCTCATCTCAGCTACTAATAAACAAGGGCCCGGGTCGGTCTACGCGACACAATGCTCGCTCGGTCGCCTCGTCTGCGTGCCATTTTCCGCGAGCTTTAGGAAGTTGCAGAGTTGCATCTGCTATTGCAAGGTCGCCTGTGAAGTGGGACACCATCTCGAACGACGCGACAGTGGTAAACGACGCGCACGGAACAGCAGAGGGCGCTGCGGTCGGAGTATAGACAGAGTTCCGGCCAACATTCATGCATCATGACGACGCCAGTCGATCACATTTCGCAGCTCTCATGATGGACTGCCTACCCCTCATATCCGAGCAAGGAAGCGCAGCTTACTGCATCTGTACCTCTCATCAATGACGGTTACAGGTCTGCCTTGTCGCGTCCATCTACACCATCATGCACCTGCCGCCTATTGCGGCTCTTGTCCATCAGAGCACCCCCGCCGAGCCGAGCAACACCGTGGGCAAGCCCGCACACCCCCAGAGGATCGTGCTCACGGCGGCAAGTGGGTGAGCAGTCGGGCAAAGCTATGCACCTTGTGCCATGGGCCTCCTTTCGGTTCGATGCCGTATCCGACGACGAAACGCGAAGGGAGAGGTGAGGGGATGCAGTAACCAGACAGTGAGAGAGGGACTTGACGAGGGAACAACCCACATAATCCCATCGCACCATCCACAGTTGACCACCAAGATCAAGAGACGACCGCTTGGCATTCGGTAACGAGCTTTGCCAAGACGTCTCTACCAAATTGCGATGATGGTGGCCAACCTGTTGGAATAGGACGAACGGTGTCGAACGTTCTCCCTTTTTGTTCTTCTTTTCTTCTTCTTTTTCTTCGCCATCTTTTCCTTTCCCTTTCCTTGTCTTCCAACCGCCGAATCAGTCCCAAGGTTGCAAATCGCTCAAAAAGGTCCAGCGCAATTTTGCAATGCATTTTGTTTGGTTTGGAGCTTGTCCATAACCCCGTCGCTGGAATGGCGGGGATCCACTACTTGGTTTCGTTACCAATATGAGAGGCGTCGGAGACTTTACCCAATCGGACAGGCAGAAAGCATATCCGTGGGAAACGAGCAAGGGACCGGCACCACGGAGGATGGAGAGAGTGAGAGGGAGTCTAGAATCCAGGCCTTTGTGACAACTCCACACCACTGACTCCTGCGAATACCTCACCTTGTCGGTTTGTTGTCAGAGCTTGCTGGCATGCTGGAGCGGTAGGCAAAATTGCCCCCCTGTCTTCGGTCGGCCGATCTGTGCGCCCAAGATGCCCGGTCTCCTTTCTTCCTGTCGATTAATTCGAACGGTTTGACTCGCTAGCAAGGGGGGCTTGTTGCTCTGCATACAGAGTAGTCGTAGGTACTCATTCCGGTACTTGCTTTATAGGCTACCCTCGCCGACAATCGACGGGAGGGAGAACGATGCGCATCCCTGCTTATCCACAGTCTTTGCTTGCGTGGCGCCTTTCCGTTGTCTATAGGTTGTGGGCAAGCCATAGCTGGTCTCGACAGCCTGCGGGCCATATCTTGTGTATGTTGGACATGACTGCCGTTCAAGGTTCAGCGCCTCTAAAAAGCTCAGAGACCAAGTCGCAGATTTTATCCAACCATCCAGATATCCTTGTCCTTGTTCCAATCTAGCTGATTACGGCGGCCTTGTCAGCGGCTCGCCCGGTTGTCTCAACCATCCGAGAGCCGACGAAACATCATCGATAGCTTGCCGTCATGCACCGTCCGCAAGCCGCCCTGAGGCTTCTTCACCTCCGCATCTGCCCCACACTCAATATCAACTCATTCCAAGCTAGTCTAAACCCAATGGCAAGTCAAACGCGAAATGGCCTGGAAGTCTATCGACTCTCGTCTGAAAGCCATTACTCGCCAACTTAACGCCGGAGGTGACGAACTAACCCAAAGAATCCAATTTGACGGAACCGAAAAGAAGCCCATGAACCTGTCAAGTTTGACCAACGACATCGGATCCTAGCCTATCTCTCCTCCAGCACCACCTCATCAACCTCGCGGTCCGAGACATTCAGCTCGACCTGATTCTCCCCGCACTCCCAGTGTCATTAACCCAGACTGCCCAAAGTACAGCGGGTACCGCCTTTCGAGGGATGGGGAGCAACGCAAAGGATGAAGAAGAACCCGTCCACATCTCACCACTCATGTTCCGTAATTGGCCACCAGAACGATTCTGCCGCTGAACTGTTGAATCAGCCAACCAACCGGCTCGCACACCGTGACGGACCACGCAGATCGAATGGGGCTGAGCAGCTTCGGAAACTCTCTTGCAACCAATACGACCACCATCGCCTAGCTGATGAGACAGGGAACGGCGGGCTGAGTGGCAACCCTCAAGTGCTTTTCACCGAAGAAACCCCACCTTCTGCCGCGGACCGCGCCCGCAGTGTCGGCCCCCCCTCCATGCGATTGGATATACTTTTTGCCGTGTGAGGTCATTGATCAACGATTCGGTCTGTCTTTCCACACTGATAACGGGTTGGTCTGCAACCACCTTGAAGCGATGCGGTTACCGGTACGTTGCCCTCATCAGGGAAGGCAACTCAAGCCCGCCATTGAGGCTGTGCATCGCCCCCGCGATCATGTTTCATTGCGGAAACAACCACATCGACCAACGACCTGCCTAGGCCGGTATCGACTGCTGACGACAACTGCCGTTAAAACCCCGATGGACTCCGAGGGTCGAGTCAAGCCTTGGGGCCCTAATCGTCGTTGTGCTAGGGGCGCAACGTGACTAACCGCTTCTCTCAAAGTCTAGAAGAAATGCCATGGCTGCCAAGCTTCCAATGGAATCAATTCCGAACTTCTTGGAAGGGAAAAGGGCATCTGAACAACCGGCGCACATAGAAACCACCCTGCAACCGCATAGAGTTAATAAGTACAAGATAGGCTCGGCCAGTAGCAAAAGCCTGCTCATCTTTGAGAAAACGAGTATGCGAGGAATAGAGAGTGAGAGAGAGAGAGAGAGAGAGAGAGAGAGAGAGAGAGAGAGAGAGAGAGAGAGAGAGAGAGAGAGAGAGAGAGAGAGAGAGAGAGAGAGAGAGAGAGAGAGAGAGAGAGAGAGTGTGTGTGTGTGTGTGTGTGTGTGTGTGTGTGTGCCTGTGTGTGTTCTTTGCAAGACCTTTCTTGGCAAGCGCTTGGCAAGCGTTGTATACTGTACTGCAGGCCTGGCCCCCAAGACGCTGATGGATGCAGAGCGCAGAAAAAAAGGAAGCTAAGGTTTCTTAGTTCCCGTCCTCTTGGCAGCCCCTGGAGGGCGTGGTACCTAATCGACTGGGCCAGAGATCGTTGTGTCTTGGCGATTTGCAACATCACGCGACAATTCTCCGACGACGACGGCGACAGCAGCGGCGGCGATGATGCAGGGACTAGAGATATTTCGGAGTCGCGGACGAGAAAACGAATGTGATACTGTGGGGAGCTTGATCTGCCTTGCCATGCCAAGAACCATGTCATGCCGGTTGGTGTTTCTGCCTCATAATAGCATTGTGAATAAGTGTCTTTCTAATGCGCAACTCCCAATATGCCTTTCTAACCTCTTTTTTTTCATAACGCGTGCTTTTCTTTCTGTGAGTGAACCTTGCCACAGCCCTCAACTCGTCGACTCGCAAGGTCGAGCCAAAGGAGGCCTCCTCCTTCCATCCCGTCGTTGCCTCTCTCACCGCCTCCCCAGTTCAACCCGTCGGACGCGGACCATGTCACCAGACGCATTACCCTCGGCCTCAACGCCAAAGAATCCGCCGACAGCCGTCCTGAGCGTCTCCTCCCAGAACCCGCTGACGACCCCCTTCAGGTCCCCGCCTGTCTGCTTGAAGTCTGGGAATGAGTTCACCTCGAGCAGCCACGGCCTTGCCTCGGCGTCCACCAAGAAGTCCAAGCCGAACACCTCGAATGCGTTGCCCAGCGGCTGGAAATGGATCGTCATCTCCCTGGCGGCGGCCCCAAAGATCTCCCCCGTGACGTCGCAGATGCGCGCAAAGACGCCCTCGGCCGTCTCCGCGGGTAGGGCCCCCGACGAGACGAGATCCCAGAACTGCTTCACGGCCGGCAGGGCGGGGTCCTCCTGCCCGCCCTGAAGGCAGGTGTTCGTCAGGTGCCCGTCGAGGTCCGCGTCCTCCCACGGCGCACGGTAGGTCTTTCCGGCGAACAGCGCCAGCATCGGCCGGTAGACGTAGACGTCGAGACTGCCGACGCAGAGGACGTATGTGCGGATGTGGAACTTGCGCGCGTCGCCCGGCAGGAGCAATGGCGGGTGGATGTAGGGCTGGGCAATGAAGTGGCGGAGGTGCGAGGTCGTGATGTAGTCTCCCTTTGCGCTCTGGTCCATTGCCCCCGCCTCCGCTCCTTCGTCTTCGTCGTCGCTGTCTGGCCTCTCCTCTTCCCACTCGTCAAAGATGCCCTGCAGTTCCTCCATCGAGCTGAACAGCCGGATCCCCTGCCCACGATCGCTCATCCCCGGCTTTAAGATCCACCACTCCCTCTTGTCCTCCTCCTCGATGCTCTCGTTTCTGTCCATGCTCTCTCGCAGGTCAAACGCCTCGACGAGCGCGTCGTCTAGGAACTCGGCGTAGTCGACCTCAAAGTGGTCCCCTCGCTTGACATGGGTTTTCAAGGAAGAATCAGGGTGCTTCGCGACCCAGTGGTCCACAGTTGACGACAGATAGTGCTTCCGGATGAGCGCCTTGCGAATGATGTAACTATTCACGAGGGTCGTGGACGGATGCGAGGCAACGTGGTCAAAGTCGAGGGATTCGTACTGCGCGATGTGTAGAATTTTGGTGTCTGGGGTCGGGATTGCTGCCCCAAGGGTGGATTCAGAGGGTACCGGGAGGAAGCAGTAGGCGTCCGGGAAGAGGCGCTCCATGGCCTTGAGGATTAGGGGCTGGACGTACGGATCCTCATAGTTGATAACGGCGTGGAACTTTGGATCCGGAACGGCATTGGTTGACTGTTCTGGAACCACGGTGGTGTTCCTCACGGGGAGGTTGGTCGAAGGCGCCGCCTGCTCCTCGGCAGACCCTTCAGTTTGATGATTGTCACTACAGACAAAAAGACGTAAGAAAATGCTTCCGTGATCTATTGGCTTCGGGGGGGGGAGAAACAAGTGATCGAGAGCGTAAGAGTACATGCCGAGACCGCCCGCTGCCCTCTAAATCCGTCTTGCTTGTTCTCTCTTGCCCCCCTGGTGCCGTGCTTTCGTGATTCATACTTTCGTGTAATAACGTCCTGACACCCTACCTTGCTTCTTTCGCCATGTCACGCTTTCAGAGGCACCGTGGTCGCCTGACCCCCTCCCTCGCTCCACGTATCATTGAACTCAAGGGCCCACTTACAGAATCAGCTCCTTCTGGTGTAGATGCTCAGAAGCATGCCAGAAATTGGCCTTCAGGGGCGTCACGCTGCGTTGATAAGTCAGTATGGAGCCTAAACGACGGCAAACTGCCCGTAGAAATGAGTCACATACCTCGTATAGCCCTCTTTGACGGCCCATCCATCGTTGCCAGGTGGCGCCTCCTCAACGCTCTGGTATACATCAGTGAACCTGGGCGCCCATTTGAAGTGCTTGTGTTTGTGTCCGCCGGCACTTCCGGTCTCGATCTTCCTCGTGTCGCCGCCCTGTGCCTCGCCGCCCGCTCCCTCACGGATCTTCTGCTCCTCTTCATCCTCGTCGCCAGCATCTCCATCAATCTCCTGGAAGCAGCTGCCGTCCCGCCAGTAGTTCTGCAGCATGTTGGTAAAGTACGTCTTGTGCGTCTCGACGCCCTCGACAAGCGGTACGTTGACGCTGTACAGATCCACCTCATCCCCGGCTGGCCACTGCTGATACAGCTTCTCAATGACCTTGACTGAGTGCCTTGCTGCACCCGCAATAATGACGGGATCGTGGTTCCGCGAGAAGAATGCATAGCTTAACGCAATGGCCCTGCGCTTACACACGGCAGCCTCGAGCGCGCCGCCCAGCGTGCCCGAGCTCAGTGCAAAGACGGCCGTCGTGTTGCGGCCGTAGTTGGGCCCGCTGAGCACAAGGTCGATGGGGCCGCGCTCCTGGAAGAAGTGGTGCAGGCCAATCTGCACGCATGAGGCTGGGGTGCCATCGACGAGAATCCACTCGTCTTGGGCACCATTGGCTGAGGGTCGCGTTGAGGTAATGCCCTCAGTACCGAAGAGGCCCTCTTTGGAAGGGCGGTAATACAGCGGCTTGACGGTCTGGCCGATCATGTGCGCCTTGCCGATCCAGGAGCGTTGGGTGTGCGGCAAACAGACGGAGACGACGTGGCCGGCTTGCTCGAGCTGGTGGACGAGGGAGTGGACGTAAGGGGAAGAGTGAGGCGACGGAGGGCCATCATCATTGGTGAGGAGGATATGCATGCTGACAGTTGTGGCGGTGCTGTTTATGAGTTGAGTTGATGCCTGTGAAGAGGGAGAGAAGAGGGTTAGAAATGTCCCGCGGCAAAAGATGAACTGGGTTTGGTCTTGGCGGTTTGGTCACGATGACCAGTAGACCTCGGGATGACACACGCCAAATAGTGGCGCTAAAGGGCGTCGGAAAGTGGCTGCTAGCAGCTTTATGATGGAGATGGTGAATCTCACTGATAGTGAGTCTTGAGTTAAGGTACCCAAGTGTTTGGTTGGGAGGAGCTCGACGTGGCAGAGACTCGGAGTGCAAAGTGGGATGAATGGAGGGGTTGCAATAGTGGGGCAAGTTGACATTTGTTGGACACGGGCGTTCCTGGCCCGCTCTCGGAGGAAACGGCGGCCAACGTTGGGCCTTCCCATAGCATTGAGTGGTCAGGTTGCCCTTGGGCCATCTCAGCCCAATGCTTTTGAATCATTGGAAATAGCTTCACCAGTCATTCATTAACACCTAACACAACGAAGGACACGGAACAAAGGGGATAGTGATAGGCATAGACTTCATTCTTGGTTGTCCTAGACTGTAGACCTCAAAGAGCCGGCCAAGGCGCTCTCACACCACACGCAAACTTAGGCCTTCGTACAGCTAAACCGTTCCTAATGCCCGTCCCCATCTGCGGAGTCCACGAGCGTTTTGCCCGTGATTCATGAATCCCCCCAACAAACCAAAGTCTACCCTAGTAAGAATAAGGCCCTCTGCTGACCCTAGCCCATGAAAGTAAAGTAACCATTACACAAAAGCCTATCAAGAATTGTACTTCCTCATCCCATAGCCCTGATTGAGAAGTAATGACCCGTACTCCAAATTGCCTGGATATACAAAGAACGACGCTCAAAACGACCTCGACCATCCGCATCAATTACGAGCCCGCTTGGTGGTAGGAACTGCTAGGTCGTCTCCCGCGCGTTTGCTAGACGAGCTCTCATGGCGGCTCTTGACCCGCGGCCAGTCGTCAAAGGGGCTCTGCCGGCCTTTACGCTTGATCGGGGTCGCTTCTTCAGACTTCAGGCCAGACCGAGTAGTACGTCTGGTATCGGGCGGCGTGGCAACTGTCAGGCCGAACTTGGGCGCTTGTGGGGTTGGCGGGCACTCGTTCTGGGTCCCAGCCGGGGTCTCTGAAGACTCCTCCGGCTCCTTCTCGTGCTCCTCGAGGTGATGATCTTCGATGTCTGTGACAGCCTCTTCTTCCTCGAGTGTGGAGCCAATAGCTGACGACTTGGACGCGACAGGGAACAACAGGCGCGGCTTAATCGAAGAGCGTGTGAGAGGCTTCCGAATGTGAGATTCGCCCGAACTGCTCTCTTCATCGTCCTCTTCGTCCTCCGGCTCGGCGAACTTGCGGAAAATCTTCTTTCCTCGACTGCGACGGTATTAGCAATGTTCCTGCTATAGAAGTTCATGGGTTAAGTTAAACTTACAAGACGTAGACCATGCCATCCTCACGCTGGAGCGCCTCATCGACAGGCTGGGCGGCTTCGCCAGGAACTGCGACCTTGCGTTTGCTACGGCGGCGAGGGGGCTCACGGTCAACGGCGGCACTATCGCCGTAGAACGGGTTGTCGATGCTCTTGTCGGGCTCGGGAATGCGTTCTTGCGAGTCGGTAAAAATCTCAATCTGCTGTTCAACTTCTGTGGCAGTGAAGCTCTCCAACGAGTTGCCGGAATACTTCTTGGGGGTTCGCTTTCTCTTCGAGGAAGCCAGTGCCTCGTCATCGGTCGGAAACAGATTGCGCGCTACTGACTTGATCTGGGCGGTCTGCTTCTCGGACGGCGCTTTCTTGGGTGTCTTGGCCGGGGTAGGCAGCATACCGGATCGGCGGGTGACGGACGTGCTGTTGGATGGACGGTCCATGCTGTCACTTCCGAGCAATGCAGCGGCGTGCGAACTGCTTGCGGCGGACAAGAAACCAGGCGCCCTCCGAACTGAGTCTTGAGCGGGCTGGCGCTTCTTCTGAGGGGTGGAGGCCGGCGACATGATGGCGGCGGCGGCGATGGAAGGTGCGACGGACTTGCGGGTTGACCTTGGAGGAGTGCGGTGGGATGGCGGCTGGGGAGAAGGAGTTCGGTTGGCAGCTCGACGGGATGAAATGCGCGCCGATTTGCGAGGAGAGTAGGGTTCCCAGTTGTCACTCCAGCCGTGTTTGGGCGTTGGTGGAGTTCGGATGGTAGGGGGAGGTGAAGGTGTTGATGCTGCAAATGTGGTCGCCATTATGGAGGAAAGGGCGGGCGGGCAGGCAGGCCAGGCCGGGTAGACTAGTACTGATGCACCGTCACTTCCTATTCAGTTTTCCTGTGATGCTTCAAGTGCGCACTCAATTCCGGGTCGGGTGGCGAATGCGCGGGATTGTTCTGATGTTGAGATGTGTTTGGTGATACAGATGAGGTGAGGGCGATAAAAGGATAAGGGGACTCTTTCAAGCCTCAGACTGAACTCAGGCGGTCAGAGTTCAGTAAGGGGAACAGACCTGATGATTTTGGATAATGATAGGAAGGCGCAAAGAGATAAAAAATGGAAGAGTTTGTGATGTCTCTGGTTGCTCTGGCTACAAGTGTTGTAAGTGAGATGTGGATGTGTGGAATGGAGTGATGTTCGCGATCATGGGGTGCAGCACTTAGGATGCAAAAGGAAATGGGCACAAAACGTGGGAGGAGGCTGGAGACTAGGTAGGAAATGTAGAGGCTGGGGAATTCTGGGTGAGGTGACCCGACGGTGAAGTGGGCAGGAGCCGAGTTCTCTGCAGCGCAGCGCACCAGCCCCAGCCCCCCTGTTTTGCACCTGCACCTTCCGCTCTAACACTGTCAAGCCTCAATTTTGCATTCAGATTAAGCGAGCCCCACTCCGTTTACCTACGCGTCGACCATGGTAATCAGGGGACGCGAATTTTCGCGTAGACCACAACAGGGTTGCAGTACCCGCCTCAGCCTACAGTAGGTACCCACCTAACACTACCCATGGCGGGGCCTGTCTGTCGGCCCCTCACAGGCGCATCCCACATTTTCCACCCAAACGGCCGACCTGGCGGCACCTCCAATCTGAACGTCTCAATCCATCAACAAATAACGTCACAGTCGTTCGTCCCCGCGCCGCGCCTCGTCACAACAGAGTCCAGGCGGGCCAGACCGCGTTCCGACAAAAATCACATCTACTCCCCATCCAAGTCTGGAACAATAACAACCAATTAAGGGATACCTCGGCCACAAGCTAAGGTGGCTGCTGCTGGACCCTGGTCGCCTTCCACACCATCATGGCCGACTACACCGACGATTCCCTCACCGAGGACATCTGGGCCTCGCCCGGCCCCAAGGACGAAGGTGCCCCTCCACCCGATCGGCCCAAGACCCCTAGAACACCAAGGACCCCTAAATCACCGCCAAAGACGCCGGCGAATCCGAACACCACTTATGACAAAGAGGCGGCGTTGCGCAAAGAGTTGGAGGGTGTGCGTAACATCAATGCTGCCATTGAGGGCATCATCACCACCCTCGAAAAGGCCAAAGGCAACATGAATGTTTGTCACTATGCCCAACACCCTTGCGTCTTGACCTCGGCAGCTGACCCATCTCTCGCAGACTGTTGGCAGTACTGTATCGAACGCATCCACCCTCCTCAACACCTGGACTCGCATCCTTTCGCAAACCGAGCATAACCAGCGACTCATTTTGAATCCCAATTGGCGTGGCGCAAGCAACGACCTTTTGGAAGTCGAGGCGGAGGCAGTCCAGAAGCAGCAGCTGGCCGAGAGACGAGCCGCCGAAGAAGAGAGGCGGCGCGAGGCTGCTCGTAGAAAGAGAGAGGAGGAAGAGGAGGAGCGACAGAGACAGGTGGCCGTCGGCAATGCGCCGCGTGGCCGAGGTGTCTCTCGCGGTCGGGCGCGTGGTTCCACTAGCACCACTCGCGGTCACGGCTACTCGAGTAGCACATCGAGGATCGGCAGAGGTGCGGCGAGCACTCGTGGTGCATATCGGGGACGGGTAAGAGGTACGGAGTAGACGGATGATATAGGTTGTTTGCTGTGAACGAGTACCGATACCCAACTATGCATTCAGGCGGTCGATCGGCCGCTGGCTACCTCGGCCTATTTCTTCTTGAAAAAGTCGCTCATCTTCTTCATGCCCTTGGTGTTGACTTTCTCCAAAGCCTTAACACCGCGGCTCTGAGAGGCCTTCTTCTTCTTCTCCTCCTCCATCTTGCGCTTCTTTTCGGCGCGGAGCTCTTCCTCTTCCTCATCAAGCATGCGCTTCCTAGAGTAGTCGGCCATGGACCGGGATGATGCAGCTTCGGCGCGAAGCTTGGTGAGCTGAGTCAAGTAGTCATCCAGCGGCGAGAAGTTGACACCTGACGTCTCCTTGTCTTCCAGAAGCTCTTTCAAATTCGCCGTCATTCCCGTCGCAATGTAGCTAGAGCAGATGAAACTGAAGGCAATCCTAAGCCTCTGGAGGCTTGTGACCTCGTCAGATGCGTAGATCGCGCTCGATACCGTTTCCTCCGCGACCTCGGTTGCAACAGAAGTAGCTGCTGTTGAAGCGTTCGAGACAGCTGTGGTTGTGCTGTCTTCTGTTGATACAGAGGACTGGGACTCTCCGGGTTCGTTCTTCGACGCGCGTGTACTCAATTCGTCAGTGATCGTCCCGGGAGCCTGCTTCACAGCTATGGCCTGCGATTTCTGTACTTGGATGGGCGCCTCCAGGGCTTTCTTGACGAACTTCTCCTCCATGCTGGCGGGAAGACCCTTGGAGCTCATGGAGCGTGCCTTTGAGAGAATCTCAAGGACAAGTTTCTTCTCGCTCAGCCGGTACATCTTCTCCTCGCCAGCGTCCACGGTATCGCTGATAGACTCCATTCGTGATTCGAGCAGGGCTCGGGTCTTGGGGCATCGAAGGGCTTCGGATAAGTGGGAGGACGACGTAGACAGCGCATCGAAATGGTCGTCGCTGGAAAGAAAGAGGCGCTTCATGTCTGGCGTTTTGGCGTTGGTAGGACCGAAGAGGCCGGGTACGAGCAAAAAGAGGGGGTCAAACGGCGTCGCAACAAAGAGGTCGGCGCCGTTGGTGACATGTGCTTCGAATCGCAATCCATCCTTGGGCCCCGTTCTCTCCAGGTTGCCAGCTGGTGTCTCGATTAGCCAGCTCCTGGGTGTTGTCTTCGGTGCCGCAATCTTTGTGAACTCATAGATGCCTGTGTCCGGGCAAAGGAGGTAGCGAGTCGGTTTTGAGTAGCGAGGGTTGGGCAAGGAGACTATACGAGCCTCCTTTGTGGCTTTGTAGGGAATAATGAATAGCTTCGGGGGACTCGACTCCTCCTCAGGCAGTGAGTATTTGGCCGCCAAGGAAGCGTTGGTGGCTTCGGTTTTGGCTGCCGGTGCAGACTTGGTAGATCTTGTTCTCGCCATGACTGGATGCAGTTGACCAAGTGAGCGACGCAGTCATTCAGTCAATGTAGTACTATACAAGAAAAATACCAATTGACCAAGATGTCTGGTTGAAGATGCAAAAATGCGCCGCGAAGCAGAAACCGGACGTACGAAGAAGGATTTGGCAGTGAACAAGCAAGCTTGCAGTCGTCGTGAAAGTATAACCGGCGGAACCGACGACGTGTGGTAAGACCCGTCGCAATTGGACCCTGCTGTGTTCAGGCTACGACGGTGGACGCGACGCGCCCACTCAATTAGAAGAGGTGGAGCGCGTCTCCAGGGCACAACGCGACTACAGCCAATGAAAGCGCTGGAAAACCAGGAACCACTGTACGTCAAACTCCTCTTTTGAGGCTAGTCTTCCAGGCTTATCGTGACGACAAGCTCAGATGCGACAAATCGATAATGATTGAGGCATTCCGACTGCACTCTTCATACGAATACTGTTGGTTTACCTTACCTTTCATAACTAGGTGGTTTAGCTTGCAAACAACGACGTCGCTCCTTTAAGCCGCCCGCACTCCCTTACCTGAGTTCTCAGCCGCCCCTTTGTTCTTGGATTACGGTCCTTTATTTGCCAGCACAGACCATTTATTTTTGCCAACAATCGTATCTTGCGGCAGGCGAAGCTGACCAGGCCTTGTGGCGGGTCATGGGCCTTGTAGCGTCGTAACGCTATTCAAGTAACTTTCTTCTGGGAAGGCTGGAAGACAACCGCTGCGCTACTCGCCGCGTCCTTGTGACCAACCGTCTGGCAATATGCCTCCTGGTTCGTTATCCCACGAGACTTTCGTGATCAACATCATAACATTGAGATAGCCCCACCCAACGAGCCTCAATGGCCCCCTCGATCTCCCCACGAAGCCCTTGCTAGCACACCAGGAGGCCGCGACCGCCTAAGACGTCTTGCGAATCGAACATCACCGTCTCCTTCTCCGCTGAGAAGGGGACGAGCCAATTCCACATTATCAATCCGATCGTTGAACCTACAAGACGAGATGGACGACCAGGAGGACGAGGACGAGGAAACACTCCAGTTGAAGTTGCAGGAAATACAGGCTCGGTTGAGGTTGAAGAAACTCCAGAGTGCAAGGGAGAGGACTGCGGGAGCTGTGTCTCCCAGGCGCAGATCACCACCGCCGCAACAGCAGAGGCCGGCATCAAGAGTCCTAGGGCTTGGCGCAAGTCGAGTGGCTCCACGGCCCGAGTCGCAAGCTGCGATCGAAGTTCCCGTTTCTCCCATTCGGAAGACGCAGCCCCCACAATCACAGACATCGCCGAGTCGAGTCCTGCTAGGCATCGACAAAGGTCTCAAGGGAAAGGATGTTTCGCTGAAACGAGCACCAAGTGTGCTGCGCAGGAATGCAAACTCTCAAGATGGACAGCAGTTCGGCGGTTACCTTCAAAGGTCGAGGACCCCGGCACCTCAGAGCGAGATTCAACGACCATTGAGTTTCAACGAGAGGTTAGCCGCGGCAAGGACGCAAGAGGTTGACCGTCAGGATTTGAGAGACAGGGTTAGGCAGGCCCGGTCTGCAGTGTTTGACATCGGACAGAAGGAGATTGAGCATTTCAAAGAGAAGGCGGTCGACCTTCCAGAGCAACCCGATGCTGCGCCGCAGTTCAGTAGGGAGGACATCCTAGGTGGTAAGGACAATCCCGAACATGGACAAAGGAAACTCGACAGAATACCTTCGCTGTCGGCGCCGGCGTCAAAAGACGACCATGATCCCCAAGGTCTCTATGAGCCCCCACCCGACTGGATGATGGCTGGGCAGAAACCCAAAAAGGTCGCGCCTGCAGATGTGCCCGAGGCCGAAGCGTCAGCTTTCGAACCATACTCTAGCTTTCATCTTTCACAGCGCATCCTTCCTCATCAGGTCTTGACAAGGACCTTGTCCGGGAAGAAGATCTTCCAAATGCCGGAACTGCTGCGCAAAGTCAAAGGCCCGGAGTTTCAGCTTCCAGATATCGAACAGGATATCGTCGTCTTTGCCATTGTGGCAAAAAAATCAGAGCCTCGTCAACACAAGCCCCGGCCAGACCAGAATGGGAAGCAGTCGGATAGAGGGAAGTATATGGTAATTACGCTCTGTGATCTCAAGTGGGAGCTTGAGTTATTCCTCTTCAACTCAGGGTTTACCCGGTTCTGGAAGCTCACGGAAGGTACGGTTTTGGCCATTTTGAACCCGACCATTATGCCACCACCGGTGGGTCGAGAAGCCACCGGAAAGTTCAGCCTGGTAATCAACTCTGACGCGGACACCATCATGGAGATCGGAAAGGCTCGCGACTTGGGCTTTTGCAAATCCGTCAAGAAAGATGGCCAGTTCTGCAACTCATGGGTCAACAAAAAACGGACCGAGTTCTGTGAGTTCCATACCAACGAGGCAGTTACCAAACAACGAGCGACACGCATGGAAGTCAACTCGATGGACTTTGGCGGTATCGGGGAAAAGCACCGGTGGAACTCGCGTGAACTTCGGAAGCCAGAACCTGAACAAAAGAAAGGCAAATACGACCGAGAAACACACAGCCATTGGTTCGCCACGAAGTCCATGAGTTCTGCGCAACTCATCGACGGAGCTCAGGCACTTGCAGATCGAAGAGAAAAGGAGGAAGGACTGAAAAGACGAATGCTTGCCCAAGAGCGCGAAAGAGGGATCATGCAGCGCTTGAGCAAGATCGGCGCCGGCGCCGGAAAGGAATACATGAAGCAGTCGGAACGTGCCCGCAACACCGCACCTGCGTCCGCCAGCGTGATCGAGGAGCGGCAGCGGGTCGAGGCAAGGAACTCGATCCTAATGGCTCCGAGGAGTAAGGAACTGGCGATCCATCTGAGCCCGATCAAACGCAAGAGGCCGCAGAGCGCGCAGTCCAGCTCGTCGATCGGGGCACCATCACTATCGGCAGCCACGGGGATCAAGAGCGGCTTCGGCTGGGGCGGCAACCTAAAGGACAAGCTGGCCAAGATGAAGGACGGCGACAAGCTGAGCAACGACAAGCCGCCAGTGCGGAAGAAGACGAGGTTCGTGACGGAGAAGGGGATCCGCGAGGCCGGGAGAGAGAGTCTAGGGGTGGATATGCCGCAGCAGTCGGTTTCCTTTGAAGATGACGATGACGATTTGATTATTGTGTAAAAGATCAGCAGCAGCATTTTATTGGGGTCTTGGGGCCATTACGGACAGGGAAATCGGTCGGGAGTGCACTCCCGTTGGGCGGGAGGTGCCTGGGTTTTAACAGAGTAATGACACCTAGAGGAGTTCGCCTGGAGCGGTCATGAGTACCCGTCACGGATTTTCAAGAACGGATGAACAGAAATCAAAGTCATATTTCCGATTCCCGAGCGATATCCATCGAGCATTATCGAGATAACTACACAACTATCTGTTTGTTTGTTCATTTCTCCTATAGAAAGCAGTTCGCAATCCATCTCCACATCTCTCTCCATAGCATACTGGTAGCAGCACAGCTCCCGCTTGCCAGAGACCCAGTGGCTGCAATGCCGTAGTCAACCGCTTCCTTGCTAGGAACCCGCCAACCATGATGTGTAGAACTTTCTCTGCGCCATCTGTTATCATGGGCGCGGAGCTGTATTCTGCGGTCCTTCGAGATTCTTTGGGGTCCAAAGACGCTCCCCTATTAAACTAGCGGATACGAGCGCCACGTTTGGCCGCAAGTCAGCCGGGCTACACTCCAAGCCGGCACCCCAAGTCTAGCCCCGGTCCTACTAGTTGCGTTAGTCTCCTCATGTTGAAGCCGCAGAGGCAGTTTGAGAAAGAGCGTAAAAAGTATAAGTTGTCCGGCTTAATGTTAAAATCCTAGAACGGCTAGACTTAGACGCCTTACTGCACTCTTTCAAGACATCTAGTAGCTAGATATCCATGTAGAAAGATATTAGAAGAGTATCAAGCACTGTAGCGGGACCCTATAGACAACCACTCTCGCATCTGCGTCTATAGCTGAATCAAACTTAAAGTCGTTGAATGAGCAAACGTTTACATTTAGCCCTGGATTGGCTGGGCCTAGTCTAGGCAATAAGTTCGTGAGGTGGACAGATAGGGCGCCGTCTTCGATACAATGCAGCTTGGCTGACTGGCGACTAAATCTGGCAATAGTACCTAGTAGCGCTAGGTTGGCAGGGAGCGTGCTCTTGGACCCTAAGAACTGTGTTTTGTGTGCATTGTCTTCAAGATATCCCCGGGCCCGGATGGTTATTGCCAAGACCCGATGGATCTGGCCCATCTCAGTCATCGGAATCCTTTGTTCCCAGATGCCGCATAAAAGTCTGGAAACCTGAGAAGTTCTATAGATCAGCGTTGACAGGCCGGATGACGACGCAGATGGTTGCGTTCTGTTGAAGCTTGAGGCTTGGCCCACCTTCATTGAGATACACCGGCATTATGAGTCCAACAGCCTGAATGCGCTGGGACGACAGTTCATAGTCTTGACCAAGCCGTGTTATGATGCTGGCTCTGACATCCGTCAGAGAACCAGTGCCGCGTAAACCGTTCCTTGTGGTTCAGAAGCAGCGACTCGAGAAGCCCCTGTTTCCAATCCGACTAAATGTATGTCCGCAGTGCAATAAATGAGTATATGCCAGACGCAAAAATGACTGCTGACAGTTTTTGGGCTGTCGAACTGTTAAGAAAGCAAAAGTCGTGCTCGGAAAAAGTTGTGGTGACCCGTCCGAGATGGACAAATGAAGTATGTTCAAGAAGCTATCGACATCAAGCTCACGACTTCGACACAGCGACATAGCTCGGCGGCCTGGCCTCTCTACTCCTCCCCCAGTCGGACTCCTTATCCCCCAACGTCAACTCCAATGTCTTGCCTTGCCCGAAAAAATCGTGGCCGATCCAGCTCCTGTTGTACGTCTCGCCGTCAAGCTTGGCACTCTGGACATAGATGTTCTTGTACGCGGCATCAAACCCCACGCATCTCACCGTCGCGGTCTTGCCTGTAGTGGGGCTCTTGATGCTGACCTCCTCGAAGAACGGCGGCGTGATGAGATACACGTCCTGCCCTGCCACGGGGAACAAGCCCATCGCGGAGAACGCGTAGAAGGCGCCCATGGCGCCCGAGTCATCGTTCCCGGCCAGTCCGCCGAGCGAGGAGTTGAACGACGAAGGAATATACTGGTGGATCCGCTCCGCCGACAGGCCCGGGCGGCCGGCGTAGTGGTAGAGATAGACGGTGAGGAACACGGGCTCGTTGGAAATGTCGGCCAGGGGTGAGGCATGGAAGTAGTTGAGGCGGGAGACGAAACCCTCGTCGCCACCCATCAAGTCGATCAGGGTCGAGGTCGAGTGCGGGACAATGCTGCGGGGGATTAGCTTGCCGGTTACTGACGGAGCAGATTGTGACGTGACTTACAACTGGTACTGCCAGATGCTCGCCTCGAACGTCTCGCTCGGGTTCGTTGTCAATGAGCAGAATCCGGCGAGGTTCGAGCAAGCTATTGGGTCTTGAAAGCCCCACGTCCCGTTCAGGTACTTTGGCTGGAAGAACCCGGTGAAATTCGTGTCGGCTCCGTTGATCAGAGACTTCTGGTCGGCTTTCCACAGATTTTGCCAGTTCATGCTCCGCGCCAAATACTTGCTATGGAGCGCATCCTCTCCCAAACCCCGTGCCAGTGTTGCGAGGCAGTAGTCGTTGTAAGAGTATTCCAGGGTCCTCGACACGCTCCTCGAGTTCGTGCCGAAGCCAACGGGGTCGAAGTCGAGGTACGGAATGTAGTGGAGGTTCTTCCAGCTTGTGAGTCCACCACGACCCTCGTATGACCAGACTGGTGGCTCGTTCTCGGCGTCTTTGGTAATTGCTTCGAGGGCTAGGTTCCAGTCTATCGAGGTCAGGTTCTTGACGTAGGCGTCGACAAGGACCACGTCGGCGTTGGAGCCTCCCTGCGTCCAGCCTTTGCACATGGACATACGGCAGTCCGGCAGCCAACCTTCGTGCCTGTATATGTCGAGCATCGAGTTGACCATCTGCGTCTGAGCGGCAGGGTCAATCACTGTGAGTAGCGGGTGTTGGGCGCGGAAGCTGTCCCACATGCTGCCCACTTGTTAGCGAGGTCTGTTTGGGGATAGAGGCCGGTTTCTTACCAGTAAAAGGAGTCAAAGTACGGGATACCACTATCCCAATACGGATTTTCACCGGTGTAGTTCTGAGGCGAGATCATGTTGCGATACAAGCCGCTCCAGAAACTCTTCTGAATATCTTCCGTCGCACCACCTGCTTTGATCGAAACTGGGCTCAGCTTCTCCCGCCAGGCGTCCTTGGCTGTCTCGACAAGCGAGTCAAAACTGCCCAGCGGGTCGGCAATCTCCTTTTCGGCGTTCCGGCACGCCTGATCGCTGCTCTTGAACGACACACCCACCCTGGCGGTGACGGTGTTGTTGGTCAGTTCCTTGAAGCGAACGAAGCCGCCGCCCTGGAGGTAGAACATGTTGAAGCCCCTGGTAATGAAGAGCTCCTTGGGCTCATTCCCAGCGCGACTGTTGACCCAGACCCCGGTATCGAAGACCTTGGCCCCGAAGAAGTCAACACAGTAGTAAAGCGCATAGGTCCCGGCACCGAAGCTTGGAAGAAAGGTGCCGTTGCCAAGCATTCGACCGGTAGGGGTGTCGACCGTCACGGAAGCATTCTGTCGACTGGCCCAGAGGTCGGTCAGGTCTAACAGAATGAGCGGGTGCTCGTCACCACTCGGAAACTCGAATCGCATGAGTGCCGCATGCTGGGACACTGTCATGTCGGCCTTCACGCCCGAAGTCAATTCGACGGAGAAGTAACCCGGCTCGGCGACGGTCTTGTTCGGGTCATATTGCGTCGCACGGTCCCCGATGCGGAAGCGACAGTTGTTGAGTTCGTCGCCGGGGCAGACCTGGGGGAAAAGCGGGAAATTGCCGAGGCTCGGGTTCCCCCCCGTTCCGCTGTCGTGAAGAATGCTGAAGCCGGTGATGTTGCTGCCGTCCGTTGAGAAGCCGCCTGTGTTTTGTCCGTCGACGTCGGCGACGGCTTTAGCGAGGCCGTAGGGTAATGTTGCGCCTGCGAAGACGTTGCCGCCATTCCGAGACCCAATCAAGGGGTCGACATAGGCGAGGGGGTCGAACGACTGACAGACCGCCGCCACCGTGAGGGCAGCGACTGGGGGGAGCAGACGCATTGTACGGGGTGCAGTCAAGTCGACTTGCGAAGGATTAGACCAGGCATGCTCAGACGAGGCGAGGCGAGGTGCTTTCTTTTATACAAATTGGCTTCGAAGAAGGTTGCGAAACCGATCAATGCGCAATTACGAATTTGAGGCCTTGATGCAACCTCATTCCATATGCCTAGTAATTATCATATGTGATTCAGCAAACCCTGCTCTGCTAATAAAACCTTAATGGTTGACCCCGCGGCTGTGCCAAGCTGAAGGTGGTATTACCTGGCCTGGTGACCCCTCGCGGGAGCTCTGGATTATCAGATAAAGACACCGGACAAACTGGCTTTGCCCGGATCTCCGACTGCGCGCGCACGCACGCACGCACGCACCGCAGCAGACTTCAGCGAGTGTCCGGCTCTGAAGCTCATTGGTAGAGCTTGAGATGCTAAATGCTCGCCTGATTGCACCCATCCATATCTGATGGCTGACTTGTTCGGTAATGGCATTTTGAGGGTTGTGTAGATGCGATGGAGGTGCGCTGTGGTGTTGGCAGCCCGTCTGCGAATGTTTGTTTCCTCGAGGTCTAGGTTGTTTGTCGTGTTCGAAACATGACTGTACCTAGGTGATCTAGATTACCTGCCTGTATGTACGTACCGTACCTAGCCTAGGTACCTAGGTGGGTATTGGTTGTACCTAGAGAATTACCGGGGTAGCTCGCAGGCAGAGTTACCCGCCCGCTATTATCTCCCCATCCCTTTGTCCTCTTTCATCCTCTCCAACGTCTATTCAATTATCAATATCAGCTGCTTTACGCTTTATGCTCACGGAATAGAATTGGGCCCTGCCCGCTTTCGTCCGAGCTCCGTTTCCCCTCCCTTGGACCAGACGAACACGAACCCAATGATTCGAATGCTAAGCTACCTGTTTGAAGGGGGCCCGAAACACTCCTTGCTCCAGCTTGGTTCCCAGGATATCGCCCCGTTTCAATGGAGAAGGACACCTGGATCCTTTCGATGCACTCGAATCTCTTCGCATGCCCTCATCTTCATATTCATCTTGCTTTAGTTCATTCTTCAAACGCTGTCCGTACATCAATTTGACTCTAACGTCTTCTCATGTCGTCGTCCCCTGTCTCGTGAACCAAGCTATCCAGAAACACGTTCTATAGCCAATAGCTGCCGCCGCAATGTTGGATATATACCAGATCAACCTTGCAGGTCTGCTCCTCGCCTGCGGCACGCTCTTCGCCTCGGGTAGCCAGGAGAAGCAAAATGTTGCCAAGAAGGATGAAAAGAAGGACACCAAGCAGAAACCCAAGCAGCAGGGCTCTCAATGGGCCTTCTACGTCGTCTATGCTCTCGTCATGGGCTCCGACTGGCTACAGGTCATTTTCACGCTCGCACCCTATCAGTTCTCGGGTCTTATACTGACGCACACGCCCAGGGCCCATTCCTCTACTCGCTCTACAAGAACGAGCACCAAATCCCGTCGGACCTTGTTCCGACCCTCTTCACCACCGGCTTCGTCTCGGGTGCCGTGGCCGGTTACTTCATTGGCTCTCTGGCCGACCGTCATGGCCGCAAGGCGAGCTGCCTCTTCTTCTGCGCCGCCTATGCTCTCTCCTGCGTCTTGACCACGATCCCCAGCGTCCCGTTGCTCTTCCTCGGCCGCGTCCTCGGCGGGTTGGGTACGAGTCTGCTCTTCAGCGTCTTTGAGAGCTGGATGGTGACGGATTTTCATGCCCGCCAGCTGGGTGACCAGGGCCTGGACCTGTCCCGCACGTTCGGCATGATGAGCACCGTCAACAGCATCGTTGCCATTGTGAGCGGCGTCGTGAGCGAGTGGCTCGTCTCCGCAACGGGGACGCGCAAGGCACCCTTCCTGGCCAGTGTGGGCTTGTTAGTCGTTGCCGCAGGGGTCATTGCTAGCAAATGGGTGAGTTACACAATCTCATTAAGTTTGCCAACCCATCTACTAACTGGCAGTAAAGGATGAAAACTACGGCTCAGCGGGCCAATCGTCATCGGAAGCATCAAGGAGCAAGAAGACCACCAGCCTCTGGTCCACCATGACCGACAGCCGCGTTCTCGCCATCGGCCTCGCCTCAACCATGTTCGAGGGATCCATGTATCTCTTTGTAGTCCTCTGGTCCCCCGTTCTCGTCTCGGCCTCGTCTTCCCCGGAGACCCTTCCCTACGGTATCATCTTCGCCTCTTTCATGGCCTCGACCCTCCTCGCCTCTCTACTTTATCCGCGTCTCCTCGCTCTCGTCTCTACGCCATCCCGGCTCCTGCTCTCAGTTCTTTTCGCCGCCAACGCCGTCTTCTTCGCCCTCGGCACTGGTGCACCGCGCGCGGAGCAGGTCACCTTTTGGCTGTTCTGCCTGTTCGAGGCCTGTGTTGGTCTGTATTTCCCCTCCATGGGGTATCTCAAAGGAAAGGTTGTCGACGACGGTGTTAGAGCACAGGTCTACGGCGTGCTTAGGATCCCCCTTAACGTCTTTGTCGTCGTAAGCCTTATGTTCAGCAGCGACGGGCAGGCGGGCAAGGTGTTTCTCGTTTGTGCCATGTTGCTCCAGGCGAGCTGCGGCGCTTTGTGGCTCATGGGTGGTCAAGATGCGTAGGCTGTTTCTGCCGTGGACATATTTCCAATGAAAGAGGACAAACAAAACTATAATGACCATGTTCGTGTTTGCAAAGAAGCGAGTTATCCCTCCAGGTCCACATCGCCGTCGCATCGGAATCTCGATTGCCACCCCGTCATACGTCCGTGAGCCGTTGTCACTGACTGACGTCTACTTAAGCGCCCGTAAGACACTATCACGGAACAGGCCCATCGGGCCGTCTAAGCACCACCTCACTCGCTCGCCCTGGTGTCGGGTCCCGTGGTGCCAGGCCTTGGTATTCTGGTGTTTCTGCCGTTGGTACCTTTCCACCACCACCATCAACAACATTGTCCGACGTTGCGCAGTGTGCAGGCACACCTTGTGTTTCTTGAACTGAGCGATAATGTATACCAAAGACCCACCCTCAGGGCGTGCAAAGAATCTGAACGTCACCTGATGGGTTAGAGAGGCACAACGCCAAAAAGACCGCCGTTTATACCACATTCTTCCTTCAACTTGAAATGAGTGCTATTGCGTACCATGGACGACTATCAGCAACTTTCGCAGCACTTGATCGCGATATTGGTTCAAAACAAACCAAAAAAGAAAAAAGAAAAAAAAACCCAAACCCCAAAACCCATGTATCCCATCATCCCGTATTCCTTCAAGGAAGCACGGTGTGCCGCGACCCGTGGATACTTCGTTATTGCCACAAATGGTTACCTGTGGCAAAGGGTCGCGCCAGCACGGGACGGATCAGCGCTGCACCAAGCGTCGGTAGTTTATCCAGGGAATCCGGCGGAACGACGTCTACACCCTCCACTTCGATCTTCAAGCTCGGGACGCGAGCCAACGACTGCGTTGTACCATCCAACTGAGTAAACTTGCGTTAGCGTACGCATCCTATCTCCTAAAGCTTGACCGTATGCTCAACGAGATCGTGGGTGCGGAGGTCGTACTCACGTTATTGATCACAACCTCTAGCCCGTCACCAATGATGCCTACCGCATTCTTCGTTGAAAGCCTGCTGACACCCACTGCCTCCACGCCTCTGCTCAGGGGAATCTCATCGTAACTCCTCCCTTGCTTGGGCATATCAAGTAACGTAAACGACCCAGCCAGCCTGCCCTTGAGGAAAAGCTGCACTTGACAGGGCAGATCTAGCTCACTCCTTTCAACCTCGACCTTGGCGAAGTACTCCCGTTTGGGCATCCCCTTGCGTCTCCTCAAGCCCCCGAACAAGTACCGCCTCTGCCACTGCTCCTGTTCCAGAGGGCCGTAGAGGGCGTTCACCGTCCTACTAACCGCCATTTTGGTCTCCCCCGGCGCCTGGTCCCAGAACCGCATTGGCGCGTACGTGTAGCCCCAGTCACGTACGTGTGTCACTGACTCACTGGTTAGAGGCCCACCTCCTGAGCCCATGAACGGCCAGATGGGGTACTGCGGCGTGACGGTCGTCCCGGCCGGAGTGGCGAACGTCGTGTCAGAGGCGTACGAGAAGTGCATCGTCGCGTTCTCGAAGTAGAGGGCTTGCCAGAAGGCGACGAGACGGTCAACATTGGCGTGATGGAGCCAGCTGGACGCAAGTCAAAAGAAATGACGTGGAGTGTGGGGGGTATCGCCACTTACAACAACGGTTCAAAGGCAGAGGTTGAGAGGAAGACCAGATCTTGGCCACATGCTGCTGCGACGTGGACTTCGCCATGGGGTCCTTCAAAGTTGGCACCCTGGTTTTGGGCCGAGACCATCTCATCGAAAGAGCGAGCCCTGACAAAGACATTGTACTACAAAACGTCAACAAGAAGAAGCCCATGACGCAGCCGCCCAAAAATCTCTCTCTCATCAATATTGACCGCGGGACTGGCGACTCACCACCTTCTCCTTCAAGCTAAAACCTGCAAGCATCTCATTGGCCGTGGCTGGATAACTCTCGCCATCCTTGACGCAGCGACTCGTGTGGTTCTCCCCGTTGAACGCACCAAACTGGCCATCGAGAGCCGACTTGGGGTATTGGAAACGGTAGAGAGGATTATGGACGATCGTGGCCTGCACCATGCCGTCAGCAGGCTTGTTGATGACCACGGTCGGCATTGCCGTCGCGGGTGGGACATGGTAGTCAGCGGCCCAGTCCCAGTACGCGATTCGTAGCCGTTCTGCGGCATCCATGTATCTCTTCCTGTGAGGTTCCGGGTAAGAAAGAGCGATGCGCTTGGCCTGGTGCACCAGAACCTGCTGCAGAGGGGTCAGGCCCCGATAATAGGAAGCGAAGTTTGTGATCGGTTGTACGAACCTCATAGAGCGAGAGATAGCCGCGATGCCAGGTCCCAAACAAGGCTTGCTTGGACATGTCAGTCGTGGTTGGTTTGGTAATGTTGATATCATTAGACGACGTACGTTGTGTGGACAGTATCCTGTGTGTGCCCCTGTCTGTGGTCCGCCGCCGGACCAAGCCATGTATGGCTGACCATGGATTCCTGATAGACTAAGCACAGTGAACAAGAACAACAGATTTTGCAGATACGAACCCGCTACTTGGAAGTATGATGTTGCATCCGTCTCATTTGCATCTTGCATAGCAATAAGAGCACCGATGTAGAGGTCCCTATGTTATCGTGAGCAACCATGGCCTCCTTACAAGCGCCAGTCTTACCACTGCGGCCCTCTCTCGTTGTATATACTGTTGATATTCCTCCGTACAGGCACCTCACCGGTCCGCATATTGATGCCGGACCTTGCCCCGACGATTGGAATCTCTTGCGTAGAGACAGTCCATCTCACGGTCGCCAGAACACTAAACACGAGTGTGAACTGAGGAGCAATCATTGTAACTGAGAGAAAGGTCTGCAGTCAACCTTGTCGGTAATAAAGAGCACGACAATAAAAATTTCGGCGTGAGAAAAAATAAGGAGGAAATAGCAATTCCTTATATATCACCCATCTGGGGGCGGTCAATTATCCTGTCGACCCAGGAATGGAGCAAACGAAGCCCGTTGCACCGTACCGTTTGCCCCGTACTGCCAGCAGCCTTGTGACTCGCTCAGCATGTGGAAAGTGAAGACTTGTAACGGCCCACACTGATGCCGTTGCGTGACATGGTGACGATATCAGTCCTCTCCTGGAACTGGCGGATGGGCCCATGGAAAGCTGGTGACGGGAGATTTCACTTACAGGAACGATTGTATGACTGCCTTTTTCAGATGTGGTACGAAGAGAGAAAAGGCTCCTGTCCATGTATCACGTTCAACCAAATCCGCGCTTCGCGTTGCGTCTCGGTGCGTACTGGCTTGTTCTGAGAATGGGGACCAGAGGCCACATCTGGAAGGGAACAGTGCCTTTCTCGCCAGACTCTCGGCAGATTTCGAATCCATATACTCGTCGGGTCGCTGCGTTCGTATTCCAACCTAAGCACTGGGGAACAAACGGAGCGATAATGGAGCGGTCAGAGCCTCCCTCTTTTTGGGCGCTTGGACAGCTTCCCCTGGTATAACCACGTTGATCGTCTGCCCGCTTGGCGCCGATAGGTAGCTTGCACTGCCAGCTACTGACCACAACCTACCTCGAGGTGTACAAAGAGTGCCATTCACATCGTTTACGCATAGTTGCCGCTCTTCCGAGATGCTAGTAGCCGCTGGTGGAACCGAGCGGACGAAGCCCATCTTTCATGGTTCGTATGCTGCTCTCCTCACCGCTTTCGGGCTTGAATCGGAGTTATACAGGTTTCCCAATACGGTATATGCATTGGCCAGTTATTCCCAGTCATTACAGCTCCTATGCTGCACGAAGCGTATGAAGTAGTCTGACGTGGCAAATCTGAAGTTATATAACCGCCATTAAAATGGCCTTCCTGACAAGATTACGAGATACAATGTGCTACTAACTTGCAAGATGCTGGTAAATGTGAGTGGTCGCCACTAGTGAGAGATTCGAGCGAAAATAGTGAATGCAGTATGTCGTCAATTTGATTGTGCGCCTGCAGAGTTGTGGCTGTTTCGCCAGAAATATCTTGAATTTATGTCGTCAACACTTTGTGGAATCAAGTCTATACGTACGGTATGTTTCGTGGATATTTGTAGGTTTTGAAATGTTTCTATTCAAATAAACACCAGTGCAATTGAAATGTTGACGTGCTAGAAATGTAAAATGCCCATGTGACCAAAGCTAAAAGGTAAGCTAGAGATAAAGTCAAGCAGATCTCTTTCTTCGGTAACACAACTTTTGGTTCAAACAAGATATGAAGGATGAAATGCAGTTGCCCTGGATAAGAATGCACCCAGAGGCAAAGTCAGAAAGAGCCAGTCGTAAGTAACTCTTGGCCAGAGGCAACATTATCCATAACCCGACTTTTCCTAGGAAACAAGCATGACTCCGTATGTTCATGAGATCCTTCTTTTCGGTCCAACGCAGAGTTGGGACAAGACTCGCGAGACTGGAAAAGATGACCCGTGATGCGATCGCATCAGTCTCACAAAGATTTCTCAAGAACGACAAGGTCTCGGAACCCTTCTTTCCACTTCTTCATCTGTTCCATCGTGGGCTTTGGCAGGGGGCTCCTGGCGACGCCTCCGTAGCCCAACCAAGCTTGAAGACCAGCCTTGACACCTACGACGCCCCCTTGGATGGCGGTCCAGTCGCCTTGCGAGACGACCTCTTGCATGTCCTGAGCTTCCTGGTAGTTTCCCTCTTGGTAAAGCTCGATTGTTCTAATACAGGCTTTGGGAGCAATGTTGGCCAGACCCGCAAGGATGCCATGTCCCCCAGCCACCAGGGACTGGATTGAAAAGTCGGCCGAGCCGGCAAGAACAAGGAATTCTGGAACTCCGGCGCTGGGATTCTTGGCCAACTTCCTCGTAGAGGCGGCGACGCGGTTCAGCTTGCCCGTGTTTCCGCATGTGAGCTTGACGCCGACAATGTTCGGATGTTGAGACAACTGCACAATGACGTCGGAAGATAGGTCCAGCCCCCCCACTGCGCCGGGGAAGTTGTAGATTATGAGCGGGATCGGCGACGAATCTGCCACGGCGTTGAAGTATTCCACGATGGTTTCTGACGACGGCGCAAACAAGCCCGAGTAATAAGATGGGGGGAGAACCAGGGCGTAGTCTCCGCCAGCCGCCCAGGCCTCGGTGCAGTATTGTATAGTCTCGCGTGTACTCTGACTTCCGCATCCGACAATTATGGGCATATGAGAGAAACCAGCATCGTTGATGGCTTGACGAGTCGTTGCCGTGACGAGCTGGCGTTCGGCGTGAGTAAGATGAACTGCTTCTCCATTGGACCCTTGCGTGGCCAGGCCTGTGACACCGGCCTGGGCGAGTCGCACAGCATGGCGAGCAATGGTCTCGATATCCACATTCTCCGTACCCGGCTCAAAGAAGCACACGGTCGGTACGTAGACTCCGGGAACGAGCGGTCGGGTTTCATGGAGGTCCACACCGAGCGATGCGCTGTTGTATGAGCTGCTGAGAGGTGAGTGGGAGCCGGTGGCCGCTAGGCTGCCGACTTTGAGGTTTGACGAAGTATTGGGCCGGAAGGAGACTCCATCGAAGCCGGTTGTGAAACTCCCTGCCGGTGAGGGTGCGTCTTGGTGAGGAGCCATGCCTGGTGCAGAGGTCTTTTGGGAGGTGTTCTTGGTCCTGAGTAGGACGACGGAACGCACGACGTATGTCGTATGAAGCGTGCCAGATATGTAAGGCAAAGTTGATTCGGTACGACAGAAGGCCCTTCTCGGTGGTAGGGTAAACAAGGTACCAAACAGATATTTCGAAGAGCTAGCGGACTTGAGAATACAAGGAGGCCAGCATAAACGAACAGCTCATGGGAAGGGGGGGGGGAGGCGTCGAGCACCTTTTATCATGAGAGGTATGATGGGAAAGAAGCTGAGCAAAAAGAAGTGCTCAAAATAGGTTGCTTCTTCCTCGACAAGTCTTTCTTAGCCCATCTGCAGATTGCGGCGTCCGAGGTAACTGGGTGGTATATTCTCACTTGCGACGGCTCGCCCCAATGCGGTAAGCCAACGTCATTCACCCAAGATCGACATATGGAACAGGGCTCGAACAGGCGAACAAATAAATGTGTGTACAAGATAGTACCTGCCGCCAGTATAGTGTACAAGAGCCAGTCACGCCATACGAATGAAAGGGAGAAACAGGCCGGCCATTCTGACCTGCGTCGAGCAGTCGACCTGCACGGCTGCATGTAGTACGAAGAATGCAGCAATAGACAAGGGATTCATCTCCAGGAGACTCTGGCGCCTGATCGAGGTCCGCTGCGACACAGTGCGTGAAGGCTGGGGCAGGGCCGGTGTTTCGTCCATGCAAGTGAACAAGAGGTCAGCGTAGTGTGTATGCGAGAGAAGAGGATGTCTAGAGATACAAAGCAAAGCTGACCCAACCCAAAACTAACCATGCCAAACGTGGTTGGGGTTGAAGAGGGGTCTCTTCTGGGGAACGCCCCCCCCCCAGACGCACCTGAGTGGGGGTTAGCTCCAATAGACCCGGACGTATCGTACGTAGTGTCAATACCGGTACACAATAAGGCGGGGCATTTCATCTGGGAGCCTGGACAAAAGCAGCCGCCGTCGTCGTCGGAAAGTTCTCCGAGGGTCCAAGAGCCTATCGTGCTATTTGAAGATGCCCAAAACAAACCGGATCCTCGCTGTGCTTTGAGCTGATGGCCCAATGGTATGCGTTCCTAGATTCAGGGTCGTCGTTACGGACGTGACGGTGAGACATCACCGGTCAGGATGAGCCCACATGGCGGGCGTCCCGTCCGTAAAGTCTCACGAGGAGCCAGCAAAGGGCCCATCCAGCGACTCGTGGAAAGCTTCAATAGGTCGATTGAAAACCGTCGGGCGCTGGCCGATGCCTACCTGACCAGATGATTTCGGGCTCATCTGGCCGGTGAAGCAGGCTGCAGGCATGCCCCGCGATCTATGAAGAAACGACGACCGTAGACCGACGTTGACGGACTGCAAGGGACAATCGTGTCTTGGACGTCTGTTCATTGGCCCAGCCAACTTTTTGGGGCTGCGGGAACTTGCCATCAATATCTGCCGACGGAAAGAAAGTGTGAATGAACCCAATGAACGGTCAGAGACAGTAAAGCGCGATTTTACTGCTGATCTGGCCCAGGTGTTGTTGCCAAGTACGCATTTCATGACCGCCAGGCTTCCATTTACCCACCATGGGATGCTCAAATGGCCCTCGAGCAACTGCTGTGAAAGAGGCATGGTGTCGACAAAACATCAATGGTCATGTGGCATAAGACTCTGATGATGCGCCGTCATCAAACCAGCCCGGGTCGTGGGTCAACCCCGGATGCTTGCGGCCATACAGGTTTCGAGGGCCGCTGGGACAAAAGCCTCGAATTCGTCTACGCAGGACCTCGGGATCTTGCAGCCAATTGCCTGTTGCCCAAAGCCAGCGGCTGCATACGTAGGACACGGGATCACAACCATGGCGCAGGGCATGTGACTTGAGAAATGCAGTGTCTGCAGGTCCAGAAGAAAGTGAAGCAGCCGCGCAGCTCGGCCGAAGCAGCGGGAATAAAGACCGTTGTTATTGAAATGCAGCGCTGGTGTACGTATGATGGCAAGGGCAGAACGGGATCGTGCTGCATCAGTTGAGCTGCCTGCCGTTGGTTGACGTGGCGATGCCATGATAGCGCGATGCAGACTGGGCAATCAAAAGTACGGGCCGATGAGATGTTCTCATTGCTGAGATGCTCATGGACAACGTGGCATAAGCCGCGCCTGCTTGGGGGCGGGGCGTACGACAACGTCCCTCGGGCAAAGTAAGAAGAACGACTAATATATCGATTATCGACCGTCACCCGCTCACGTAAGCTTGGCTTGTCGACCTGCCCGTCGATTTCAGGGATTTTCCCTTCTGCCCCCCCATGCTGTTTTCGAATAAATCGCCTCGATCCTGGCTGGCGTCCTTTCATTTCAGGGATTACCCAGTTCTTTGACTTCTGGCACGTTGATTATCAGCCCCGACCCTGGCCTTCGTCTGCCTTATTGACAAGCGAGGGGTCAACGCGTTCGTGGCTCGGATAGAAAGCACCGCGGCGCCCGGGTCTCGAGAGCAGGCCGGGAATAAGCCATGTGCGAAGTGACGCTGCCCATTGACGGTATCTCGGATATGGCTCGCTCTTGGCCACTTCAGAAAGAAGGCCGGACACAATGGCGAGACATGCGCCGCCCCCCAGAACCGGACAACACACAGTGTCGAAGACGCAAGTCATCCTTACTGGAACAAACTAAATACCGAGAGGCCTGTTGGCTTGCATGATGCAGAGGTCCCGCAATGGAGCACCACTGCTCGATGACACCCTGATGTTTGTCTAGATTGGGAGTGTGACTTCGTCATGTGCCCAGAATGCTGTTTTTTTCTTTCGAACTAGTATAGCTCTAATCAGTCCCCAGATTTGCGAATCAAACAACAGAGGCAAATAAGCGTTTCGCCCCAGAACGCGCAAATACAGGTACCTACTTTGCCCCCATCGGATACCGGAGGGATCGACGGCCATCAGACGGAACTAACCCCCACGCTAGCCATCCCCGCAAGAGGCCAACCAACCACTTTTAGACTGGGGGCGACGCGGGTACGGTAATACTCCGCCCTTCTCATGGGCTGCCCGTCAACTCCTCGTCGAGGTCAGAGCTTGCGGCGAGCCTTCCCCCAAGTCCGATAGCTCGTCCAAGGTATGTAGCCATGTCAGCCCAGCCGCAGTCTTACACCACTTTGCTCTCAATCTTACTCTACATCAAGTCGGCAATGATGCACCATACCATCTGCCTAGTGCCTACAGAAGCAACACTCCCCGTCATCCTGTGCCCGTCGAGGCCGGATGCGGCTCATGCTGGGCAACGCTGCTTTCGACCCCTGCTTGGCAGAACACGTATCCTCTTCCTTTAGAGGCTTGCATCGGCTCGTGACCGGACAACGCGCTGTAGGTGTGCCCGAGGTCTTGGCCAGAAGCTCGCGACAGTGGGAGTCTCTCATGTCTCTCACAGTGTTTGTCCGCTCTCCAGCCCATTTACCAGCTCGCCCAGCTCGCTGGGGGGGACGTCCACGTTGGTGTGCTCGGATGCATCTGGGGCGTCTGCTGACCTGAATCCCCACAGACTTCTGCAGAACCTGGCCTGGGCCGTGTGGGAAGTGACATCGGAAATGATCATCTTGCTCGACGCGCAGCTGCGCCGCACAACCTCTTCCCAGTTTATTGTCCAATACGCCAACCGTCTGGTTGGATGGTGACACATCTTCATTATCGCCCTCCCGCGCTGTATGGACAGCCTGCTTTCTGCTTTCACCCCGCACTCTTTGATTGACTGATGGATGGCCCGTTCACTACCGAGCTCCTGGCCTCAATCTCTTGCCTCATTTTCTCTCCGCCCCAGCTGACAATCTGCAGCTTCTCGGCTGTGTCAGGCCTTTTAGCGGAACGTACTAATCGCATTGCACGACACACCACACACCCCCGTCTTTGGCCGTTCTGGAGGGAACCAGACTTCTGGCACCATACAGTTTCTTTACAGGGGTTAGTACTGCACCGATGTGCAATATCTGCGGGCTTGGGTAATCCGGGGGGTGTAACGTCATGCGTTGCTGATCTTCAGAGCCTGACCTGCCACGGAGCCTGACATGATACACACTGTTCCCACGTGGATCAAAGCGCATAACTCCGGTCGCTACGCCTTGGAGTAGAAGAATATCTTTCAATATCCCCTTCGTTTCTGATGCAATGGCGGCCTGCTGACAAGACCTTCCCGTCAGCTCGGTCACCAGGGGAGCTCTGGAAAGTAAGTACCTGCCTTTAACTCGCTCGATGCCGAGAGGGCTGAATCAAAGATGAGACCCCTTCTCTACACATACCGTGCAATTATCCGAGTATCTAGAGCCGAATAACAAGCGTTGCTGGTGGTATGGAAGCTGGATATCACAGCCAAACCACTAGCGTATTACATGAACATGTGTCGGCTCCTTGTGGCTTAATCAGTTGCTTGGTAGAACGCATTGATCCAAGCGTTGTTTTCTCCTACCAGAAGTGATTGATCGATGCTCAAAGACATGCTGCGATCACAGTCGGTAATGCGATATTCTCTCCCAACAGGCGAAAGGAAGACGGAGGAGCTTCGTCTGCATATCATCTTCCGGCAACATGCACACATTAAGCTCCTGGCCAACTGTTCTCCTCTGATTTGTTATTACGTGCCATGGCCATTGTTGATATAGAACTTGAAAAGGCAAACTCTTGGTTTCGATTCATCTATCAAGAAACCACCTTTTAGCTGCGGCCTGTGTAATCGTTTCGCCAGGGTGCAGTTAGACTAACGATTTCCCTGGATTCATATATGATTCTTCGTCTTGACCACGGCTGAAGCTTACATTACACATCGGTAGACATCTTCCTGACGTTAACGCTTACGAGTGACCCTTGCAATCATTCCACAACCCCACATCTGACCGAGGTGACCGTCTCGCTGAGCCCCCACACCCCACTACTTCCATGTGCAGGCGGGACAAGGGATCTCGATAGTCCTTCCCAAAGAAGCTCAGGTGAATGGCCAAGGAGCCCGTACTTTAACCTTCCAGACGTCACTTTATGACTGGGATGGGATTCCTGGGGCGGTTCTTGGCAGGGGGACCCGGTAAGGTGGTGTATGGATGTTAGCGGAAAGCGATTGGGGGTTTGGCCGGGTCCCGGCTAACCGCCTAGTTGTTGGATGACTCTATTTCAATGACATGTCTTGAAGTCCAATTTTTGAATCATGAATACTGTGATGGATTCATGGGGCCTGGAGGGCATGCGGTCCCGCAGAGGGAAAAGCCCGGCTGGAACAGTGCATGCGATGAGGCGGACCGGCCAGCCAAACCCAAGGTTCTACTACAAGCTGTTCCACCAGAACGACATTAAATATACGATATCGGAGCAAGAATGACGGCGGCTGGTGGAATAAGATTTGTCCTCCAATTGTTGCTCTGGTATGGACTGGGGCCGGAAGGTTACTGGTAGAGGGTCTTTGCCTAAGACTGGGCAGGACGTTGTCTTGGCATTCACGCAACCCACGTTTACCTCTCTCTCTTACGTTCAGTTATGAGTCCCATTCAGGTAAGAGTACTGCTTATCAAAAGTATCAGTGTGTCTTTCTGCCTTGGTAACATCCCTTCTGTTACTTTTCTGCTCAACAGCCGGTGATGAGCATCAAACTTGGGCAGTCGCAGCGCAATGACTCAACTATTCAGCAGGTCTCCTTGATGACTTACGCATTTATTGAACTTATTGATGGATATGTGGAACTTATTGATGGACCACGGAGCATAGACGCACCGAATGAGTACAACAACCGAGTCACTTGCGACTCAGTCGGGCTCTCTCATAGCTTGGCCAGAACGACGCATCTTTGTCATTGAGCTCACCAGCCCGCCATTGGGCTTGAAATGACCACATGAACTCGTTTTAGTCCTGAAACGGCTATTACAGAGGCTAAATGTGAGTAACAGAATGCCGACGATGTATCTGGCCTCTCACCAACTCAAGCCTCAAAGAGCCATCCATCTTGGTCACGGCTCACCTTATCTGCTCGGCGTTCTGTTGATAGAGGGCACGTAATGGCTCGAGCTGTTTGCACATTGCATCTAGTCTCGTGAATTTTGTCACACAGCCCGGGAAACCCATTGAGAGAAGAGGTTCATCTTCTGGGACCAAACGTTTCCAAGAATCCGTTCCATGGTATTTCTCTGATAAAAAGGTATGATGAAGACCCAAGCCACCACGCTGGCTAACGAAAAGGGTAGTGATTAATAGTAGCAGCTAGAAAGTTCATGTTCGGAGTCATCAGGCTCACCTCAAGGTACTCGGATAGCTAAATAGCTAATAAGTGCGTAGCTTAAGTAAGTGTAGTACCTGGGTTAGATCCCTTTTCAGCTGCTTTCCTATCTGTAGATTCATACGATCCATGGGTAGTAGTAAGGCCTCCGGATCCCACAAAATAAGCACGCGATACCCGTTTAACCGCGATTAGTTCCCTGCGGGAGACGGCTCGGGCGATTCGGTACCATACTACCTGGAACTCAATTCTTGAAATGACATGCTTAAACTTGTGTTGACGTTTGTCCTCATTCCCGATGAGTCATTGATTATGGAGATCCCTAAACCTGATGAAATTTCACCTGCTCAATTACTATATTCATGTTATTAATTCATCAGTGTATGAGGTCAACTTGATTGGTTCACTCCTGCCTCTCTTCAGGCTTATCAATACCTTTCGACCCGGTCCCCTTGCCTCCAAACGCTTCAACCATGTCTTGTAACATATCCTCTGAATACCAGTGATTCAGTTCAGAGTATATCCTAAGGTTGACATTGCAACCCATCAGTCGCAGTATCCTGCAGGCCTGTTGACTATATTGAGGCAGCACCTTGTCGTCTTTGCTTCCATGGCCCAGAAACACGGGTGTTTTCTGGAACGGTGGTTCTGATTTTGATGAGTGTGATGGAAGGTCAACCTCTTCTCGAATAATAACCAAAGCCTGTTCAAGTGGATTGGTTTCGGAGTCATCTCTCTTCCGACTAAAGTGTGATTCGTGATTTGATGACTCGAAGACGTCGTCGTCCGAATCTATTGGGGCCTCGTCCTGATACTCATCATTCACAGTATGAGCACGCTCTCGCAGAACGCCCTCGATAGTGTCGGCCATAGGCAGCATCCCGCACATGCCCAAAATCCCACCGAGGGGTTCGCCTTCCCATAACAACGAACAGAGGAGTGCAGCAGCGCATCCTTGACTGAAGCCGCCTAAGAATACTCTGTCTTCGCCACCTACAATCTGGGCTTCGTCTCTGATGAGCGCATGTACGAAACGGACGGTCTCCCGAGCATTCCCCAACACCGTCTCCTCCCAATCACCACTTCCGTCATACCATTGGTTGATGATGGAGCGCCTATAAAGTGTTGCCCTGGACCGCGACGCAGTTGGGAAGGTGAACCGCGTGTGCGGCAGTGCTTCTCTTAACGTGATAATATTTGAATCTTGGCCACGGACAGGCGTGGCAAGAAACGGTGGCGCAAACATACGCGCACTTGACCCTCGACCATGCAAAAAGATTAGGGAATGCAGATGTGGCTGCTTCAGTGGCGGTATAACTATGGGGCTTGGAAATATGTGTAATGGAAGGCGTGTTTCATCGGCAACGTTCGCAGTAGATGTAGGGCCGTTGTTTTCAAGCATTTTCAATGATATGTGGTAGATGAAACATTGCTAACCTGCAGCCAACCGCTGTGAAGTGGGACGAAGTTCGCTTATCAGGCCGAAAGGTCTCCACCCGGGGCCGGAGCCCGGAACCCTTCTCGGACCGTGTCCCCTCCCCGCTTATATGCCAGATAAAGAAAAGCTCGAACACAGCTGAAAACACGAACCTATAACGCCATTCGCAAATGCATTGCGAGTAAAAATTAGACTAGATTGTGCTTTATGTCTTCTGCCTTCGCGCACATTCAATACAGAACCTCGTGGGCAGGCTTCATGAGAGCAAGTTCAATTCGCCAAGGTTCCAGTATTTCCTCCACCGCTCCGTCCCTATCGAAGTCTGGCTCGTTGTTGTATGATAACTTGGCCTTGACGAACTCCCAGTAAAGGGGATAGTAGCCAGCTTCCGACCAGTTCCCAATCGCCAAGACATCTCCCGTCCTCTCCGAGATGTAAATGTTGTCCGCTGTAAGGTTTCCGTGCGTGAAGACCAGCTCGTTCCTGGATGAGGCGAGCTCGTCAACAAACTCCACTGCGCTGCGGACAAGATCTGAATCATACGATACAGACGCAACACTGTCTCTGAGAATGCGTACAAATTCCTTATTATCCTTGTAGACCCTTATTCGGTTGGCGGGATTGCACCCAGGACGAGACACGTAGCGATCGGCAATGACAGGGCGTTGAGGTATGTCTCTGGGCTTGGTGGTCCGCAGCGCCTTAAACATCTCCCTAGTTTGCACTACAACGCGATATTTTTGTCTTTCGTCCATCATGCTCCAAACTTGACCCAGCCTTATTACACCCTCTTCGCTGATCTGGTCCTCGAGAACTGCTTCAATGCCAGTCAAAGTCGACGTTGCGATTCGGAAGGGAGGGACGCGTATGCTGGTTTCGTTTGCAAAGTGTAGAAACATTCGAAGTCTCCAGTGATGGTCGGGACTAGCGCGTGTTAGACTGAGGGAAGGTGTCGGGGCTCTTGAACCCGAGAGCAGGAGCTTGTTGGAGGTGCTTTTAGTTCCAGAGTCGCCAGAATCCTGTGTCGTGTTGCTTCCATGAAAGGACTCTCCAATCAGGCAAAGATTCCCCTGTTGGTAGGTTTCGACCTGATCCGTTAGAAAGAATCGACCGAAGTAATTCAGAATGGTCATCATAGAAATATAGAATGGATCCACGGTAGAAGAGGCCATGATGGGGTCGAATGAATGTGAAAGGCCGGGGGAGTGGTCGATGATATAATGCCGCATAACGTCTTGGTAACTGCTAGATGAAACGATCGCGGAATGATCGCGAGAAGGAGCAGCCACCTTATAGACATAATCTCCTATCCAAGATGACGCCTTGCGCGGCTACGGGTTTCATACATAAAGTTCAGATTGACAAGGCTTAAGGGGAAAACGACCCATATTCATGGTTAAAACAACATTCGTACAAACGTTCGGGGATCAAATTCGGACGTTATACACACACACACACACACACAAACACACACACATATATATATGACTTCCACTTTCTGGAGTCTTTATCCCTCTCTTTCGTTTATACATCCTGCTCGGCGTGTCTATCAGAAACTGGGGAAACACGGTCTCGCGCATGCGTGGTGTGCATTCGGACCATAGATGTCCCCATCGAAGGATCTTGAACGACAAGACGCTTGAAACCAGGCAGGTGACTTGGATAAGTGTTGGATGGATGAGGCTGATCCACAAAACCGGCTGCGCCTTATAATCTATCAAGATTTCCGTTCGCGCACTGCTGCTGTTAACCTGTGTGGAAGTTCTATCTATGACTCTGACCCCCAATTTAATCTATTGGATCTTCTCCCATCAGTGCCCCAAATACCGGGATCGCTGCTATGTCTTTTCGCCCTTGGCTGTCCCAAAGTTTCAACCAAACTCAGGCTGCACCACAGCTGCACCCATCCCAACCAAAGCACCCAGAAACTTTATGCTGATTGCCAGGTCCTTAAAGTGTCTGATAATAAGACATTTCTTTCAAGTTTTCTGGCTAAATTCTATAACACCCTGATATATGATGAGATTTCCAAAGGGCTCGTTGAACGGCTTTTTGTTCGAAGGAGCCATGAGTGAAGGAATAGCAGTTTTGGATGGGAGGCTCGAGTTCATCCTGTCTTCTCCTTTGTATGAATGTTGCTAATCCCCCTTCAGAAGCCAACATCTGGCCACTACCTCTATTTAAGTCACTCAGCGGCAGGCAGTCCTGCTCCCTTTACGATTATGGACTTCACCCTCGACTCATCAACGAGAACCATCAATTCCCACTTTATCCCACAGAAAACATACTTCTGATCCCAAAATTCAACATTATTGCAAGAACTTTCATGCATATGTTTTGAAGGAGCAATATGCCATCTAACGATTTCCACATAGCCTCCAACAAGTTGTATGCAAACAATCCCCCCTTCTCCTTCAGGTGTTTCTGTTCCTCCCACTAAATTGGCTGGTATTTGGTGATAAAGGTGACGTTTAGAACTTCATCAAGTAGGAGATCGGGTCAAATCAGCCTTCCAGGAGGCATTACAAGCATTAATACATAATAATGAAGTTCTAATATAGTGATGAATGCGATTCCTATATCCTGCAGTTGTAGGTGCCGTTCTAGCCATACATCTACGCCACCTACACGAATCATGTACGTAACTGCTTTAGACCCGTATTGAGGTTAATTCATTCCACTCAGCCTCGATCTATCCGAATTTTGTTGCGTCAAGAACGATACAGCCTATGATTGAAAAGAAAATGTTCTTGGAGTTTATTTCGTAGCAATTAGCTCTTCGAAATACCTTGAGTGCCGTCAGTCGGACACACAATGGTCTTGAAAATCACCCGTGTGAGCCGGTAGTTTCCAGCACCTTTCTGGAGAGAGCCATAGGTTCGCAACTCTCTAAACCTGTTGCTTGACCCAAATCCACCTGCCTAGCTAGAACACTACTTATATAAGTCAGGCCGTCTTGGTGCTCTGTTAAAAGCCATCAGGACTGAATTCAGCCGCGGTGTAGCCGCGGTGTATCGCAACCTACATCTCCTTTGATGCTCGTGACCAAGAGAGCCTCAGATAGCATACCCATTGACCTTGAGGCATAGCACCAGTGTGGCACAGGATGGTTGAAGAGAGAAGAACTACTGAGGGACAAGACGGCCTCAGACACGGAATAAATCGGTACAAAACTGTGCTATCAAGCTCTTTGTTCTCTATCATCTCTCTCATGAATCATACGAGACGCGGTTCCGAGCCTCTGTGCAGTCGGCCATCGTCTGACGTATGACATGTCGTGGCGACCAGCTGTTCGCCCAATCCCCCACAATTGGGCCAGTTTCACTAGTTCATCAGAAGGAGACGCTTCTAAAAGACTCGCAATGACTCTTCCGTTGTACGTATGGTAGTTTCTGTGTGCTGTATATGCTTAGCTCTGCAATGGTTCGTGTGTAACTTTTTGCCTTCAATCTTGGTGAAAGGTTTAGAATGGGCTAAGAACCACCTTGCGAGTAAACTGGAGATATATCTCAGTTAAATGAAGTCGTTATTGACAAAATTTGATTAGAACTTGGCCAAATGGCTCGTTTGTAAATAATTAAAGCCCCGCATTCATACACGTGTCTGCATGTGAGACCCGCGCAGGTATCTGTGACACGTGTATTGAACTTGGTCCTGTGACCTCTCTATGATACTTGACACGTTGCTAGATATTGAGACATTGCGAGAGTGCAGTCATCAATGGCCTTAATTATGCATATCCAAAGCCGCATCGAGAATCACTCTCAAGCCTTGCACTGGCCGCGGCCAAGCTTCAATAAGAATAAAGTAAAAGGAATGAGAGTTCAATTCAAGACAGTGGAATTTCAAGACCATCATGCATCTGGTCTAACTCACTGACCGTATAAATACTGAGAGCTTCCGAGTCGCGAGGCCGGGAACAATCACAACGCAGTGATGGTGTGTCATGACCAAGGTCCGGAACACGACCAATGATGAGGCAATTGCTTGTTTACTTACACGTAGAATCTTCGTTCTAGCTATAGAATAAAATATAAGCAGACACGGAACTCACTTTCCTGCCTTCCATCCTCGCAACGACGTGGAGAAATGGAGGAAGATCTCACAACGTCCGGCTGGCCAGTTCAGAGCACAACAGGTATCAAGCGATCAACGGGATTCATACAACGAGTTCTCCGACCTCGTTGGGCTGATGGGTCTCTATTGAGCCAACAGAGGACCAACATCAGAGAGCGCTGAGTGCATCATAGTGTACTAATGCTTCGAAGTTGCTTAGCACACCGGAGGCGCCAACGCGAAGGACTCGGACATGTATATATACAGAACTAACCATGATGGCAGTGACGTTCAATCCATACCCATTCAAAATAAGTTGAAACAATATGGCAGCATTTGCTTATCACGTCGTCATGGAGACCCCTGTTACTTCGCGAGGAAAGCTCTCCACGGGGAAACCGTCAAAAGTCTTATCCGCCGATAAGCTTGGGGTTAAGCATACCTACTAGTGGAAAGGCAAGGCCACAAGTCTCATCTGCCACTACCGGTATGCGATTTGAGACCGACTGAGAAATGCTCAAGGTACGGTGTGCGGTCAGCCCTACGTCACTAGCCCTAGTACTCATTGGGCACCGATGCGGTCATGATGATATGATTCTAATGGCGATTGGAAGCCCCGTCAAAAAGCACCGCCGGGGGTCGATGACCACCCAAGAGAGCGGGGGATAAACACACAGTAAAATGCAAGTAAGATTTCGAGCCTCTCACTGAAGTCCAAAACACGTCGGGCAAGGCTTTCATGCCTTGGCTCGATGCGCGCACATGCACACAGGCACGCTGACACGGCTATGTGGCTCACTCCCAAGCCCAGGCGATGTGTCACTGAGTCCCGTCCCTGTGGCCTCTGCAGACCGCATGAGCGCTTGAAAACACCGGCTTTTCTTTTCGGAATGTGATGCGATGTGATGTATGGCCGCCCGCCCCTTATTATGGGGCCAGGGCCTTCTGCTGTTCCTTCCTTGTCGTCGCCGTTACGTGGCGATGACGATGGTCAGCCACAATACTGCCCACTTTGCGGCGTTCCAAGATACCGCCTCCGAAGCGCATCATTATGTTGGTGTTGTATAGAAGCGCTGAGCGTACATAAGAAAGGGGACTGGCCGCGGCTTTGTGAACGGTATCCTAGATAACAATAACATCGATTCATTCTCAAACATAGCAACACTCACCTCGGCGCGCCATACCATCCAGCATTGGTGACACAGCTACACCCAACAGTCTTCCGGTCTCACCCAAGAATCGTTTCGCGATGGCCTCAATGAGCCAGCGTCATCCTATGGACGCCCCCCTCGACGTTCCTGTCCGTCAAGAGAAGCCCGCGGGTCTCCTCACCCGCTTCGTCCCTGCCCGTCTCCAGCACTCCAAATTCTACAGTCTCTTCCTACGCCTCACGCGCGTGCTGCAGTTCCTCTCATCCGTCATCTCTCTCGGCATCTTCTCTCAGCGTTTCTTCAAGGTCTACCGCCTCGTCAACTCCACCAAGACTCGGCGTGGCGTCAACGGTTCCTACGGCGCGGTCGAGGGCATCCTTGCCGCCGCCGTGTTGTACACCCTCATCACGACCCTTCTCGGATGCGTTAAGAAGAACTCTAGTCCAGGCACCAAGTCTTGGCTTCGCTGGTTGTGGGTCGTGCTCGACCTCCTATTCATGGGCGCCTTCATCGCCGTCGCCGTGATCACCTCACCCAATGGTGGCATGGCTGGCCCGAGGCATTGCTACAGCCAGGGACGTCTCAGTAATGGATCCAACAGCACTACTGGCGAGAACGTAAGCACCGATGATACTTGCAACCTGCCGTGGGGTACCTTTATTCTGGGAATCATCAGCACGTAAGTTCCGGAAAACCATGTGCTATCGTAAACTGGATTGCCATACTGACAGCTTCTTGCAATAGCCTCCTCCACGCTATCACTGCTTCCTTCCACGAGGTCAGAGACCGTCGTCGCAGAAACAAGCTCAACATTGCCGAGGAGGAGAAGGCTATTCATACCGCACCCGTCCACAATGCATCCGGCCATGTTAGCGGCGCTCACAACGGGTCTGGACCCGTCGGACATGGACAAACTGGACATACTGGGAACACAGCAGGGTACACCAACAACTCAGTACCTACTGCAAACAATGCTCGCTACTAGCGATACCAAGTTTCTCGACTATGAATTCGTCTTGCGGCGCACATGAGCTCGATGAGTTCTGGTCTTATGTGGTAAGCGATGTTATCAACCAGGCCAGAGCATATCAAGCCGAAGATTATTTACGATTGGATTTTCGAGGATTTTTTATAGGGGCGAATGAGCTCTAATATCAGCAGCAACAAAGATACCGATAAAACTGCCTACCTAATAGACACATCAAAATTGTGTTCAGAATAGTGTGTTTCTTCAAAGTGACGATGTCTGAATGATCTATTGGGAATATTCACGTATTAGTTTGGCCCACGTACCTGTGCCGTCATATTAGCCCATAATATGAAAATGGCGAAACTGAGTTGATCAGAAGAAGTGACGTTCGTCGTTGGCGGTCAATCGTCTGCTTTATTCGAATCCGCCAACGATCACTTGGCCTATTTCTAGCCGACATAGGTGAACACCTTGTAGTCGCGTCCGAGACAACCGCGTTATCACGGTGGTTTGTTGTGCGGGACATTGGATCAAGGTTCGGCGTGAAAAATGACCGATATGGAGCATGAACCTGGGCTGATGAAGTGTCAGACACTGATACAGATTGAACAGCATGCAGCATGACCGCCCAGTGGGAGCTGGTCGGATACGACATACCCTTCGGGCCCGAGTCGTGAACCTGGCCGCGGTTGGGCCACCAGTCTCGCGGCGTCTCATGAGCGAGGAAGAAGTGAAGACAGGTGCAAAGAGCGACAAGGCTGAAGGAAGAGGCCAGTCATCTGCGAGCAGACATGAATGACGAGGGTGGATATGACATGCAGCACAGATAGAGGGGCTTTTACGAGGTATCTGTCAACGGTCAGCGGAGGGGTGTCAGGTGCTCCATCTAGCATAGCACGCCGCTTTTGTCGCCTTAACCGCCCCTGACTCGTTGGTGTTAATTATAGAGATGCCGCTGGCGCTAGCGGTGCGCTCCTGGCTCGTGAGGGCTCGCTTTCCAAGGATCGATCCGCCCGGATGGTTTTTTTTTTTTTTTTTTTTTTTTGGAACGATTTGCCGGGGGATGGCGGCATCGCATATGTTTTTCTTTTGAGATGCCAGCGACTGGGGAAACCTGTCTCTCGAAGGCTGGAAGAGGAACCAGGTGGCGGGGTTGAAAGAAAGCAGATGCCAAAGTATCCGTATATCGTCGACTGTTGGCTAGCACAGCCACCGCCTGACAGCTCGCTAGACGTGGGTTTGAGGCAGCCCGGCCAACTGGATACGAGTGCTCGCAGCCCATGGAAGGAACGAACGCTGCAGCCAGTTTGGAGCTTGGGTTGGGGATAGTTTGACCTCTCGATATGACGATGATTGATTGCATGAGACGGACGACGCCGATGCAGCCGTTCTGGCCCCCGACGCAGCAGCCATTCACACACCCCGCTAGAACGGACTCGAGTGGCGGGTTCATCTTCATGAAACGTTGCGGTCAGCAGCGCGGAGCGACCTTCTCTCACTTTTTTTCTCTTTCTTTTCTTTTCTTTCGGAACCCACTGACTGGTGGCGGCGGCGGCAACGGCGGCGGTTGACTCGACTCGGAAACCCGCTTTCGCTCTGAGACCAAAGCCGGAGGCAAAAGCGATCGGCACAATAGTCCTTCCTCCTGAGCAATCTTGGCCTCTTCTCTCGTGTTGTGTAATGCCGCGTGATGGGCAGGAGCCCTGCGTTGGCCTTGGACCCGTTGACGGTTGCAGCGGAGAATTACGAAGATCTCTGGACCCGTTTTCCCGGGGTGTCCTCGGCGCGAATGGGCGGAAAAGGCTAAGAGAGGGTTTGGATTTAGCCGTTTACATATTTGTACCCTTGTCTCCGTGCACGTGTGCGAAAATAACAATTACTTGACGGCAATAACAAGAAACGATGGAGAGAGGTGAGGAATCTCGCAAACGATGGTGGGAAAAGGAAACTTGTTGGCACTGTGGTCCAGGTACTCCGTACCTATCTGGGTATCTTGGTACGTACCTACCTGGGTATCTAGGTAGCCAGTCAAGGAGGAAGCCCGAAGGTAGCCAGCCAGCCCACTGTTCAACTCTTCGGCCCGCCTCTGGTTCGAGGCTGGAAAATCCAATCCCAACGGATTTACGAGAAAAGAAAAATATGTCAGCTTGCTCTAGGCGAATGCAGCGTACTTTTACTCCTGATTCAAGCACGGCGACACAGGAGAGTGGCAGCCAGCTGTTCCGGTTCGCGATAGGCCGGAAACACAGACGCCATGTGTTCCGGTTTCTGTGCTGACGGGACTGGATGGCGGGCGGGCTTTGATGGAACGATGGAGTAAAGCGACAATTTTTGATAGCATACGGAGTATGTACGGCCATGATTGGCGGACCGTGCTCGGTCTGTCTTACAGTCCTTCATAGGTAGCGCGGTGCGGTGGGCGCGTCGACCATGGGAGCCCTGAAAGATTGCTCAACTCATTTCCTCCCATCATCCATCCATCCCCTGGTAGCCTCATGAGCTGAGCCAAGCAAAGGGTCGTCGCAAAGTAGCCCGTGTTCAAGGGCTGTCGTCTCCTGCATAGCTGGGCGCAGCTTTGCTTACTCCCCGTATGATGCGCTCGCGCTCTCCCAAACCTCGTCCAAGTTAAGGCGGGGGGGTTGTTTTGGCAGTAGTCCAATTAAACTAGCTGTTGGAGATCTGCCTACTTCGGCGGATGAGCCAGAGTTTGGCCTTGCAGCAGGATGCACAGGGCCAAGAGCGGCACCACCAGCGGGCGACGGGGCCCCGAGATTGCACTGTCTCTTGTGTTGCTGTTTTGTGACCAGGGCGGCAAGCTTAGTCCAACTTGGATGGAGAGACCAGAGTGGAAGAGGCGCGCGCACTCAGACACACACACACACACACACACAATATTTAAGCAAGTCGAATGGATAAACCTGCGTGGGTCGTCGACGAAGACATGGGCCAAGTCCAAGGTCGGCTATGCACGGTGTTGTTATAGGCCGGTTCTGACCAGTAGGAATACGGATGGATTCTGGTCAGCGTGTGTCGGCGCGACACAGCGGGCTTGACCAGTGGCGCATGGCGGCTGGGTCTGGAATGCGGCAGAGCGAAACAAAGGAAGCGGGCGGCTCGACGGACAATGAGCAAAGCAAGCAAGCAAGCAGCTGGCTGACACATTCGGACCCCCACCCAGGGGAATGGACCGGCCTCGTGGCTTGGGCAGTGCAGCGCTGGAACGCGCTGGAAACGGGCCGGGTGGACGGAGACGGATGAGATGGATGGATGGGATAGTTGGTTGGTTCGGCGGCAACGCAGCGTCGACGAGAGGCATATGGTGTTTGTATTGATTCGTATGTATCGAGGAGCGGAATTCCACTCGGGGTCAGACGTACACCGTACGGTTACCACCAGTATAGTACATGCTATGCTTATTCGGCGTTGCGTGCATGCATCCTTCGACTAATGTTCTAACGTCGCAAATTGCTTTTGCCAGGAAATTATGCTTGATTGCCCGTGGAACACCCGCAATGATGTAGGTAGGAGATGTACGGATAAACTGCAGTGAAAATAGACTTACGGCCATGGTCCACTAGGGACCATCCATCAGCGTCTTTCTGGCCCTGTGCCTTGCATCTGATCATCTGATCTACCTGACTTTTCTACGTGCATCGCTGCAGGCAGCTGTCAGAGATAGCGAAAAAAAAAATAAGGATAAATATATATATTTAAAGTGTTCTTTTATTACCTTTTAGACACATGGTATACGATGCGCACCGAGTGCAACCCCCAGCAGATGCCCTCAGGAATGCAGCAACACAGGAACGGCAGGAACAGATGACCTGTCTCTCTTCCCTCTTTCCCCAATCCTTTCTTTACATGGGACGTTTTTGTCCACTCTCTGTGGTTCCTTCCTGCCTTCCCTTCCTCAAGTGGGACACGGTACGATGTACATGGGTACTCATGCCTTACAAAGCGGCTGCCTAGGTTCCGGAAAGGAGATGCCGGCTGAGAAGGAGGACAGTGCCACTCCACCCGCTACCTTGCCCTGCTTGCTTATTCAGGCAAAGTGAAGGAATCTTGCATCAACCACTGGTCCTTTGCACAGGCAAATTGATTAATCCTTTTGGGGACTTTTGAGCAGAAAAGGGGCCCATCAGCCCCCTCCCCCCTTAGCCCAAGCCCACATCCAGTTTGCATCCCTTTTTTTTTTTTTTTTTTTTTTAATCTTTGTAGTCACGCTGCTACTCATTCACAAGTCGCGACTTGCAACTCCCACTTCACAACATGGTACACTATTCATTCGTACTGTGCTGTCTGGGCGCACATATACTCTCACCTATACAGCGAAACGGATGCCGAATCGCCTGCCCTGTGTCAAAATGAACGGTCACAGCCCAGTTACTCCCAGGCTTGAACCTGACCTTTCCCTGAAGAGCCAAGTGGCTCAGGGGTGCCCGAGGTCCAGTCTTGCCTGCTGACCACCCCTCCCAGGACGTTAAGCAGGCGCAGGGTTCTGGTTAAGGTACAAGGTCGTATTGATTCGCCCTAGCCACCAGACCGAGCAGGGACATGCCATCCCCTGTCTGTGGACAAACCGAGACCAAGAATTGCCTTTGGCCTGGTCTGCTCATGCTGCCTACGTAGTACCCATCCAGTGTGCCTGCCATTATGCCGTTACCGTGAGTTTTCATTGCTACGTACAGGTGGTGCTGGGTGTTGCTGTGCCTCATCTTGACGAGACTAATAAAACCATCTCCCCCGTTCGTGTGATCTTCCTTCGATACCTCTCCCTCTCCCTCTCCCTCTCCCTCTCCCTCTCTCTCTTCCTCACCTCGTCCTACTTTGCCTCCTCCTCACGAGCTTCCTCTTGTCTTTTCTTACGGTATTTGCCAGTCTCTCGTTAATCGGCATTATTTCCACCACTCTCGCTCGCTTCAAGCCACCCGCAAGCCTCAAGCTCCAGCAACAGGCCCGCCTCCTTTTAATACATCCCTCGAGCCTTTGATATTTCTCTCGTCGATCTACTTCCCGGCACCCTTTTCCCTCATCCGATCTCATTCTTCCCATCGAAGTCCGCAAACCGACAAACAGGGGGAAAAGATGTTCTCCAAGATCCTCTCCGTCGCAACCGTGGCTCTCGCCACCACCTCGCTGGTCTCTGCCCAGACCTTCACCACCTGCGATCCTACCAAGAAGGGTATGCGACCCCCAGTCCCCCGTCATGGGGCATGGTCTCCTTGAATTTGATTTCATGTCGTGATGGAATAGCCTTGCTGACTCGTCTCCAGACTGCCCTGCCGACCCCGCTCTGGGCAAGTCCGTGGATATTGACTTCACCAAGGGCAACGATGACTCCGTCTTCCGCCAGCTTGATGGTACCGATGTCAAGTTCGAGGATGGCGGTGCTCTCTTCTCCATCAGCAAGGAGAGCGAGGCTCCCACTATGGCGACCAAGAAGTACATCTTCTTCGGCAAGATCGACGTCGTCCTCAAGGCCGCTCCCGGCCAGGGTGTCGTCACCTCCATCGTCCTCCAGTCCGACGACCTCGACGAGATCGACTGGGAGTGGGTTGGCGGCGACAACACCCAGGTCCAGACCAACTACTTCGGCAAGGGTGATACCAGCACCTACGACCGTGGTGCCTTCCACACCGTCAGCAACCCCCTGAGCGACTACCACACCTACACCATCGACTGGACCCAGGACTCGGTCAAGTGGATCATCGACGGCGCCCTCGTCCGCGAGCTCAAGTACGCCGACGCCAAGGGCGGCGCCATGTTCCCCCAGACTCCCATGGAGGTCAAGATCGGTACCTGGGTCGCTGGCCGCAAGGACGCCCCCAAGGGCACCGTCGATTGGGCTGGTGGCTACGCCGACTTCAGCAAGGGTCCCTCCAACGCATACTACAAGAGCATCTCCATCACCGACTACCAGGGCAACAAGGGTGCCAAGGGCGCCAAGCAGTACGTCTACGGCGACCGCACCGGCAGCTGGGAGTCCATCGTCATCAAGACCGATGGCGGTGACGACGACACTTCTTCCTCTGCCAGCAAGACCGCCACCAAGACCACTCTGAGCACCGTCACCGCTACCGGATCCAGCTCTGTCTCCGCCACCGCTTCCAGGGAGGCCTCTGCTACCGAGGATGCTTCCGCCTCCGCCACCGGCTCTGCCGACTCCGGCTCTGCCGCCTCCGCCTCTGCCCCCTCGACCGTTGCCGCCAGCTCTGGCTTCGCGACCAAGGCCAACCTTGCTCTCGGCGCCGTCGGCCTGTTCTTCACCTTTGTGCTGTAAGCAGGGTTCTCCGGGACTTTGGATCAATGACTGTACATGCGCATGAAGACAATACAAATCATTCCGCCGATGGCGAGCGGGTTGTACAACTTTTTTGTAACCTTCGACACGATCCTTATCACGACTGAGCTACGCGGGCTTCCCTCGGAGCCTTGGGCGGAGCAGTCGAGGCCAATCTTGACTTAATCAGGTACTTTTAATGATGTCTCTTTCCACGGTATCGTCCTCGGGCTCCGGGGAGGATGCTGTTTACTGCAACGACCCCGCGCAAACATTGAGGCGTTTGTTTTTGTTCGAGCGCGAGGTAGAGGGGAACGACAGAAACATGTCAGCATAAGGGCATTTCATTTCGGATCGAGTTGGTTTAGAAGTTGGTTGTGGACTATGATACCTTGGGGAGAGGCAGTTGGAGATACCTTTGGCCATTTCGCCAAAGGTGGCCGGACGACCTGAAATCAAAATCTTGACAAACATTGGCTTGGCTCCCGTTGCGATCCCTGTTTGAGTGATGAAGTATCCTTTTGTGTGGATGTCACGCCAAGAATAGACTCGCATCCAAGTCGTCAGGCGTGATGCGGTTGCCCCGGTCGTGTGGAACGGTTCAGCAGCAGAGACGTTGCAATTTCACCTCATACTCAGTAGACGAGGGATTTGGCGTTTGGCTCAAAGAGGAGAAGGGGCCGGGGCCCAGCGCTCCCGCGCTCTACCTTATTCGGACCTAATCTCCACTGCCCCTGCATCGCTTACGTACCGTCCCATGAAGCGAGGCAGGCAACGCAGCTTCACACAACTCAGACCCGACCCTATGTATGCACCGTCCATCTATCATGGATTGTATCGTAGCGGGTGACCCTAGTCCGTTGAACATAGAAGAATCATGCAATAATGGACATGTTGCAACATGACAGATGTTCTACCATTAGCCTCAGTGAAGGCGGTCACGAAAGTTACTGACAAAATCGACTTACCAACCAATGGCAACAGCACGGCGCCAATCAGCGTGAGAACAGCTCTTGAACCAAAATGACTTTCCCGCCGTTCCAAGTATCCTTGGCGACATCTCTGCATTATCTGCAGGCTTGAAAACCAATGACAGAAACAGTCGGTCTACAGGCCTGTTTTCATTCTGTCGATTGCTCCCTAATTGTCGGCTGGCGAGTAGACTACTGATTATGAGCATGCGAACACAGTCTTTGCAGTGTCAACACCGCCCTTGCCAACTTACACTGCCTCCTCCATGGCGGCGGTCTTGGTCTTCGCCCGACCCTGGGTGAGCTGTTATTTGCCTCAGTGGGTCAAATGGACACGGACAAATCAAAATGGATCTCCTACCAGGGGGGGGGAGGGGGGGGTTGATTTGTCGGGCTCCCCCTTTTCTCCGACGCAGAGGTCTGGGCTGTCCAGTAAAAACCAAAGTTCCCACCTAGCCCTGGAGCTTGGTTTCCAACCAGCCGTTGAGGGTTATGACTGTGTAGGCTGGCATGATCTGGGCCGTGGTTTCGGTAGTTGAATAAGGCAGTTATAGTTGGACCAACGTCATCTTTATAGCAGCTTAGTGTCCCAAAAAGTGCCCTTGGCCTATGTGACTGAGATCCAACTTTGACTGTCGGCTGCAAACTCGGTCAATTGGGTTAGTTCGATACCCTGATACTTCCATATATTGTGTTTCTTCTAGGAACCTTATTGCACTGCGTTTTTCCAACTGCGTCAAGAGAACCTGTGCGACCTTAACAGAGACCGTCTTGGATACGTACCTAAGTATCCCCCAGCGGCTGCTTTGGGGCCCTTGTTACCCGCGTCGTTAGAGTATTCGTATACCAGTGCTCATTCATTGATGACGGGGGGCGGCTGCTTGGCGTGTTGTGGGCGTGCGTTCTCTCAGGCCGGGGATACGAGAATGACAGTTTCAGTGGAGGAAAGGGAAGAGGAGGATAATGAGCGAAGAGAGGGGGGGCGAGACGGCCGCGGCTCTCAATCTCCCGTTGTCTCGTCCATATGGAGTCGCGGGCCTGTCCTTTTTGGGGGAGGCAAGTGCCAGCTAGACCGGGCTGTTGGAAGAGCAGCCTTAGTTTCTCACCTTTGGCGCTTTTCTATCCAAAGTCGAGCGGTCCGAGAGGGGAGATGAATTCCATCGGCATCGGGGATAGTCTCCGCTTTGTTCCGTCTCCTTCCCGTGGGAAGCTCCCGAGGCAAAACCAGAGTTAGACGGCGTTGTGGGGCCGGCAACTCCCGAAGTGTGCATGTGTGCGTGCCGTATCGGCAATGTAAGACCCTCCAAGGATATGCAGGTACGGCGCATGGTGATGATGCTAGTAGCATTTTGTGTGGCCATTTGGGCGAAGTCCAGTGGCGAACATACTTGGGGGGGGGGGGGGCGCTAAGGAGGGATAATGTTCCACTGTGATCCTGCGGGCATGCAATGGTGATCGTTCTGTTGGGGATCATGTAGCTGGCTTATTGGGGTCTTCTGCGAATAAATAAATAAATGTATGTAAAAAGACAAAAGCCCAAAAGCCCAGCAACAAATCTAGCAACCAATATCTCCACCCCCCTTGCGAAGTTTATCTGTCCAAGAGAGTAGGTACCTGGCACACTCAGTGACCTGGAGCACTCGGTGAATTAGTTTACAGCATTGATCAAGGTATGACAGGAAACCTTTATCTATCGACAAAAACATATGGGGTCAGATGCAGTCTTCGGCGCCGCGACGCCTGAAAATGAGGGAAGGCTGATTAGACTCAGAATTGAGAGATGTCAAAGAAAGAGAGTTTCGGCTTTTTCCTTGGCGGAGACGCGGGATCTGACGGACCGCAGGTAGGGGTCCAACGGCATCTAAATTATCTGCACGTAACATGGTGGTTTGTGCAGCTCCAGCCAAAACTTATTTTGATGAGGCGGGGGATCTAGGCCACTCTCGGTGCAGCAGTGGCGGCGGCGGCGGCACGAGAGCGACTGCATGAAGCCGGAATCCAACATTGTTTCCGCAGTTTATTTATGTTCTTGGCGGGATAACTCCGTCTGGCCGCGACGGCAAAGATAGTTCCGGGATCTGGAAGGGACCCGCGTGCGAGTACCGGTGAGGGAATGTCCTGTATGTGCTCCACTTTTCACCGGAAGATGCAGGCAGGGTGTGGTCTTGACAGCCTCCTCGGCCGGCGGCAACCACTATAAGATTGAGAGAGTGACGTCATGCATTGTATATCTAAAGTTTAGGAACGAGTATGATTGAAGATGATCGGCTGCGAGCGAGCGGGATACGTAGCAATTAACCACTTTGCGGTTTACTGCTCATCAACGACGGCAGATCAAGGTGGCGTACCGGTGGACCCTGCACGGCAAAAGTTTTTGAAGCCGGGTCCCGTCCCCACCAAAAAGCACGTTTTCTGAAAGCTTGACAGAGCTCGGCGAAGCCCGAACCAACGCCGCGGAAAGAGCCCGCACTTGACGTAAGGCAGACAGCCGCGAAGGGGCAACAAGTGTCTTGGTACTGTAGGTACCTACCCTGCTACCTAGGTACCTGGTGAGTGATACATGCATGCCTTGGTCGGTGAGGCAGGTGTCTTGTGGGAGAAGCAATGGCAGCTTTGCTCCTCTTGGGGATGCCGAAATTCACCCGTGCTGGCAATGACAGGACCAGAAGATGGTTTGAGCATTTTCCCAAACCGCCGCAAGACGGTAACTCCATTTTTTTTCCTCCTCTTCTTTTCTCTTCTTTCATGCACGCACGTCTAGATTCCTTGCCCTCCTCGCCCCTCAGTTGGCGGTGTGAAGCCTTCCAACTGCCGAATAATACCGGGGTCGATGACATCAAACCCCCATGAACCACCACGAGCCTCCACGAACCTCCACGAAACTCTACGACTACTTGACAGCGGCGGCCAGCAAGATCCCTACCTGTCCTTCTCTGTCACCGCTTTCTCGCAGAATCGACGTGTACGATGTACAGCGTACGATATACACTAGACAAAGCAAAACTTTGGACCCTCCCTTCTTCGTCCTCGTCCCGGAACGGAGTCGGAGAGTCTTGACCTCCGTCAAAGAGGGCGAGAGACAGAGCGGCAGAGTCGAGACCCCCCGGGGGGTCGAGAGCCGCTCGCTGTTCTCGCGTGTTGTCCCCGCCCCGTCCAAACCACCCCTATCTCGGGACTAAAGATATCCTGGATTTCTAAGCCAGATTTCAGAGTCTATCCACCCAGGCCCGGCCCTGCGTATCATGATGACGCCTCCCGACCTTTTTTTTGGTCCGCTCTGGAAAGGTCCCGCACCGCCCAAACGGCGATGATTGAATACCACACACGGCCCGCCCAACGGGGGGGATCCTCGCCTTGGTCTAGTTGCTCCCAATCGGCCTTTGAACTGCGGCATCGAGCCGCACTTGGGCCCATCTAGGGGCTACCGATCTATTCCCAGTCTGTTCCCGCTCGTTCGACTCCACCCACCTCAAAGTTTTTTTCTCTGGTGCGCGGATTCTATGTCCAGCTTCACTGTTCCTTGGACGACCGGCGTTAACACCCTCTTTCGCCGACAAGTTTAGGACTTAACCTAACATGTTTTGCAAGATGGGTAACTTCAAGTCTATAAGACGAGGGCTGCTCCCGCTTCTGAGGTATAGACAAGCCCCCTATTCACTTATACTATATCCTCCCCGTTTGTGACAAGTCTTCCCTCGGATACTCCATCATCACCCCCTTTCGCATCCTCTTGGCAAGAACAAAACACGCATCACAATGGCCGCTACCGACTACAAGTTCGAGGGCTGGGTTGGCCTGGACGAGAAGTCGTCCGAGGGCAACATGGTCTGGCAGGAGTACGAGCCCAAGCCTTGGGAGGAGACAGACGTCGACATCCAGATCACCCACTCCGGTGTCTGCGGCTCAGACATCCACGTGCTGCGCTCCGGCTGGGGCCCCGCCCCCTACCCCGTCTGCGTCGGCCACGAGATCGTCGGTGTCGCCGTCCGTGTTGGCTCCAAGGCCGAGGGCGACATCAATGTCGGTGACCGCGTCGGCGTCGGTGCCCAGTCCGACTCCTGCCTCGGCCGCCAGGGCCCCTGCGAGCCCTGCCAGTCCAAGAAAGAGCAGTACTGCCCCAAGTTTGTCCAGACCTATGGCGCCTTCCACTACAACGGCGGCAAGGCCATGGGCGGCCACGCCAAGTACCACCGCTGCCCCTCTCACTTCGTCGTCAAGATCCCCGACGGCCTGGAATCGGCCTACGCCGCGCCCATGCTGTGCGGCGGTGTCACCGTCTTCTCCCCGCTCAAGCACCACGGCTGCGGCCCCGGCAAGACCGTCGCCGTCAGCGGCGTCGGCGGTCTCGGCCACATGGCCATCATGCTCGCCAAGGCCATGGGCGCCGACAGGGTTGTCGGCATCTCCCGCAAGGCCGACAAGCGCGACGAGGTCCTGAAGATGGGCGCCGACGACTACATCGCGACGGGCGAGGAGGGCGACTGGGCCAAGAAGTATGCCAACACCTTTGACCTCGTCATCTCTACCGTCTCCTCTTCCAAGGTCCCCATGCAGGACTTCCTCAACCTCGTCAAGCTCGACGGCTCCCTCGTCCAGGTCGGCTTGCCCGACGACGGCGCCTACACCATCTCCCCCGTGCCCATGATCATGCGCCGCGTCAACTTCACCGGCTCTCTGATCGGCTCCCCCCACGAGATCCGCGAGATGTGGGAGCTTGCCGCCAAGAAGGGCGTCAAGCCCTGGATTCAGGTCCGCCCCATGAGCGAGGCCAACCAGGCCATTGTCGATCTCGAGGACGGCAAGGCCCGCTACCGCTACGTTCTCGAGAACTAAGCCGGGCATCAGGACGGCCTAATCATCCGAGCTACTCTGGGAATGGTGTATATAGGACGGGGTTGGTGAAATGATTTATGTGTGCAGATAAGGACATAGCGATTTGGTTACATTGTAGACATGGACATGGACAAAATATCAGGAGCCGCCGCTCCAATTTTCATGACGAAATTTCACTTCCAATACGAGCACGTATATGCAATGTGATGTGTGTGTAAAGGTGCAGAATATCAATGCTAGTTGCTGGTCATAGCCATCAGAAGATCAAGATGATGATGCCCGTGGTGAGATTGGCCAACATAGACAAGTGATCGATCGGGGCGGTCGAGGAGGTGTGATGTCATACCGTTTCGCTGAAGGACTTGGCATTTGCGGGGTGATATAGAGTTCGGTGGCATCTTCACCTCAGCATCTCACCCGCACACATCACTCTGTCTTCCTCATAGACGTTGTACAAGGTAATCTCCTGTCGAGCTGAAAGTACGTACAAATGTCATATACGCATAGCGAGCCAATCATCCTTGCCTGCATCAGGCACCAACGCTAACCTGCCTACCTAGGCATACAAATTTATCTCGGAGGTCGGTTCTGCCTCCGGACGCCTGATGGCGAACCAAACCTAGGTCGTCGCACCGACCGACTGTTGCTATAAAAGGCCAAGCAACAAAACACCCAAGAATGCGAGGAGGCATCGTGGTCCATGTCGGTAATCCTGTCAGAAGCATCAAGCTCCGGCCATCACCGCCGAGCCCATCACGCACGCCTCACCAAACCGCAGCCCAGCACGCAACGCCGCCAGCCTCTCGCCGCAGCATCTCCTCCGCAGTCATGGCGCCTCACAACGACGTTGCCGCCTTCCACGAAGCTCTGCGCTCCAGCAAGCGCATCTTAGCTCTCTGCGGCGCCGGCCTCTCCGCCTCCTCCGGCCTGCCGACCTTCCGCGGCGCTGGCGGCCTCTGGCGTAACCACGACGCCACGGCTCTCGCGACCATGGACGCGTTCAGCCGCGACCCGGGGCTCGTCTGGCTGTTTTACGCGTACCGTAGGCACATGGCGCTCAACGCGCAGCCCAATCCGGCCCACTACGCGCTGGCGGCGCTGGCGGAGAAGAACCCGGACTTTCTGTGCTTGACGCAGAACGTGGATGGTGAGTGAGGACCTGCCGTGTCCATCTATTTTCATATGATATATATATATATATATACATATATATGTCTGTAAACTACAAGGCTAAGGCAGCTAACACAGCCAGACCTATCACCCCGGGCAGGACACAAGACGGAGCAGCTCCGCCGCCTCCACGGAAGCCTCTTCGACATCAAATGCGCCAATCCGAGTTGCACCCACGTCGACCGCAACAATACCCTGGACCCGCTCTGCCCGGCCCTCGCCCCGGCCTCGGAGGACGTCAAAGACCCTTCCCAGACCCTTCCGCTTCTCGATCCGACCCAGGAGCTAGCGCGCATCGACGACGCCGACCTCCCGCACTGCCCATCGTGCAAGACGGGGCTCCTGCGCCCGGGCGTCGTGTGGTTTAATGAGAGCCTCGACGAGGCGATGCTGAATGGCATCGACGAGTGGATCCGCAAGGGCAGAGTCGACCTCATGCTCGTCATCGGCACGTCCGCCAAGGTATACCCCGCCGCCGGCTACATCCTCGAGGCGCGCAGGGCCGGCGCCCGGGTGTGCATCATCAACCCCGAGGCCGAGGTCAAGGGCCAGAGGAGGCCCAAATTGAAGCCAGGGGATTTCGCGTTCGCAAGAGACGCGGCCGAGGTATTACCGCTACTGCTGGAGCCCGTCATTGGGAAGATGCCGACGGACGGGTAGACTCACACGGAGGCGCAGAGGTCGGGGTAGACGAGCGGCAGAAGGAACGGGGCTTCGGCCCGGGGTCTACAAAGGGGCGGCCAGGAAGTGTGCGTGGGCGGCGGCGGCTGAGTCTCCTCCGGCACCCAAAGATGTACCAGCAGCAAAAGCACCACAATGGTCGACTACATCACGATGTAGCGCGTCAAGGATATGTCTAAACGCTTCTCCCACTCGAGCATCTTCGTCGACAGCCACGTCTCGTCGCACCCCCCCCCCCCCCCCCCCCCCCCCATATCTCCAAATTCCTCGTCAACAAGTCCCACAGCCACGACTCACTGCCACCCGGCAGGCATGTTATCAGTCTTCGCCCTAGATCCTTCCGGTCCCTTGCTGCCTCCGTAATTCCCCACATCACTGAGCTCCACGAGCACGTCGCCTCTGACGCGCCCTTGACCACCTCGCTCACCGCCCGCCGCGTGTCCTTGTCGCCCGAGTCGACGCCGCCGTCCCCGAGTCCACCTCTAACCACAAGGCCAGCTCTTCGTGGGATACAGCCGGCCCCAACAGCGGCCACAGTACAGTCGCCGCCTCCTTTACGGAATGATACAGATACATCGTCCGGCCTCCTCGTCGTCCTTGGTAAATAGACGGAGAGCGATGGCAAAGGAGGAGAGCGGCCCGCCTCTGGAGTATCTCACCGCCTATGACTCCGCCGCATCGACGGCACACAGGAGGGCAGTGGGTTCACTGCCCTTTCTCCATAAGTTGGTTTCAGTCTTTCCTTGTCTCGCCGCATGCTTGATCCGCATTCCAAAAGCGTCATTGCCTCCCGCTCGTTGGGCATACTATCTATCCCCACGCCTTGGCAGTCTCCTCCCATCATCTCACCTATCTGCTCCCCCGGTCCCGATATTTTCCATCGCGTGCAAATTCCGGCGAAACTCGTATCTTTCAATTGGTCCTACCTGCGACAGTTGATACCTATATGTTCTTGCCTGCGTCCGAGAACGGCGCTGATGCCGTGCTTGCCTGTTCGATGTCCATGACATGTCTCGATCGCTCCGACTTCGGTGTTTTCAAGCAAATGTGGGCCAAACACCACCTCTTCCCAGGGGGGGTTCCTGACAAAGCCGGATCCTAGAGCATCAGTCGGTTTTGTCTCGCTTCTAGAACGCCCAAATTGTCGGTTTTCATTTCGGCGACACTCCGCGGGGACCACACTTGTGGTTTCCATTCCCAGTACAACTGACGGATGGATACCTGCAAAGCACTTACCTCGCAAGGGCACCAATTCTGAACTCCGATTGCCGACTCTCCATGGGCCTCATCCGAAGGTTCGGACCCGCCGACACTAGTAGTGTTCGGCGCCGGGAAACCAAAGACGCCCGACGGATCCATTAGATCTTACCTTCTTCTGCACCGACTCCCAGTCCCGGGGCCGCGGTGTAGGGACTGTGCTGATAAGAGCTGTCGCGGAGGTGGTGCAGGCTGAGGGATTCTCTGTGTTCCCCGTGAGCACGATGGACGCTGTGCTGTTCTACGAAAAGCTTGGGTTTGTACGGACCAGAGGCTTTTGGGTGTATATCCCGCTCGGTATAGCCCACCAGATCTTAAGGCAGGGGTTTACAAGAATGCATTTATGATACTCGACTGAGAATTCACATCCGTCGGCGAGTTATCCAACCCCAATGTGTTCATATGAGAGACGGCGGACGACTGCATGTGATGTATAGACCCCGGCGAGATAGCAAAGAAGATCAAACAACTGGCCCCCAAAGGATACTAAGATCGGCGAGGAGTGTGGTTAGACCATCATCGAAGCCCTGGTCGCTGCAGCATAAATCTCTCTAATGGATGTTCATAGATTAGCAGACCAACCGCAGGCCTGAGAGCAACGAGAAGCACTTTGCCTTGAGCGTGATTGTTCATCAGTTGAGCGTTGGCATTGTGGCCGTTTGGAGTAGAGTGGAGATACGACTAAAATGGCTGTCGTTGCCTTCGCAGAGCGCGATTGGGAAAGTCATTGATATGAAGATGTTGCTTGCATCGACTCGACGTCCCCACAAACCATGTTACATGTCTCTCGGCAATGCTGATATCTGTTTCCAGGCGGCGAGACTCAAGTGAGCGTGTGTGGAAGCTCATACGTCTTCTGTACCGCCGACAAACCCCGGGAGCGCTAGCGATAGAGCCGGCGGGCCGACATCGTGAGTCTAGCGCAATTGGGAGCTCGATGACGCAAGTGCCGGCTGGGCAGGTCGATAACCCCCTGCTTGATTTTGGTGCTGATGGGTTAAGGTGATGTGATGGGTGTGAGTTCATGATGCGGCACGACGCATGGGGCAGTCCCCCCACGAGGGATGTACACCATTTCTTGGGAACGAGCAGCTTGTGACTCGCGGATTGTTGAAACGAGGCGGTCGGGAGATGCAGGATGCAAGGATCTGCGGGGGTCTCCCGCAAGAGAGGGTGGGAGGGAGAGAGAGAGAGAGTAAAGGCTGCCAATCAGTCTAGAGACGTTGTTGAAATGGTCATTTTGTCGTAAGAGGTCAGAAGGCGGCTGAGCACGAGGACGATCGAGTGCCCCTTGGTTGCCTTTCCTTTTCGGCAGAGTAGCCGACGTGGCAGAGCGGAATGGAAATCAACTGAATGATGGGCAAGACCTTTGGCCAAGGATGAAGGGGATGGGAAGGTTGGCAAGATGGCTGTGCGGTCAATGGCGGTGGGAGGGCGAGCGTGGTGGTGTGGGCTGGTCAAGACCATGATAGACTAATGTGGATGGTCGTGAGTGTTTTTCTGGCCCTGGTCGGGTCGGCTCGCCTGCGGACGTTGTATGTGATGCCGGCGGCAAGACAAAGTCGATGTCGAGTTTTGTGAGATTTGCATGGTTGGCATGATGAGCAGCGAAACAGGGCTGATGATTCGCAGGAGATCAAGTGCCCCGCAACCCCGCGTTACCAGGAGGGTGCTATTCGTGCGTCTGCATCTTTCGTGTCGAGTCCTTGTGTCATTGGTTCTCAAGGGCGGACGGGCATTGACTTGGCGTGGAATGGCTACGGTAGACCATCCGTCGTGTCATTTATTGGACGATGTGTGGTTGAACCGGCATGTAATGGAAATCACAGACATGGTCTGGTCTCCTCTGGCGGTTCGCATGTGGGTAGGGGGGCATGTTGACGTTCCAGGGAAGATGGTGGTAGACTTGCGTGTGTATGTGCGCTCAAACTAGGCACTGGAGTAAGGTAAGTAAGTAGTGTAAGTGTGTAGGTAGGTAGGTATCTTACGGATACTCGACGCAGAAATGCATTTACACTACCGTACGAAAGCAAAGAAAGATTGAAGTGAGGAAGGATGCTGACAAAAGAGAAAGAGGCAACAGGCGGCGTGCCGACGGCCTTGTCTGACTCGGCGAGGGTCCAACTGTTACGTTATGGGTGTCACGACGCTAGTCCCGAAAAGGTAACAACCGAGCTTTCTATAAGGTAATGGGAGCCACTTTCGCTAAAGGGGTGGGGGGCACGCACGCTCTTGCACCCTCTGACAGGTCTGGCAAGCAGTCAGTGCAATGAGTGCAGCAGTTTGCCGGAAGACGGTACGGTACGGTACTGCCTTCTGTACGGATACCAGTGCGCTACAAGCGCTCGTGGGGACGGAAAGCGGCAACCTGACTGCAGACAGGCAGTCCAAGAATATGGGTCTCAAGTTCCGCCCGGGTACCGCCGAGTCGGATCGTGCAGCTGGGCTGGCCTGGGTACACAGCTCACGCTATATCTCTCTCTCTATCTTTCTCCTTCGCAGGCTACGTTACCCGCTAGGGAACAGGACGGGGGTGGGGTGGGGAGGTGAAATGTACGAGACGTGATTTGCCCGTTTATCATTATGTATTACTGTCTCGTAGCATCTTTCCAGAACTCTCACCCTGGAATGGACAGAGATAAGGCCGCAAATGTCTCGTGCTTCAGTTTTTTAGTCTACCGGTAGTACAGGGTAGTATGTCGCCGTCCCTCCGACGCCCCTTGTCGATGTCACTCCCCTCACCAGCCAGCTCACCCCAAGCTAAATTGCCATGTGCTTTTGTGGGGAATCCTCATCCGTCCGTCAACCTCGCGTCCAGTCAACAGCCCATCCCCTTGCCCTACAGATAATTATCTTGCTTCACGTAACGACACAACCTAGGTAGTGGGCATATAGTGTATACAAATGGACATTGTCCCATCTGGACTTGGCCGCCTAACACTTCGGCCAAAAGCTACCTTTTCTCTGCCATTGGACAGCCTCAACTTGACTTTTTCGACACATGCCCATCCCACCCCCCCGTGGAGGCCAAGGCATAGTCCTCGCCCCGTTGATTCCGGGACCTGTTTCCTACCCCTAGGTACGGATAAAGTTCTTTGAGTAGTTCCTCTGTGTCATATTATGATATGTCACTGGCACTCTCGTTTGTTGCTTGTCCCCCGAAACTTTGATACCAGCGCATATGCCTGGTCGGTGAAGGTCGCGCAGAGGAGGGTGAGGCCATGCCCATCCCATCCCATCCGTCCCGTCTTATTCGATTCTCCATGTCCATGCTCTTCCGTCCCCATCTTGATCCCCGCACACCATCAGATTTTCTCCTTCACATTCCCCCCTCCTCCCTTTTTTCGTCGCTTGGTCCGTCACTGGACCCTCACATCGTCAGATAGGAGTTGGGATGACAAAAAAAGAAAGAAAAAAAAACTTGCCTTACACTTCTGCATATTCTGCCGACGGTCAGAGAGAGCTAGAGTCTAATGCTTCGTGCTTCGTCTGAATGGTTCCAATCCTGCCAGATGTCGCCTCACAACGGTTTTTTATTTTATTTTGATTTTTCTTTCTCTTTTCACCACGTAGTAACATTCTAGCCTCCGGGTTCTTGAGAGATATGCGACACAGCCGATCGAGACTGACCGAAGGAGAGATATCCATGAGAGGGGCAGCCGCGAGGGGAACCCATAATCTGCTTGGCATTCGAATCCCCCCGGATGGATGAGTTTTTTGTGCCCCCCCCCCCCCCCCCTCTCCCCTACTGTGGTTGGGCCGGGTTTATACTGTTACCTAGCTAGTTGAGGATGAGCAACCATATTGCTGTTTTCTCCTACGCATTCCCCTTAAACTGGTTCCTCTTCTTTTTCTCTCCCTTCTTCCCTTCCCTCTCCCTATTCTTTCTCCGTCATCTTCCATCCTCGCCACCGAATACCCATCATATTAGTATCGTTACGTCTCCCCGGTACGGTGCAAAGAACGTCCAGTAATTAATGGGTATTACTTGAAGCGCCGAACCAGACAGGGAGAGAGAGAGAGATTCCCTCTTACATAGTGTATACGTCTTTTAATGACACCGATAAGCCAGGCTTATCTCATCCTTGCCTCCATCGTCACTTGAGTCCACCGATATCGATCCATCAACTCAACGCCTGTCCAATCCCGAGCCGCTGTTTCTCCCGGGCCCCAAAACCTGCCCTGCAGCCACACCCCTCCAAAAAACGACCACAACCGAAACCGCATTTCCATCACCAAAAACGGCCGCAAATCAAACCGCCTCGCCCACTCCCAAGCGGCCCCTCCGCGACCTTATCTCTCTCTATCCCCAAGGGACTCAACCAGCGATGCACCCCCTCATCGGACAGTGTGCGTCCCACCCCGGATCTAACTAAGGGAACCAACCACTCAGTGAACAGACAAAGCACTTCCTCAAATTCACCTTGCGCCGTTTCTGATTCCCGCTGCCGCTTATCTCGTACCCCCCTCGCATGCGACACAAGGACAAGATACTCTCCTCCAACTTGTGGACCAATACCCGTCAGCTTCCCACCTTGCACACAATACTCGCGTGGCCTTTGTTCCGCGCCTCTGCTTTACGCGTAGTCCCAACACCACTCCGGTTCCCCCATGAGGCACGTCGAAGCCTCGCAATCACTCCTGGTCGTCCTCCCTCTGCCGCAACCCACCCACCGCCACCTACCTACCTACCTACAAACTTGAAACTTCCTAATCTCAACCCGCCTCGGCGCATCAAAAGTGTCATCTCACCACATCGTGATAGCCCGTCGACTCTCTTGTCTTGCAACACAGGCTTACTCGTTGATTGGACTTTGGCGAGGTCGAGTTAGCCTGGCCAGTCTTGCTTGGCGGATCCTGCATTCGCCCTACGCACACAATTCCGAATCTCACTTCCATTCGCCTTCGAATATCATCCTTTTGCCTATCGGCTTGGTGGCGACCGACCCCAAGACCTGACAAGCCAGGAACATTACATCACTTGCATTTCGTCGCTTGCCGCACCCCGTGGGTCGCATTGCCCAGTTCATATCCCGGCGAGTGTGCCAGCCTCTCTGCTTCTTGAGGAAGCCTATCGTCCTATCACCGTTTTCATATCTGCGGCCAACTCTAGGAGTAACTCACGCCCGCTTCATCCCCCTTCCCCCCCCTAATCTCTACCTAGACCAGACCAGACCAGACCAGACCAGGGCCCGGGGCCCCGTCTTGACAAGCCGGGTCCGTCCGTCCGTCCGTTCATCTGTCTGTCTGTGTGTACCTTCCCCTGCGTTGGCCAAGCCCTGTTCGTATACATATCTTTCGACTGCCACACGCGTGGACTGCCCATCATGTCCAACCCAAGTGCCGTCATCAGGACGGCTCCCATTGCCATCGCACCCAAGCCTCCCCGTCGCCAGAACTCTTATCGCCAAGACAGATTTGCGAACATTGAGCTTTTCCGCGGCAGCATGCCTGCAAGGGAAATCGCCGAGTCCGTTGGCTCCTACACAACTCGGTCTCTCAGCCCTTGCGAATCCTGCCAACAGTCTAAAGTCAAGTGCATCGTGAGCGACGACGAAGACAGCTGCATACCCTGCCAAGCTAGCGGCTCCGACTGCTCCTTGCTCAACAGCCCCCAGCCAAGGAAACGAAAGCTAGGCGGCGACTTCGACGACAGCGGTAAAAGAAGGTGAGTCAGCTCCCATTCTTCTGTTCATGCTATGTATTCGTCTTATTGCCTTTTCCTCCTTGTGGCATACACACACATACACTGCGTGTCCAGAATACCTATTCCTTCTCATCAGAGCTCGGTCACCTTATCCTTTCTTTCCTTGGCGCCCGCTCGATGTTTCTTGGGCCGCCATGGATTCAGCTGCAGTCAGTGGGGGGGGGGCCACTGTTGATAACGAGCCTTAATCTCTGACATGTGATTGGTTCATTAGTTCACCCGCCAGGACCGATATCAGAAGTCGAAGGCAACACCAGCCCAGCCTCTCCAGCACCACCGGAAGCAGCTCCTTTCTTGAAGATATGGCGAACGTCGGAGGTCCAACTCTATTGAAGCGGACGCTGGGTCTCCAGAGTGACCGCTACAGCCAGTATATCGGTCCGACGACCGATTTCGAGCCCTCTCTTATCAACCTCTCACCTTTCAACCCGCAGGATGAGAGCCTTTTGGCCCGCGGCACGCTGCGGAAGGTCAGTGACGATGACACCTTCCTCCTGTTACCTGACTTCAACACGCCGGGCCACGAACACGTCCTCGAGGATATCGAAGAGATCGAGAACCTTGTGAGGCCACACGGCCGGAAGCTGATAGACCTGTATTTCCGCATCGTCCACCCCGCCTTTCCTATCATTCAGAAGACCGTCTTCCTGGAAAAGTACGAACGCAGTTACCGCGAGTTCTCGCCTTGTCTACTGGCCGCCGTCTACCTATTCGCCATTAACTGGTGGGAACACGATGAAGAGCTCGCACGGGTTCCTCGTCCGAACATTCCCAACTTGGAACGAATCATCCGCACAACTCTGGCCGACGCCATGTACCGGCCGAAACTGTCCACCATCCAGGCCGGCCTCCTCCTCTCCCAGCGACCCGAGGGCGATCAGTGGGCCCCAACCGCCCAACTTGTCGCCATCGCTCAGGAACTTGGTCTTCATCTCGACTGCACGCATTGGAAGATACCGCCTTGGGAGAAGGGGCTGCGGAAACGCCTCGCCTGGGCTTTGTACATGCAGGACAAATGGGGCTCCCTGGTTCACGGCCGGCCCTCACACATCTTCTCCTCCAACTGGGGGGTGCCGGCTCTCACGCAGCACGATTTTCCCGATGTGGAATGGGACGAAAACGATGTGGAGGAGAAGCTGGAAATCGAGCGCGGCCGTACGCTGTTCGGCCAGATGGTGCAGCTGTCGCAAATCCTGGCCGAGATCCTTGATACCTTCTACTCGTTGCAAGCCATGCAAACTGTAACCAACGCTGGCGGGCAAGGCACGCACCTGATTCTGGGCATGGCCAAGCCGATCCAATTGAAGCTCAAGGAGTGGTATGCCAACCTGCCCACGGCAATCCGCATGGATAACACGTACACGACAAACCCGACCCCTTCAAGCCGTTTGTCGAGCATAGGATACCTTCACCTCGCCTACTTTGCCACCGAAATCACGCTCCACCGTCGCATCATTCGCTCTCTCGAAGCCACCGGATCGGCCGTCGATCAGTACGTGCAACAGATCTGCCGGAGCGCAGCAAAGGCGCGTCTCATCTCTGCCATGGACTTTGTCAACCGTTTGAACTCGTCCCATCTGCGTTCATTTTGGTATTTCGCATCCAAGACTAACTTCGCCCTCATCGGCACTTTCGGGTCGCTTCTTTGGGCAACATCGCCAGGGAGAGAGGAAGCCGACTGGTACCGAAGGCGCTTGGCGGAATACCGCTGGACACTCTCCGTGAGCTCAAAGCCTGGTGAAGGCAAGGGCCTGACAGAGTTCGCCATGACGATGCTCGACATTTCGACCGGTCTTCTCAAGAAATTGCCAGAGAAGCCATCGATGAGCCGCAGTGGTAGCGTCGTGGATATCGGGCCTGGCAGTATGAGTAGCAGCTATGCCGGCAACGGTTTACTCGCCTTGGGCCAGAGTGCACCGCCTGCAATGACTTTTGCAGCGTTCGGTGGGTTCCAAAGTGCCGATGTGAGCAACGCACAAAGCCCAATAAGCGACGACAGCAGCGACGATGAGATGTATGAGACCTTCGCCCCGACGGCGGGCATGGCGGGTTTGGGCGAATGAACAACGCAACGGCTTCGTTCAGGATGGGAAGCCGGCCAACTACAACAACACGGAGAAACAACACACGCTCACTCGAGTATCCATCCTTTATGATTATTTTGATCGTGGGAAGAAAGAAAAAAACGGGCGGTGGTCTTCTCTCTTAGCAATAAAAAATGGGAGCGCATGATGATCTGCGGGATACCCACTGGGGTGGGCACTGGACGGCGGGCTCACTACAAGGTTGACAAAAGGGGCGTAATAGGGAGAACGTCGTCCACGGCTCATGGCCCCAACTTGATGACGTTTGGACTTTATGCTTTTGTTTTGGGATTGACGACGCAAAGAAAGGGAACGAACCGTTATTACCAGGTGTTGGCGTATACTCTTAGGGAGGGTTATACCGTCCACCTTTTTCAAGCGGAAAAGCAGAGATGCATCATGCTTTATCTTCTCCAGCACGTTGAGCGATCCATACATCTCAGCATAGGTCTCAGGGCTTTCGGAAATGAATGATATCTCTCGATGTCTTGTGACTATATTCATGCTTACTCACTTGGCGTCCTGGTGAAATGCTTGTGTGGCGTGCTGCAATGTGAAGTGCGGTGGGACTTTCAACCACACCTTCAGGTCGCCCACGCTCAGTGTTTGAACGATAGGGCCTAAAATAAAGGAAGCTTGCTGATACATAGGGCCTGCCATAGGTTGCTGAGGCTTTTGGTAGTAGTCAATTGTGTAATCTGTGCCTGACTACCGGGACTTACGCCTTCGGATGCTGGCACTGAAGCCTGGTATACGATCCGGGGCTGCAACACTGCAGAGACACAGGGTGGATAAGTTTGCGTGCGCAAGTGTTTGATGATAAAGTGTGTTCCTGCCTTTTGGTAGCGCTACAGCCGTTTCAAAAAGTCGAGGGCGTCCCAAGATTGTCGTCTTCGGTGTATGTTCGGCTTTATGGGCACGGTATACAAGGCGACGAAGGCAGATCGGGAAGGAAAACCGGTCTTTGTCGGATGAGACTAAGCCAAATGTCAGCTCGTTGAAGCCAGCCCGCCGTCTGTCAAGGAGCGGTGTAAAACAGCGCAGATCTGGGCTGGGACCGAATCTCTCTGAAGTCTGCCAAGGAGCGCTGCATGTGTGTTATTGTTGCTGTTGCTGTTATATCCCACGATAGTCTCTGAGAGTTGCCGTCGTGGTTTGTCGTAGAGTACCTGGCTGTTGAGGAACTTCTAACTTATAACAGCCCCTGCATCACTAAGCAAGCAGCTTCATATAGAACTGAACACTGAAGGTTTGTCTTGGAGGGGCCGTCCGAGAGCCCTTAAAGAGTTTGTCAGGCTTACATGCCATCTCATGCGTCATACCTGGCGAGACGTGACAGGTGGAAACAGAGGTGTTCGCCCAGAAGTGCGATGGGCGCAAGCCGGTAAAACTCATAATAGCCTGGAGGTGGCTTCTTCAAGATCAAAGAGCGACGCGACCTCGTTGGTGACAGCCAAGAAATGAGACAAATGAAGATCTTTGCAGTTTAGACAAGGCACTCGGTCCTTTGGAGAGGCTCCAAGGGCAAGAGAAACGACGTCTTAAGTATTCGAGCCCCAATCGAATCACGCAATCGACGGTGACATTTGCCCATCGGCTTCGAAATCAACGGGTAAGAACGCCATGATCGCAAGCCTGCATGGATTGGAAACGGAAAGCATCGGCCTTGCGCAAGAGTCCCGAAAAGCAAGAGGGTACGTCTCGTGGCCGATAGATGCCCTCAAATGAGACGTGGTTATCAAGTTGCAGCCGTGTTTACCAGAGGCAGCTCGCAGCCATATGCTGCATTACGTCTTGGACGATACCACACTGGGCGGCTAAGACGGCACGGTTCAGCCAACTGGAAACCCCATCGAACTTGACGGGCGAGGTACTCCGTATCATGCCGGACTTCGAATCAATCCAGAAGAAAGTATGAAGTCAGGTCGAACCGGGATGAATGGAGTGGAGTGGTGGCAATCTTCAAGTGTGATACGTGCGCATTTCAGAAAATACTCTGTATTACATAATCTCACTGTCCCATACATACATACCCCGCCATATCCGCAATTCCATCATCAAGAACCACAGAGTTCCGAAAGAAACCCATATCCGACGAACATTGAATTCCGTCGCCGCCGGCGCCGCCATCCACGACAATCCCCAACCCCGCTTCCCAACCTCAAACGGATTCTAAGGACCTCCGTCCCACAAGCAGGCAAGCAAGCGCCCAAGATGCAGGGCTTCAACATGGGACGCTATGTCCCGCCCGAAGTCGAGGGTACCATCTCGGGCAACAAGCTCCACGGGAAGCACGCCCTCGGCGCGCGCGCCTCCAAGCTCGCCTCGTCCGGCGCCCTTACCGTCCGCTTCGAAATGCCCTATGCCATATGGTGCTCCACCTGCCCCAAGCCCACCATCATCGGCCAGGGCGTGCGCTTCAACGCCGAGAAGAAGCGCGTCGGCAGCTATCACTCGACACCCGTATGGCAGTTCCGCATGCGCCACGCCGACTGCGGCGGCTGGATCGAGATTCAGACGGACCCGCAGAACACGGCATACGTCGTCGTCTCGGGGGCAAAGAAGCGGGACACTGGGGACGAGGGTGGGAGCGTCAAGGCGCCGAGGGAGGGGGAGATGGTCATCATGACGGATGAGGAGCGCCAGAAGTTGCGCAGCAGCGCGTTCGCGAGCCTCGAGAAGACGATACAGGACCGCGAACAGCTGGCCGAGGCGACGGAGCGCATCGACGAGCTCGAGGACATCTCGAAGAAGCGATGGGACGACCCCTACGCACGCAACAAGGCGCTGCGCAAGTCATTCCGCGCGGGACGGCATCAGCGTGAGAAGGATGCTGCTGTGGGTGAGACTCTGAAAGACAGGATGAGCCTGGGCATCGACCTCGTCCCCGCGACGGAGGAGGATGCACGGAGGGCTAGCCTGGTGGACTTTGGGCCCGAGGACGGACACGAAGGGGATGCGGGGCACAAGGCGCTTGCAAAGCCGCTTTTCCCTTCGACGGCGCTGGCGGCCATGGACGGGAAGCCGAAGGCAAACGGAAAGGCACTACCCAAGGGGACGCCCAAGGCAGAGGTCCTTGCGTCCAAGAGGAGGGAGGCCATTGTGTCCGAGATTGTCGGAAACACGAGAATGGCGCGGGATCCATTCCTTGTCGAGCCCAAGTCGGAGCGGACGCCGGTGAGAATTTGTGGGTTGAAACGCAAGCGCGGCGTGGATGAGGAGAAAGAAAAAGGAGAGAAGCGAAAGGTCCAGGATGACGTTCGGCCGCGGTTACTCCCTTCCAACCCCCTGGTGGGGTATGATTCCGAGTCGGACTAAAGGAGTTTCGGCTGTGTGGTTTGGCGTTTGGGAGTTTAGGATTAGATCAAGATACCCCGAGATCGTCTTTACATCAGCAAAGACGTTGAGGCTGACAACAACGGCACATCTACAACTTATAAAAGGCTTATAACCCTATGCAAGGAACTGCAGATACAAGCGGGTGCATGTCTCGAATATAACGATGAATACCCTTGAGAAGGATACCAAAACAGAGTCACGTAAAATTCATAGAAATCAGCGTGTTCTGTTTGTGAGTGCAGCCATTACAACTATATAATGACCCTTGGTGCAACTGAACCAACTTCCCCGAAAAGCTAGGGATCCAATCTGGGGTGGGATATGTATGCTAGCACACGCCCCGTCTTCCCCGTCATCATTGGCCGAGTCTCACTATCTCGAGGCGCAGTCCGGTCCTCATTCCTTCATATTTCGTCTCGTGTAGAAAACTCCAAAGGTTAGTCCCCATCAAATGCCTTGCCTTATTCCTTGAACACAAAAGAAAAGAAAAGAAACTCCCAGCCGCCAACTTCTCTCCATAGGGCAGGGAATGTGTGAGAATGCAAAGACCAGCCGAAACCCGAGGGATACAAATTCCCTGCGACGCCATTTCCATAATGCTCTTCTAACAGAGGTTCTCTTCCGACTCGATCGCGTCTTCATACGTCATCTAATCGGCCCGCGGGCTCTTCATCATCGTCCCCAAAACTGCCGACGGAGGACATATCATCGTCGTCATCGCTCTCGGCACCGCCTTCGTCGGCGGCGTCTTTGCTCGCGTACTTTTGGACATATTCTGCATTCCTCTCATCAGCGAGGTCACTTCATAATACCCTCTGTTTAAAGGGGTAATTCTTCCGCACCCTTAACTTTGGCGTCGTAGCTCTTGGGTTCCCTGATCATTAAAGCAGCAGCCTCCCCATTGAGAGGATCCGTCGGGTTCGGGTATCGAAGTAGCTGGGGCAGGAAAACCTCAAAGATGTTGATCATGTCGAACATGGGCGACCAGGTCTGGTTGATGACGTCCAGGCAAACGGATCCCGATCTATCCCGGGTTGCCCAGTCAGTTCCGCGCTCTATCCCCTGCGATATAGTATACAAAAGGCTCCCGCATATTCACTACTCACAGCTCGTCGATGTTGGGGTGGAAGATGCGATTAACGAATCCGATGCTTGGAGACTTGTAGGGGTATTGGTCTGGAAGTTCGACGTGGACCTTCCAGACGCCGCCTTCGAACGGAGCTGCGCAGTGTCAATACAGCAAATGATTTTATGCGGTTATCTTGCACTAACTCTCTGTGGGCCCCTTGAATCTCACGTAGAACTCTTGCCTGTGTGTAGTCGTTAGGGTGGAAGGACGTCGATGGGTGAACCTAGGCCTTACACTTGGGCATGTTAGTCGCAGCAGATCTAGAAGCAGTTTGAGAACGGTGCCAAAGGTAGGACATACTATTGTCGTTTACCAAAGTGACTTCATAGTCACTCATCAACCTGCACGGGTCAGTATAAGTAGCAGACAATAGTCCATCGGCGGTTCGCACATCCTATGTCAGGTTAGTTGGGTGTCAAAAGTGCGATGGGTCTTGGGCGTTTGTACTTCATAACCTAGGAGAGAAGCAGCTCTGTCAGTGTCCCGAAATGTTTCATAGCCATATAATGTAGGAGGCGGCGATGGTCTTACATCAGTTTCGATTCTTCTGCGTGGGCTACTCATCTCGTCGGTTGCGCGCGGGGCGTTCGGGAAATGGTCAGATGTAGAGGGTTGTCAGTCCGCTATGCTATGGATGGTTTGTTGTGCGTGTGTAAAGTCGCAGTATGCCAGGACTTGGATGTGGAGTATCGCTCCAGCGCTGGTCTCGAGAGAAAGTTATGAGCCGGTAATGGTGCTGGGGTCGAAAGAGAGTTGTTGTATGCAAAGAGGGGAGGAGGAGAAGGAGGTCGGATCGGGTTCCTGACGCCAAGTCACGCGCAATGATGATGTGGGCGACACTGGACCGTTGCTGATAAGTGCTAGCGATAAGGGGGAAAGAGGAAAGGTGGGCCCGAAGATTAAGCGGCTAGACTCGGATCTTTCCCAGCCTGCCGTTGTCTCCCCATTCTGGAGGGAAGGAAGGATTGAGTGAGGCCACAGCAAGACAAGACAAAGCGACCTTGCTTTGTCGCAGGAACCGCAGCAACAATGCCCAAGGCTGCAGAGAGAGGTTGGGGAAGTCGGGAGTTCTCAGAGCCAATAGGTAGGTACACTTGGGCACCTAGGAGGTACCTAGGTACCGGCAGCCTGCTATCCGTACTCGCGCCCGGGAATTGGGGCTTGCATTCTATAGTGTCTGCAATGCACACAAACCCCTCCCTGGGCTTGACCCAACTTACTCAGTCACTCCTGAGCGCAAGATCATCAGCCCTCCCGGCTCATGGAAGCCGCAAAGATGATACAGTCAGTCTGTGCCACGACAACAGCCAGATCTGTCGATATTGTTCGCAAAGAACAACGGATCGTGCTACAACAAGACTGATGCTATTACTACATGTACCTAGCTAGGTAGCTAAAGGCAATGTATCCGCTGTCACGGGCCAGCGATGCATTTCAGCTTGTCCCTATGGAGGAAAGTACCCGGCTGCCCGGTAGGAAAGATTACCGTGTTGGCAAGCGGTATTGCCTCCAGATTTATTGGTCCATCGGGTTCTGCGGTAAAATGCCAAATAGGCCCATTCTCGCTGAAAAAGTCTAGTCACACGGACACCATGGCTGAGTCTGAAGAACGACCTGGATCAAAGGGGAACCTTGGGCTACTCCAGCGTCGTCCCTGCGGAAGACCGAGATAATTAGCCACCCGCCGAGCCCGAGGCAAAATTGCCTCGGTCTAGGTTTCAACACCGCCAGCTCTCAGTGCAGACGTACAGTAGGTACCTATGTACCTCTGTAGGGAGGTAGGTAAGTAGGTACCTACCTAGGTAACCAGAAGGCGGCGCCGTCCTAGCGTCTCTAGGGCGGTGGGTGCACCGTGGTGTAGGTAGTGTATAGCACCGAACGGCTCACTAATTCTGGCGGGAAAAGACGTGGAGCGGATCTCAGCCAATAACGGAAGTTTCTTGCCTCGGACCGGAGCCAGTTTACTGGGACTTTGCACCTGGGAATAGTGTAAGCAGCGCACTTTCTGTCTCCACTTTTCCTCCCTTCCACCGAAGCGGCGGGAACGAAACACCACGAGTAGTTTTTGGAGATACTCAATTCTACGCAGCAAAAACCATCATGACCTCGACAATAAAACATGCGCTTTGCCCTAAAATCAATGGTTTTCAAAATTTTCCTTCCGCAAAGAATCGTTTTTTTATACCGCGCCATTATTGCAATCAAAATTTCCTCTGAAGATTGCCCCTCTTAACCCCCTCTGCACGCCTGTATTACATTCACACGCTTAATTCCCGTACTGTACGAAAAGGTACTTGGTCGCACACATGTCTCTCCATACTGTCCGAAGTACCTGGGCAAGGTCGTGTGTCTCCACGATTAAAGGCACGCGACCCTCAACACCATCGCCCCTGATGCGGTCCGCCTATCCCGCCCTCATGCGACAACTCCAGTTGCGACACAGCTCCCATTCCCCCATGGGTACGCCTTCTGCGAACCAGAGAAAGAAAGTCACCATTGGTTCCCTGCGCAATCTGTACAAGAAGCGCGAGCCAATTACAGTCATCACGGCTCACGACTTCCCAAGTGCCCACGTTGCTGACCATGCCGGTATGGATATTATTCTGGTAGGCGATAGCTTGGCCATGGTTGCACTCGGCATGGAAGACACGAGCGAGGTTGTGGTTGAGGAAATGCTGCTTCATTGTCGCTCTGTTGCAAGGGCTACCAAGTCCGCCTTCACTGTGAGTCTACCACCCTGCATTGCAACCCCCGGACCCCCCCAGCTGACCGAGAACCAGGTCGGGGACTTGCCAATGGGCAGCTACGAGATTGCACCGGAACAGGCCCTGGAGACGGCCATCCGCTTTGTCAAAGAGGGCCGGGTGCAAGGTGTCAAGCTCGAAGGCGGCAAGGAGATGGCGCCCACAATCCGGAAAATCGCATCTGCGGGCATTCCTGTACTCGGCCATGTGGGTTTGACGCCGCAACGGCAGAACTCATTGGGCGGCTTCAGAGTCCAGGGCAAGACCTCGGACGGCGCTCTCAGACTCCTCGAGGATGCGCTGGCTGTACAAGAGGCTGGCGCATTTGCCATGGTAGTTGAAGCCGTCCCGGCTGAGGTGGCTGCGCTCGTCACCGAGAAGCTGTCGGTCCCCACGATCGGCATCGGTGCAGGCAACGGCTGCTCGGGTCAGGTCTTGGTGCAAGTCGACATGACCGGAAACTTCCCTCCGGGACGCTTCCTGCCCAAGTTTGTCAAGAGGTACGGCGATGTCTGGAGCGAGAGCCTCAAGGCTATCGAGGCCTACCGCGATGAGGTGAAGAGCCGGCAGTATCCTGGGCCGGAACATACATATCCTATTTCCAAGGAGGAACTCGAGGCGTTTTCCAAGACTCTGGAGAGGTTGTGAGAAGCTGCTGGCTGTCAGCTGCTGGAGCGTTGCATAGCATTAGATTCGGGCTGCATTATTGGTGTTGAGGCGGTTGGAGGCGGGCCCATTTTTTTTTTTTTTTCCCTCGTTTAGTAGGTAACCCTGTGTTGGATACCGTTTAATAGCGTAGTTGCCAAATCTCAGCCAAAGGCCGGATTCATGGCGTAAGAAATAACAAGCTGTCCGCTTGAGTCTTTGAAACACTGTTACCACATGTCAGCAAGCGTGGCAGTGATGTGCGAGCCGTCTGTTACTTACATTATGCAGGTTGCCAACGATCTCGTCGAGAGAGGGTGCGAAGGAGTCATTAACGTAGCAAAAGACGCTGTCTGTCTCTTGGAGCTTGAGCCTTTTGCGCAGATACCAGATGACGGTATGAAATGTCTGGGTGGAGGAGATTTTGGCCACGCCCCGGGTGAGGGCAGGGGCGTTCCCGACAGCCTTGAACTTGACGACGACCTTATCCGACGGGTACTCGCCGGCACTGGCCAGGGCGGAGGCCACGTCGCGTGGTTGAGCCGTAAGGATAGCTGAGGCGGACATGGTTAGAGGTATCTCGGGAGAGGCTGGACGGTCCGGGATGGTTGCTGGAGCAGGCGAGGCCGAGCCTGACCTCGGGACGCCCGGTGAGGGAGGGCTTGTCGCCATTTTGGGCGCTTGGGTGTGATACTTGGGATTTTATCAAGGTGTTAATTCCTGAGCCAGCAAGCGGTCTCTAGATTGTGGCTGTTGTATGTTGGTAGATTGCCTGTGGTCGCGCTGAGAGTGTGTGGGGTAAGGAAGGTTAGGTGTTGCAGGCAGCCAGACGTGATTGTGGGACACCGTCCGCTTTAGCAATGCCTGACCGCAACCCGGTTTCCTACTGCCCCGCGAAGTACACACTCTCCTGGCGACATCACCCTCTGAAAAGGTACTGGTGGTAGGTACCAGAGAACAAGTGGCTTGAACGAACATGTACTATCTACCTAGGTAAGTATGCAAACATATCTTGCTTGAGTTTTTTAAGCAATGCAGTGACAATCCCTACCAAAGGTTGGCCTTCAGCTCCGCTCAGCGTCTTTTTGTCCACGAACATGCCCAAATGCCGAGACACCTGGTAGGACTGACCGTTGGCGCAGCCTCCAGAGGCCGTTCGGCCCGTAGGCGTGCATGGGGAGGATTTTACGACGAGACACTCCAACGCAAAAGGCTACCGGTATGGATGGATGTTCAGATGGAGTGCGGCCACCATTTCTTGGCCTTACGGACGGTGTGTGGCGCCGAATCGGCTTCCTTCCCCTCTCACCGCACATTCCGTGTAGTATGTATACGGACCGCATAGCACTTTCCAACTGCCATCGACTCGGGTCGAGAGGTAGGCGAGGCGCTGGAAGAAAACGAAGCCAGGCCACTCCTGTTGTTATCGGCCATGCGGATGAGGATAATGTTAACAGGAAAGTGGCGACTTGATTGAACTTGGAGTTAACTGGTCGACGTTTGGGCAGCAGTCGTAAGAGAATCCTGCACGGAGACAGACTGTTGAAGACAGTCCCAGTTCACTTGTCCTTTCTTCTTTCTAAGCCACGCAGCCACTAAACATTCTGCACACCTAGGTAGGTATGTTGGTGATTCACCTCTAGCTGTCGTCATCTGTCTAGGTATGCAACACTGCACTTTTGTCCTGCCACCGTATCCCCTTTTGTACGACTCTGGCCCGCAAGTATCTGGATATGCTACATTGAATTTCACCCGTCCCCTTCGTCGCTAGTTTAGGCCTGACACATCACTGGATTTTCACATCAATATCAGAAATGGCCATACCACCGGGTCTCGCATTACCGCACGCTTCGTCTCTGAGGAATGATCTGAATAAGCTGCGAACTTTGCAGTTTTCCGATGCGGAACTCTCGTTGGACGGCAACAATCTCGACGTTGCTACTGTCGTCGCTGTTGCTCGACATGGACTTATGCCTCGCATGAAGGACGACCCGGAGATCGAGAGGAAGGTTCTTCAGAGTACCCACGTCCTCGACCGCTATGTTGAGAACGGTTGGGTGGTGTACGGCGTCAACACGGGCTTTGGTGGCAGTGCAGACTCACGAACGGAGCAACTCAAGAGGCTCCAAATCTCTTTGCTTCAACACACGCAAAGCGCCATCATCACCTCTACAGACTTGGCACAGGGCCAGGTCGACCAAGATGGACAGTCGCACGTCATTCCCTCGGCTTGGGTCAAAGCCGCCATGGTCGTCAGAGCCAACCAGAACCTTCGGGGCCACAGTGCCGTCAGGATTGAAGTCATCGAACTTTTACTCAGTCTCCTCCGCCACGACATCACACCGATGGTGCCCCTACGAGGAACCATATCGGCATCAGGAGACTTGATGCCGCTGTCTTACATTGCGGGGACTTTGATTGGGGACCCCGGCGTTTTGGTCGCCGTCGGATCAGGCTGCAACAGGAAAGTCATGTCAGCGTGTGAGGCCTTGAAGAGATGCGATATCCAGCCTGTCGAACTGCAGCCGAAGGAGGGTCTCGGCCTGATCAACGGAACTGCCCCATCTGCCGCTTTGGCTAGCTTGGTTATCCACGAGGCGAATCAACTCGCGGTGCTCGCTCAGGCCCTAACGGCATTTACTGCAGAGTGTCTCATTGGGAATGTTGAGTGGGCAAACGAGTTCATACACAAGATTCGGCCCCATATTGGGCAAGTAGAGGCAGCACGCAATATCCGAAGCTTCCTCAAGTCGTCCGACTTCGTGCTCGGTCTCGAGACCAAGAGGAGGACGGGACATGGTCTATGGCAGGATAGATATTCCACAAGAACGGCACCGCAGTGGATCGGACCCTATCTCGAGGATCTCATGCTTGCACAACATCAAATCGAGGTAGAACTTAACTCGACATCCGACAATCCAGTGATCGACGTCGGCACAGGTGGTGACAGTACTGTTGGAGATATTTACTCCGGAGGCAACTTCCAGGCAACAGCTATTACTTCAGCCATGGACAAAACAAGAATGGCTCTCCAGATGATTGGTCGTATGCTCTTTTCTCAGTGCTCCGAGTTGATCAATCCTGCGACGAACAACGGACTCGACCCGAACCTGGTCTTTGGAGACCCTGGCGAGTCCTACACCATGAAGGGTATCGACGTCAACATGAGTGCTTACATGTCAGAATTGGCCGCCCTTGCCCATCCTGTCTCATCCCACGTACAATCGGCTGAGATGCACAATCAAGGCATCAACTCCCTCGCTTTCCTCTCCGGCCGAAGAACCATGGAAGCCGTCGACGTTCTTTCGCACATGTGCGCTGCTCACCTGCTTGTTTGTTGCCAGGCGGCCGACTTGAGGGACTACTACGCAAGATTTCTGAGCTCGATTCCCGTCACCAAACTTTTCAATGAAACCAATATGGGACTTGACAGTGGCCAGTTGGAAAAGTTGACGATTGGCCTAGACGAGTCGATCCGAGCCTGGTGGAACGAGGCAAACAAGCTTGGCCATGCACAGCGGTGCTCCGTCGTTGCTTCCAAAGTTACAGCTCACGTCATGGACTTCATCATGAAAGAAGAGATTGGAGGTGTGTCCCTGAAAGCTGTCGTGGGTGTTCAAGAAAAGCTTTGCCATAGCATGGAGGGGTGGTTCAAGGACATTACCAACAACCCCAATATCATCCACTCAAACTCGACAGCCATTCACGTTGCGTATCTCGAGGGGCTGGGACAAGGCTCTTCACTACTTTTCGACCTTGTCCGAGGTAAGCTGGACATCGCGTTCCACCAGGGGCTGAGGGAGGAGCAGAGAAGTACCATCGGTACCAGTGTGTCCCGTATTTATGAAGCGATCCGAGAGGGTGTTGTCGTTCCGGCGCTGATGCCGTGTCTCGAGGACGATAAAGGCAAGTCTTTAGAAACGGGAACAGAAACTCCGACAAGCAGTGACGCCAGTGTCGGCTCGGCCGGTGTTCCAGGGAGAATGTAGGATATCGCGAAGATGAGGCAGATATGGTGTGCGGCCACTCAGCTCAGAACGGGGTTATTTGCCTACAGAGGCGCTCAACCCACCCTAGAAGTATCCCTAATCAATTTTACTCGATATCAGTTCCTACCGCCACAAACTATCTATACTCATTCGTGAAGGGAGTTAAACAGATAGTGGTATGTAAACAATGTAAACAAATACGATTGTAAAATACTTGCTGGCGACGTGGTGGAAATGCACCTGAGCTCGTTCACTCACCAAGGCAACACGCCTGCACAACCGCAATGAGAATCCAGAAAAAAAGAAAAAAAGAAAGCACCATGTTGAAGGAGAGCACTTGCACTCGAAGTGCTTTGCAAAACAAGATGAGAAGAAACGCCCGAGATGAGACATAGAAAAAGGTAGTTTGCCCATCAGGCAAAATAAAATGTCCCTAGCAAGGCTCGAACTTGCGACCTTTGGATGTCCCGACCTACAGGCAGGGTCATATAGATATTATATGAGACCAACGCTCTACCGACTGAGCCATAGAGACTTTTTAAATCAAGATTGGAGAAGTGATTACATAGTGGGCAATAAGAAGGGTAGCGTAACAAGTGGAACGACTCGTGCTGCCCGTGCGTTAGAGTGGGATCCATACAACACACTCTGCTCGAGGGACCCCGTGCCACTCTAGCAGACGAGTAGTAGGCGACTGCCTAGAGAATTGCAAGAGAATTATCTCTAAAAATTAGCTTCTGTTTAATCAAAGAAAAAGACACCTCCTAACAAAATACTAAGATTCTGCCTCGTTCTATTGGACTATGTGGCCGCTGTTTATGTCTCCTATCCCTTTGACCTCTAGCTGACCTTTGTTATTGTGACAGGGGGGGTAGTGTAAGTCGTTAGATGATTACCTAGCTTTGAGGTTGCCCGACTGTGTGAGGTGTCTGTGGTGGCGGGATAAGGCGCCCTACAGTGTGTAGATGCCGTATAGACAATGTCATACACTTCTAACCCATATTTGCATCTATATGACCCTACCTCTAGATCGAGATATCCAAAGGTCGCAGGTTACGCTCCTAATATTCTTGTATCACGAAGCCACAGAGACTGTCGGTAGAGCATTGGTCTCATACCCCTTCATATCGGGACATCCAAAGGTCGCAAGTTTGCGCCTTGCCAAGGACATTCATTTTGCTCTCGCAGCTACTTTGCCTTTCGTTTTCACTTCTTCCCCCCCCCCCCCCCACTGTCTTAAGCCATAGAGACTAAGTTTGAAATTGTCATGTGTTCCGGGTTCCGATTAGGCTATGTGGTACAACTTGGTGGAGACCAAGGTTTATCGAGATTGCACGAGTGGACCACACGCTTCCGGCGCGGGCGCACTACCTACGCGGGCACGGGCGCGGGTGGGTGCTTGAACGCGTGGGTTCGCCCGGTCCATGGCTCCTTCATCATGATGACGGCCTTTGCCCACTCCGCGTCGAAAACCCGCCCGCTTGCATCTCGTCCCCTCCCCTCCCCGTGCCAACCGGTTGATCCAACTGCGCAAGCAGAATGAAGAACAGTATGCCTCAAGACCGCCGGGCGATTTTTCAATGGCTTATTCCGTTATCGGGCGGCTCTTTCATCGTTGTGACGGTCAAACGGACACGGGTAATCACTCCCCTGGACTTTAAGCTCGGGCCGCCATCTAGACGCTGGTTCGTGAGATGACGTTCCCAGCCTCTCCCGACTAAATTAGCCAGCAAACCGATTTCCGACCACCGGACATCGTGGCTATCAATGCACCCCCCCCCCCCCCCCCCCCCCCCCAACTTCGGAGATTTCCATCATTGACGCCCTCCCGTCCTGGTGCTGTCACAGTGAACTTGCATCAGCATGAGAAATGGAAAGATGAAAATGCTTGAATTTGCCTCAACGCCCTTCTGAAGGAAACGATGCCTTGACCTGCCCCTAGGTACACCCGCAGCGGCATGCTTTTCCAAACCATGCAGTTTCTTCGTGTTCAACGTACAGTATACACAAGCATAGACTGTTCAATGATATATCTACACCATACTTTCATTATGACGCGCCGTCTTGGTCTCTTCCCTCCTGCCTGCATGCCGCTGCCTCTAATCATGTACGGCCTTTGCCGTCCGCCCTTTCCCGCGCCAAATAAGGAAAACTGAGCCGTCGTGGTATAAAATGCTCCATGCCGAACGCCATTGTGCATGCAATGCTTTCAGTGCGAGCCGCCAATTAGAGGATGATGAAGTGAAGAGAAAATAAACATGACCGGATACCAAACATGGTTTCGTGTTGGCCAGTACTCTGGTATCGTTGGTTCCACTAGACGTGGAACAAATCCGTAGCTTTTGGTAATGTGCGCCGTGCTTTTGAAGGTGATGGCGTCAGCAAGGGGGGGGGGGGGGGGGGGATGCTATTTGGGAACGGGGCAGAATCGGTATCAAAACACCGGGCAATATAGATGAAGTGATCCGTGGACTGAGCATGCCTACAAGGACTCATCCGCGTAGCCGTCATTGTGGGAGTGTTTGGAATATCTGGGTGCTCTGCCTAGTTGGCTGAGAAGCTCATCCAGCTCGGCCCAGTTGTCGGTGTTTTCGGCAAACTTGCGATGTTTGCGAGTGAGGATATGCTTTCAAGATATTAGCTTGGCGCGACATAATGTTCGGTATCGACCTACCTCATCGAAGTCCTTGAACTTATCCTGGCAATTCTCACAATATCCCGGCTTCAGATCACGCCTGCTCTTGGGAGCCGGTGCTGTCGTTTTGGAACTGGCTCTGGAGAGCTTAGAACTCTGCTTGTCGGTATCCTCCTCAATGAGCTCCATTCGCCTGCTAGTAGTCCTGGAGACACTAGTGGACCTGGTAGAGGTCGCTTCCAACGACATCTCGGTCAGTCGCCGAGAGCTGGCATCTGGAGGCGTGGGGGCTCCTCTTTGCAGCACCTTGCGTTGTAGGCCATGCACTTCCTTGCTAGTACCAGCCTTTGCGCCGTTGATACCAGACGTAGACGAAATCATCTGCGAGCGGATGGCCGATGTGATGTTGGAAGGCTGCACTCCAGAAGCCACAGGCTCGCCAGCAAAGAAGCGGCCAGTACCAGTGCGGCCGGTGAAAGCATTTTGCGTTCGTCCAAAATCGATCGAGTTGGAAACCACAGCCTTGGGAGGGTTGAACACGTCCATGGGCTTCGCCGCAGTCCCCGCCCTGTGTTGCTCATCTTGCATTTCAGAGAGCGTACGCTTGCCAATGACAGCCTTGGGAGCAGAGACCTCCGGGGGATGAAGGGATTGGCGCTCCTCAGCCGCGGCCTTCGTCGCAGTACGCTCCTTCCTTTCCTTTTGCTGCGTCGATGGCTTTCGGCCAGGGCGTTCGGCTGGCTCCGGCTCTTCGACAAATGGACAGCGTCCGTCCGTGACGGTTCTGAACTGGGGCCACTCGCCATCGTACTTGTTATTGACCTTGGGATACTCTCGCACCATGATTGGCTTCTGCTTCTCATCAATGTCGTAGACATAAATGTACGGGCCCTTGAAGTTGATCATTTCTCTGCTGGTCACAGCATCAGAAGGACCGTTCAGTCGTTCGTGCTGCAACAACTGCAATAGACCAGGTTCCTCCATCATCTTCTTGGTCCCCAGGTTCCTCGCATGCTCGCCCTTGGCGCCGTAGGCGGCGACAACATGCGGATCCGGCTCCAGTAGGAACTGAAGCATCCTCTGGAACTTCTCGACGGACCAAATCTTCTTACCCATATCACGGGCTTTATGGAGAACATCGTTACTCTGGGTTGATCGCGTTCGCCTGGTTCTGTCGTCCTGCGGCTGGGTGAGGGTATGGGCTCGTCTCGACGTGGTCTCCAGCAGAAGACGTCTCCGTGCATCGGTCGAGCGGTCGAGAAGAGACGGGTTGATAGTTTGGGGTTGCTCTTCGGGCCCAGTGTCGTGTGCAGTCGCTTGCACGTCCTCTTGCGCTGGTATTGGGCGGGCGGTCACAACGTGGGTGATGCTGCTCGAAAAGAATCGTTCGTCCCTCTATAGAAGTACGGTGTCAGCCAAAGATGCCCACGATGTTGAGGTCTACATGCAAGACGTACGGCTCCGAGAGACTGTGCATGCCTGGAAAGCTTGGCTCTCTGATCTTCGGGAATACTATCAAAGTAGAAGACCATTTTTGGAAACCTTCCCCGGTACTCGGCCTGCCACTGACGAATTCTCTCAACGCTGGCGTCATCGTGATGTGTCGATCGTTCCTTTGTGACAGGACGGCCCACACGTTGGGGTAGCTGAGAGGCCTTGGTGATCTTAGACGGAGACCGTAGTTGACGCGACCCGGCATTTTCGACAGCCTGCTTTTTGTAGGGCGGCGGCTGGGCGTAGAGCTCTTCTCGCTGTATATTAGCGTGAGATCGCTTCTGCTTGGCCTGAGCCATAGCAGAAGTAGCTCTCAAGGGCGAATTGGCCACATTGGGGTTGCTAGACAAAGGTGTTCGTCTAGCGGACATGGCCGGGGGAGGGACGAGGTTCGGTGATAGGGATATGGCTGCCATAAAAATGCCCAATCAATATGGTCGACGAGAAGAGAATGATAGAGCTCGTTTGATTTGTCGAGGTGGAATTGTTGTTCGACAAGATAGACAGACAAACAAGCAAACAGAGAAAGAGAGAGAGAGACTGTGTGTGTGTGTGTGTGGTGGTGGTGGCACTGGTGGTGGTGTCGAGAGGGGTTGCTCTGTGGACGACGGGCACGCGACGTGGTAAGCTCGCACACGTCGCTCACGCGTACCAACAGAGACCGTGTCGAAGTCCTTACAAAGACATTGAAGAGCGCTGCGAGAGCTGAGAAATGTTACGGAACCACCGGAGCGAGGAAGTAGTGAGGGACGAAGAGGAGGATGTCGTCAGGAGTCGGTACGAGCAGCACCACGAGGTGTGTGGTTTGGTGTGGGCAGGTTTGGAAAGAGCTTTATTAACGAAGAGAATGGTTGATCGATGGATGTTGTGTGGTGCGTGGGAGAAGGTCCCCCCCGTCGATGGAGCCGAATGACCCAAGTCGCGCTTGACGGGTTTGGGAGGGGAACAACAGCGCTAATCCCAGTTGGACACGACCAAAAACACGCACGGGCCAGCCGCCTCTCCAGCAACCGGCCAAATTTTGCTTGGCCCAGCGCGTCTCACAGTGACCTGCGGCAGCGGTGGTACAGTGAAGGGTCACTGTAAATGGAGACCAACAACAACCCCAACCGAGCTGTTAGCCTGTAATAGGCGACGGCAGCCTGGAAATTGGATGGAGCCCTTGAGAGAAAATCCTGCTCCTTTCCAGGGACCCTGCTGGGTCCATTTCCCGGTGTGTTTACGCAATGGTTCGCTTCTAACGCAATGTTGTACTCTATGTATCCGTACTCCGTACAGTACCTATAATGTTATTTGCCTTATCTAATATGATGTGTTGGCTGGGTATTTGGGTCGGGGTCGAAGACATGAAAAGGACCATTTCGCACAACGTCGAATCCTTCCATAACCAACATCCATTCCATGGCACACATAAGTACGTGTCTCCCTCGGCCCCTTGACTTGATAATACCTACATAGCTATATTCGCTGAACCGAGTTACTTGCTTGACCAGCCCAAGTAGGTAGGTATCTAATGTACACACTGTACCTACATGGGTTGGTAGGGTGTGGGGTGCAACAAACCATGCGTGCTGCACGGATAGGAGAGCATGCAACAACACTTGCAGATGCAGAACCACAACTCTTCGTTAGATACATAAAACAACAATGATCCACATCGTCCTCGATCACAAATCTCATTCAACCAGCTCGACTCGTCATTGTGGCACGATAGCTGGAGGGGGAAAAAAGTGACTTCTAGGCCGTCTTGGTCTTCATCCTTCTCAATACTCACTCACTTCTCACTCCTCAGTCTAAGGGCAAGTCCGTATGCGCTTGGCCCAGTTATCGAGTCAGCCGCCTCGCAATTGCCAGTGCGCCCGTCGCACCTTTGCTGCAGGATACAGAGGAGATGACCTCATCCAAGTTGTAGTCCTCCACTTTCTCCGGCACCCTTCCTACCTTTCTACCCTTAGTCACCCATCATCATATATCCTGCCATGAGCGCTTCACGGCCGGTATGCCGCGCCCTTCGAGCTGCACAGAGAATACGCCCCTTGTCGGCGGCAGCGCCAAGGCGCCCGTCTTTCTTCACCAACCTTCACCTCCGGCGCTATTCCGCAGTCTCTGCCGCCGAGCTGCAGTTCGGGCAGCCGGTGCATGAGACTCACCCTCACATTCTTGAGGCCGGCGAGAGTCAGTAGCCATCCAGTCCATGTTGTAAATAAGCCCCGGTCATGCACTTCTCGATTGCCTCGTGAGCCGTGAGACAAGGAAGATGAAACGAAGATGGAAAACCCCCGAGGAGCAACATATGCCCAACAGGGGCTACGTCAAGCGAACTGTACTGACACTGTCACTTAGTCACACCCGGCGTCACGGCTCGGGAATACTGGGAACGTCGCGCCCGGCTTGCCGAGAAGCTTCCGGACAATGGCGTCGCCGTCCTCGTCGCCGCCGACCTCAAATATCGATCTGGCGCCGTCTTCTTCCCTTACCGCCAAGAATCCAACTTCCTCTACCTCACCGGCTGGAACGAGAGCGATTCAGTTGCCGTCATTCAGAAAACCGGCAAAGGCTTTGGTGACTTTATCTTTCACCTCTTCACGAAGCCAAAGGATCCCGTCGCTGAGCAGTGGATGGGGCCCCGCAACGGTGTCCAGGCCGCTGTCGACATATTCAACGCCGACAAGGCCGCCGACATCGCCAAGATCGACCGTCACCTGCCTGAGATCCTCAAGGGTGCCAGTCGCGTCTATGCCGACATCGAGAAACCGCGACAGGGCGAGCAGGAAGGCAAGCTCTGGCAGTTGATGAAGGCCGACAAGTCCTGGTTTCCCTCGGCTAAGCTGCCTCTGTACCCCCTCGTCAACTCTCTGAGAGCCATCAAGTCCCCGGCCGAGGTCACCAATATGCGCCGCGCCGGCCAGATCTCGGGCCGCGTCATCACCGACGCCATGCGGAGATCGTGGACCCGAGAGAAGGACCTACATGCTTTCCTCGACTACCGCTTCACTGCCGACGGCTGCGATGGCCCGGCCTACGTCCCCGTCGTCGCTGGCGGCCAGAACGGCCTCTGCATTCACTACGTTGTAAATAACAACGTCCTCCGCGACGGCGAGATGGTCCTCGTCGACGCCGGCGGCGAGTACGGTACCTACATCACCGATATTTCCCGTACCTGGCCCGTGAACGGCAAGTTCACGCCGGCTCAGAGAGACCTCTATGAAGCTGTGCTCACGGTCCAGCGCTCTAGCATCTCGCTGTGCCGGGAGAACGCCAACCTCTCTCTAGACGACATCCATGACCACACCTCGGCAGGACTGCTCGAGCAGCTCAAGGGCCTGGGCTTCGACATAACGACACGAGACATAGACGTCTTATTTCCCCACCACGTCGGTCACTATGTCGGCTTGGATGTCCACGATGTGCCGGGCTACGGCAGAAGGACTCCCTTAAAGAAGGGTCACTGCGTGACTATTGAGCCAGGAATCTATGTCCCAGACACGGACCGGTGGCCGGAACACTTCCGGGGCCTCGGCGTACGGATCGAGGACAGCATCTGTGTGGATGAGGACTCGCCGTACATCCTTACCACAGAGGCTGTTAAGGAGATCGCCGATATTGAGGCTCTGAGAGACTGAAAAGGGCAATGTACAACACTTGAAACCTGTAAAACAATGTATTCATTGCTGTGACATTAAGGTACAATGCCAGATTCAGTACTGACCATCAGTCAATTTTATAAGAGAATATAAGGATTTCTAGATTGACAGAACGCCGCCAGGTATTTCCGTAAATAAATCACCATCGGTAAGACATAGCCAAGCTATTTGCAAAGTTGTTCTCACTTGGCTGAGACTCTCAGTCCATAGCACCATCCAAACACAAGGAACCAGGGATCCTGAACTGCTTGAAGCTCGGACACCGAAAGTGGAAGTTCGTCAAGCACGTTCCTAGTATGGAACGGGTCGGCCCGTTCGTGTCACAGGCTGACCTTGCTTGTCATCTGGTGTTCATTTGGAAACTTGGCTTCTATGCGGAATATAGCCGGCGACCGGGTGTCAAGTATAAAGAAATGGATCAAGTGGCGGTGGATACGATAGATGACCGCCTCTACTAGTTGTCTCGGAGGCATTTCAGGTATCAGTACGGTATCGCAGATGCCTCATCAATGTTATTTATTACGAGTAAAATTCGGCAGGCAGGCGACAAGTGAGCTATGGCAACTTCCCAGGAATCGTTGCGAACCAATAGTACGGGATCAACATGCAAAAGTGTATCGCAGGTCTGAGGGTCTGTGATTATGTATGTATGCATGCCTGCTCATTCCTCATGACTGGCTGCAATGGTATATTTTGGGGCAAATCGCAGCCCATGACAATGTAATATGTACATTCGCAATCGTAATGCGTAAATGTGGCAAGAGGAGAGAGATATCAACAAAAGCCTCTTGGGTCAAAGAGGGTTCTGCTATAGTTCGGCATTGGGAAAGGTTGCCGCGCCTGTGCGCTCAAGAGCTGCTCAAAGGCTTGTAGGCGCCTCGCGAGTTCCTGGTGCTCGCGCATAATGGCCTTATTCCTTCTTTCCAGGTAATGAATATATTCTGTGGCTTTCGTGAGGACAGTACCCTGCGACGTTCTGTAAGTAAACATCCAACGAATCGCTTGGAGCGGTTGCAAGTCCTCACCTTGCTGACTTTAGGGCCACGCGATTGGCCATCTGCCTCGGCATCTTCGCCCCCTTCCTCAGGTATTGACCTGAGTGACGGGACCGCGTCGCGCAGCTCTGAAATTCTGTCTTTCAGATTGGTACGATATTTCCTCTCAATGTCATTATGTGCTGTTCGGTCGCCCGTCTTCGATTTGTCTCTAGACTTTTCAGATGTGCCAGTAGCATTGGTGTTGGTTCGCGATACCTGCGGCCGTTGCGGCTGAGCCTCCTCCTTTACAGTGTCCTTTTCTTTTTGTTTGCCTTTTTCAAGAGCCGACTGTTTGGGGCCTTTGGTGTCGTTCAGATTCCCTGTAGCCATGTTCGCGTCGAAGTTTTCCAGGCTCGCAAACTCGGGTCCCAGATCAGCTCCAAGACCAAAGCCCAGACCAGAACCTAGACCGGTTGCTGATAATCGGCCACCAGTATTGAGGGCTATTGCCAGAAGCCGTCGCTGTTCAGGGTCAAGCATGGGCGCGCCCATGCTACCCAAGCCGCCCATTCCGAAAAGAGGGTTCATCCTCAGCCCGGGTGCTGGCTTTTCCCAACTCAGGGGCGTTGAGTATAGGCCCTCCCTGGGAGGTACCTCCTGGGGTGGTTGAGAATCAATCTTGCCAAGTTGCTCGCCGAGATTCATCGATTCGAAGAAATCGTCATCATCAGACAGGGCATTATCGAGGGCGGTGTCATCCATAAAGTCTTCTGGCTTAAATACAGGGTTGGTGTATAATCCCGTACCCAGGCCAGGTGTCGTAGACATTGGATTCAGACGGTTTGCGGCTGGTCTAGTGACTGTCAGTCCGTTGACCCTACCGTGGTAAGTTTGAGTAGGTACGGTAGTAAAGATTACCTTAGTCGGTAGTTAGGAGTGGGATTGCTACGCCTCGAAAAGTCAATCTCAAAGCTACCACCAAGCTTCTGTTCCTCGTCATCATCGAATTGGATCCAGTAGTCGACCGACTCTAGCGCAGCAGCTTCAGAATCGACCTTGATGCGCTTGCGCGCATGGCCATCTCTCCGCCGCGAGTCCTGGCCCAGGGCAGGCCTGTTCGGCAGGCTGTTCCTGGGTTGGCCATGGCTGAACTGCATCTGAGCTGGCATGGAGCCCAAGCCGAAGTTCGTGCTACCGGGAGATGTCTGGGCAAAAGATGGCAGCGATGTGGAAGGGCCATTAGACGCTGACTCGGAGTTTGCTTGATCACCCGCTAGGGAGTCCCAAAGAGACTTATTGGGTGCATTTCTGGCGGCACCTGTAGCGGATGACTCGGCGGATGACTCGGCGGATTGTTCGGCGGGGTTAGTGGCCTGATTATTGGGGACGGCAAAGTAGTCGAGGTTCCTGAGGAAGTTGGAGTCCATCACCAAGCCAGCATTTCGGCCCCCGAATTATCGGCGGTCGTCGATCCAGAAATCAGTATGTGAACTGTAGAGTGGGTGTAGAGCGGCCCGGCGGCTTGCTGATTGTTTCTGAGAACAGGAACGCTCAGATCTCTTATGCTGCTTCTCGATCGGGAGACGAGTTTGACCGTTTAAGGTGGCCAGTCGTACCACCTCGCGTCGTACTACCAGGCGGTGCCGAGCAAGCTCGCGCTGTCATCCAGTGGCAACGGACGTCAATGAAGAGAAGGATACTGCAGCAGTGGCCAGCGTCGGCAGGGGTAGCTGGGGAGGCAGGATGCAGTGAAGAGCAAAAAGGCTGCTCGCACCTGTACCGTAAATGGTGTCGGTCGCAAACGGCGGGCAGTGCGACGATGGCGGCGGGCGTCAGGTGCTTGGCTTGTTGAAATCAGCTGAGGTTTGGAAGACTTGAGAGTCGGTCGAAGACGAGGGTTGACGGCCAAGACGAATCAAAGGTAGACAGAGGGCAGAAGCACGGAGACGTCGACAAGCATGGGGAAGGGTAATAAAAGAGTTAAGGGTTGGGCAGGACTTTGTGGAGGTAGGGACGAGAATGACTGGTTGTCCATACCTTAAGTTTCCGGCCAGGGACGTGTGGAAGGCGGCAAGAGGTTCGCTGAGCGGAAGTAGAGAAGCCAAGGAGGTGCGGGTGGGGGTTAGCAACGGCGACAACAGGCAGAAAAGTGTGCAGATCGCGAATTGCCGCAAAAAGGCGCTGGAGAGGAAGGTCGACAGCGGAAAGTCGACTGATGTTCAAAGAAGGTGAGTGACCCTCGCCGGTTTCCACGATATGGACGGGAGAGGGAGGGGGGTGGGTGATGATGACTCGGGCCAGGACGGCCGAAAGGAGAAGAGTAAAAGGCTGCGGAGAGGGAAGAAAAAAGGGTGCAGAGAGTCGCCAATTGGACGCGAAAGAATGATTGAGGATGGGAAGGAATGGCCTGACATGGAATTTGCCAGTGGCCGGGGGACACTGACTGAGCGTGTCAAAAACCGACCACTTCATCTTGACAATCGTATGATGGACAAGGCTGCTGGAGGAGAGTCGTGCGATGTGCACCAACTCCCGCGACAGGCCCGTTTCATTGGGTGTCTGTCGATCCAGCCCCGCTGGACTCCACCCCGGTTGTCAGCCTTGCAGCATGGCCCGAGCATTGCCCCCAGAATAGACTTCCCGCGCCGTTAGGGTCCGCCTTGGTAATACTGCTTGCTTTTCTCCGTTAGCGGCTCGGACCCATATTGCCTTCAGCATTGGTCCTTGGGGGTCGACGCACACGACACGTTCCATTCTACCTGCTGTATCTAATAGTACCTAGAACAGGCAAACACGCAAGCCACCATCGCGCGGACAGGTGAACAGGCAGGACAGTCATGGCCCCAAGGGTATTGTACTGCATAGTGTAGTTACCTGCCGGCCTGTTGCCTCTTGGCTGCAAGGGACTCGACTTCATTCGCCCGCATGCGACGCCCTCAAAAAGAAGGCCCCTCTCCTTTTTTGCCACCGGGGTGGCATCGGAATAAGAGACGTCATCGCACGAGAAAACCCAATAAGAGAATGGCCAGCCTCCAGTCGCCAGGTGCTGCCGCCTCTCTCCATTCCGGCATCTCTCGCCATTCTATGCCCCCACTTCCCGTAAGTTGGAGGAGGCAATTGTCTCGTTGCTGGCTGCAACCCACGTGGGATATCCAAGATAGGTAGAAGGTAGACAGACACCAGCCAAGTAAGACATCCTTGGTGCCCGGTCGCGCCGTTGGGTAAACAACGTGCGAAGACGTTGCGTCGCGAGCTCTCTCTCTCCTTCTCCCTTGCATACCGGGTGTCTTCTACACCTCGTGCTCACCAGTCGCTTTGCTTTCAAGACCGTTTGCTCTCTTTCCGATCACATGCTACTTCTGACGAAAGGTTGCGTCTCATTTCCTACGCGTCCCCTGATGTGTGGTCGGTTCTGCAACTGCAACAAAGCACTTACCGAGCAAGCGCTTCAAGTAAGTGGTTTGGGAAACAACAATCTCCAAGCGGTGCAACTTCCGACAAAGGTCGAAAGGAAACATCGTACCCCATTCGGCACCAGTGCTTTCCCTCCCGGTAGGTCAGAGGTTTTAAGTACGAGTACTCTCCCACTTGTTCAGAATATGGGACCGTCACATCATCATTCATCGATTTGTTCCCTACTCAAAACCAAAAGAATCTCCTCTAGCCATCATGAAGCTTGTCAACATCATCACCGTTGTCCTGGCCCCAATGTCAGCCAAGGCCGTCTCTCAAAAGCCCGTCCACACTCCGAACCCACACGTCGAGCCAATGTGGTCCAATTGCATCAAATTTCACCAGTCTCTGCCCAACGACACTTGCCAAACTCTTGCCGACAAGAACGGCCTCGATCTCGCTGAGTTTATTGCCTTGAATCGCGGCGTAGGGGGGCTGAGTGGCTGCTCCAGGGGAAACGTGATTACAGGCTACTGGTACTGCGTCAAGCCGAACGTTTGGGAATAAGTACAAGGTATCGAGAAGTCCTGATCCTGAGATTGGGGAAATTTCACCTTGAGGATGGAAGAGCTTTACTTTAGGCAAAAATTTAGTTAACGAGTCAGCGATTTGCACCGATTCAAGAACGCCTGGAACTAAATTCTGCAAGTAGCAAAGCTAGTTCAACAATCAACTTCGACAGGCCTCGTCTTCTTTCTCGCAAACAGATTTTTTTCCTTTCTCGAATCGTTATAGAGGCATTGATATGGAACAATGCCATGTTAGAATGTGGGATTCTTATTGACGTCGAGGGTTTGGATCAGCCGCTCGATTGGCGCAGTCAGTACAAAGCCCGGGCCAGGAGATTACATCGTGCTTGGGTTTGGGTCCTTTGCATCCTTTGCCCATACCAGAACACCACTCGATATTGTGGAAGCCTGTGTGGCCGCATTCGAACTGCTTGTCAATCTGCTTGCACATGATTTTGGAAATCACAGCTCGCATTTCCAAGTCTCACTCTCTCGTCTCTTCTCGTGACCAGTATTTGCTTTCAGTACACGTCAGCGGCTTTTGGTCGTGTCAAGACCACTTCTTTACCTACGGCATTGAGCCCACAGAGAGATCCATACAGTTAATACCTGAGCACCAATACCCTCAACTGTGTGATTGCCCGTGACTCGGTTCTTCCCAAGGCTTCAGAAGCCTTTGAACGGATTGACTCTGTTCTCCGCCTTCTCAGCCGGTCTGCTTCGGACTGGGAGGTCTTAGACTGTCTAATAACAGCAGGAAGCGTGGACGGAAAAAGCAGCTTGCCTCGGACCTCAAGGCATCGAAGCTGCTATAGAGTATCCCATAAGAGTCTATGGTAGAGGAGAACAGATAATGTTGGCATCAAAGACGAACAGGTAGGTATAGATAGGCAGAATGATTATTTTGGGGAGATTTTGAGTCTTAACGAAGCCCGAGCAAAGTTCGCTGGTGGTGTAGGGTTGAAAGGAGACCAACACCTCCCCTTCTTATGCAAACGATGAAATAAGACATTGAGCAATGTACAACAGATACCATGTACCCCGTAGTCCGAGCCTTTCGGGCGCCCTGCCGCATTCCGCGGTACTGGAGACTGCAGCCATCCCTGAACAGAGGCGCAGGTAGCCATTAATGACAGCAGGCCGTTGGAGATATCATATCTCAGCAACTGCAGAGTGATTTTAACACCTTGAATGGCGCCAAGATTGAAATGGTGGCACTAGTGGACATTGTGACGGGAAGACAGGGGGGTCGGCCCCTCCCCCCTCAGGATTTGGACCGCATTTGTTTCTTCTCGTCAGACTCTCTCTTTCACCTGGAATTTTCCATCATGAAAGACCAACCGACGCCACTTCGGCGGACGGCCTCGTGGTTTCACTTCTCCTCCATCATGTAGACTATCAAGCGGCTTCGGCATTGGACTGCCCGGCTGCTTGCAGAGGAACATTATACGCAAGAAGAGGTGTAAGATGAAGGGTATGGGGGGTGGTTTTGGCGCAGATATTGGTAAGAGGATCAGGGCAGTGACGAAGTCCGTAGGGAGTGATGTCAAAATGTGGGGGCTAGTGTGGTGCTATTCATTGTTTAAAGACCCTAGATCCCTGCTGACACCTATGGGGCAAATCCCCGCCTAGTCCTATCACATCACATACTTGACGGGTAGTACTGGTTTTGACAGATGATCTCCCTCATGGTGCCAAATGTCAAGCATCTCGGTTCAGAGTGCTATGGGAGTTCCCTTTTCAGCCGCAACCATGGCAGAGATGGATGTGAGCCAACCCCTCCCCCCCTGGTAAGCTTACTGAAGTGAGACATGAGGGGCAGGATCCAACGTTGAATACTTCCGGGTACAGAAGTCTGTGGTCGTCAAGTCTTTTCGAGCGACAAGGCCACTGTGAGCGCCTGCACAAATGGGCTGATACTGTTGGTCCTTTTCGCTGACACCTTTTCCAGACGCACGTTGCACGCACATGTTGTTCGTACAACAGTAGTCTGCCATCCCATACTCGAGGTCCCCGCCCGAGTGGAGGGCAACGATGCTCGTTTCGCTGCAGGATCGTCAGAGTCCAGCCCGGCTGTGACGAGACCTGGAAGGATCCATCCGCATTGAGGTTCTTGTATGACATCTTTCGGGTTTGTCATCGAGGCGCCAGAGCTTCTAGCGGCTGGGTGCATTTCTGGCCGTCACTCCTGCGCGTTGGTTGGATCCCTTAGTTTCTAAGCAGTTGTTTTCAGGCAGCAACTGATGAGAAACATGACGGCTTTTGCCTAGGTGCCATATTGTAAATGGTTCAACAACCTTGGACGCCCAATCCCGAAAAGGGGCTTGGGTCCCCTTACCGAATCTTCAAGGGTATATGCGTTTTCCAATAGTGTGTGGGGGTGAAACCGATCACTCTTGAGAGTATTTCTCTCAAAAGGAGGTGAATAGCAAGTTGCATCCCTCATGCCCTTTCTGTGTTTTACTGATACTTAATTCCATGTTTAACTTGAGTTGAGATCGAAGAAGAGGTATGCGTATGAAACTCGATGAGTGACTTCCTCATATTCCTCATATTGAACTACGGTTACCGGCAAACGAGTGAGTTGATTGCCTCGACGCAGCGTCGATACACCAACATGGCATTACCACTCCTAAACAATTCAATCGGAAATTTACGTCGGCAACTTGGGTTTACGAGACATTCTATACTATCACCATCTGCTGTATATTCTCTTCTCTACATAGGGTTGCACCTGGTCTACACGGCGTCGTGATGTCCCCTCCTCTTCAACCACTCTCTGAGAGGGCACCTTCCCATCCAAGCGAATACATACCCCACATACTACACCTGCCGCTTTCATTTTCCTTCTCAGATGGACATGAATCTCGTTATGGAAGGAACGTTTCATGATTTGTACCGCACAATACCTAGTGTACCCACCTGGGTACCTTAAAGTAGGTAGGTAGCTATACGGAAACTAGTACCGTCCTTTAACACCTGCCCCTCTCGTCGACGGCCACTGCCGTCGACCTTGGCTTGTCAACATCATCATCTACCTAGTTATCCACCTCTCATCCTCCCTCACGCTTCTACGGATCACATACGAACCCTTCTCACCCCAGAACCTACGAGAAATACCTCGGACTCGATAGTTCGCTGGCCCCCTACTGTGGTCAAGGCACAGCTTCACTTGCACCAACCACAGCGCCCGCTCCACTCTTGGGATATGATGTGTCGAAGTGTTCTCCTGATCCTCCTAGGATCGTTGATGACGCTGTCCTGTATCGAAAACGTCGGCGCGTTTTCATGGGGCGGTAATGGGGGGCGTTCGACCTTGCTCCAAGCATCGGAAGAGCGCATCGTGAACCCCTCAATTTCAACCCAGGACAAGTCACGCTTACCGAACGTCTACGCCGTTGCCATGCAGGAGCTTCAAGAGCTGGAGTCCGAACCTTTGTGCCATCGTATCGCTGCCAGCCTACTGGTCAACAACTGTCAGCTACTCGACGGCAAGGACGATGCTACCATTCTCACTGATAGCGGCAGACAAGTTCGCGATTTTGTAGACTCTTACGCCGCTAGTCTCGCCATTTGTGACCTTGAAAGAGGTAGTTTTGCCATTCCCTCGAGCTGCGCGCCATTTCGAGAGCGCTCTTTGGTAAATATACCCGACTCGAGCATTCCACGCCTTCACGCCTCCCCTCAACAAATCGACTCCTGTCTTTCGGGACTGGCTAAGTCAGACTCCGCATGGAACACTTGGGTCAGCTATCGTCACAAGGCTTTGAGATTCTGTGAAGCTGCTCGTGCGGATAACGAGAAAGGTACGCATGCCCCCATCCCGGACATTGAGATTGACGTTCACCATGTTCTATCTAGCCCAGAGCATTCGCCTCCACCAGCGACTTACAGAAGTTCTTTCTAAACTTTCCGAAGGAGTTGAACAAGAACTCGAGGCTCATCTTAGAACCATCAATATCCGAGCGACTGAGGCAACCGATCATCTACGGCACATGATTCCAGACATCGAACAGCTACGACATAACCTTCAGGATTTGGACCGGACAATTTCCGAGGATATGATTCAGATATCTCAGGTCAGTAACGTGCGATATAGTCCATACACATATCTAACTCGCGAGGTAGGAGTCAAAATCTATGATGAGAGACGGTCTTGAAGATGCTCAGAACCTACGTCAGCTGCTGGGCGTTCTTCTCAGAACGGTTATGAGCAACAATGCCGAAGTTGCGGCATCTCAAGAAATGGCGCTGGCAACTATCAGAGAGCACGCTAACTCCGAGTTTTCTGTTGTCATGTCTACGATTGCAACAGCTGCAGCGTCTTCCGCTTCTCTTCGGAGTTTGATGGTTGGCGCATTCAATCCTCTGAGATCGCACACTAAGCTGATCATGATTCAGGAGCTCTCACATGTTCGAGTGGTCGAGCTAGCTGATCGCCAAGAACACCTCGAGAAGGTGAGTAACATCACTTGAGTTTACTCATAGATTCTTAATTAACTTTTCACAGGGAATGATGAGACTACTAGACATCACCGAAGAACTCTCGTCGAGGTACGAGTCGCATACAGAGAAACTAGGCATGGCCCAGCAAATATCGGCCGATCTTCTTGAAACACTGGATGATATGGCGATGTCGACATCAGGGTTCCGTAACTCTCTAGGTCACGGAGCCAGCTGGATAAGCTGGATGCCATATGTCATCTGCCCAGCTGCATCTTTGCTCATGGGTTCGTACGGTCTTCCGCCGTCTGCGATCCGCAACATCGGGCTCATTGTGCTAGGTGAGCTGGAAGGCGCCATCCGTTTTATCGTCTTGAATGCTGATTTTCCTGCCAAAGGCGAAATGGCTGGCTTCGTTATATCTCACGCTCAAAACTTCACGTTGGGCGTTCTCAAGATCTCTCGGCCTGAGCTCCCCCCCTTCATCGACAAAAACACCACAATTGCTTTCCGTCCGGCAGAAAATGATATACTACACAGCCTACCGCTGAATATGCGCAAAACCAGCTGATTAAGGCCGCTGAGGGACGTTTACCGACCAACTATCATCAAAATATCTACACATCGAAATACTTACACGGTAATGACAACTGGTCTCGGGGATATTGACTTTGGCGTTCTTCATTGGCCGGTTTGCTAGACACTTTGCTCTTCATTTTCGAAATCAGACTGATGATGGGTTGTTTAACGAGAGGTGCCGAGGTGGCGGGATTGCAGCAGTAGGTAGAAGCGATGGGGTCGCCTCTGACATCATTTCTCGCAATATGGACTTCGCAAATCGCGCATTCGGGGTACATCGGTCAACTGACATCTTCTTCTATTCTTTTGCGACCACTAATACCAATGTATGCCAAGCTGCGGGGAATTACATGAACACTGCCACTCTTCATAGCCAGAACCTGACCTGCAACGAAACTTTGCTGTTGTCTCCGAACCATCTAACTGCCTTGAAGCTACGAAATTGCCTCCAAGACCAGACGAAGGATAGCGGCGATGGCGGATAGGTTCAAGATCGCACTCATACAAATGCATCCCAAGGTCAGCGAGCCCAAGACCACACCAAACAAAGACGCCCAAGCCGGGTTTAGCTCCCGCGTTCCTCTTTCATGCGCGCCTTGATCGTCAACCTGATTCACGCAGGACCCACGGCAACGCCAGGATACGGAACGGCCATAGAATAGTGTTCTAACAAGCATCACAGGTCGTCGCACCAGAAGACAACTTCGCCAAAGCAGAGTCGTACATTCGTTCAGCTGCTTCCCAAGGCTGCTCGCTTGCAGTCCTGCCCGAGTACCATCTCACGTCATGGGTCCCCGACCATCCCAAGTTTGTGCCGAGCTGCGCGCAATCCGGGGTCTACCTGGAGAAGTACCAGGCGCTGGCCAGAAATCTAGGTATCTCCATCGTACCGGGGACCATCATTGAACTCGACGGCGAAGAGGGCGACGACGACCTCAATCTCCTCAACGTCGCGTACTTCATCGGCCCGGACGGTGGCGTGCTAGGGCAGTATACTAAGAAGAACCTGTGGCACAACGAACGGCTGCACCTCACCAAGGGCCCGGAGCCGCACGGTGCCTTTGAAACGCCGCTGGGAAGGGCGGGGATGCTGGTGTGCTGGGACCTGGCGTTCCCTGAAGCGTTTCGGGAGCTCGTCCGTGACGGGGCGCGGGTAATCGTGTGCCCCGCCTTCTGGCTCGCTGACGAGTATAAGCGCGAGGACGGGGACGAGGGCGCACAGGTGGTGAACCGGGACTCGGAGAAGGTGTTTCTGGAGAACGTGATGGTGGCAAGGGCGTTTGAGAACACAGCCGCCGTGGTCCTTGTCAACGCGGGCGGGCCCGTGGGCGGGGGCGGGGTGGAAGTCCGAGAGAGCGGTGCGCGGGTGCGGTACTGTGGTGTTAGTCAGGTCGCGATGCCACTCATCGGGCCGCAGGGAAAGTTAGGCGCCGAGGAGGCGATGGAGGTCGTCGAGGTTGATCTTGGGCTGTTGGACGTTGCCGAGGGGGCGTACAAGGTGAGAGAGGATATGAAGAAGGAAGGGTGGCATTATGGATATTCCATCGTCAAGGAGTGAACAATAGGATGAGGATTATACACAGTTGGGAAGAAGTAGATAAAGAAAGGGAAGAGGAAGGGGGGGCTCCAAACAAGTGGAACAGAAACGAATGGATGGACAACAGGACACGAGATAGAAACATGTTGGCAAATAATGACGGTTCATAACGGATGGTCATTTATTACGGAAGCCCGCGTATCGGTGGCATGTATTGTTCTTCAAGGGAGCCAAGCCCCAGTCAAGAAAAAAAGAAAGAAAAAAGAGATTACCATATAACGGCATCCTCTGTCAGCTCACTGGGAGCTCTGAGCGACTTCATCCAGGTACGCCAAAAACTCTCTCCTCCGCTGGATCCGCTCTTGCGTGTGTTTCTTCACGAGATAATCCCAGTATTTTTGCAGCTTCGCCCGATGACGCCCAGCCTCCAAATTCCCGTCATCAACCCGTCGGAGCCGCCTATCATCGTTAGTCGTCCAGACCCCCTGCCAGTTGTTAGGCAGCTCCTTGTGCTTCTTGAGATGCTTGAGCAGATCTGTGGCTAGTGGAGTGCAGAGTGAAGTGGCCTTAAGCGCAGTAATGATATCCTTGCGCGCGTAGCCAAACGTGTCGAAGCGCTCAATCAAGTCCTCAAGCTCGGCAGTCTTATCTAACGAATCTTGAGAATCGGGGATGGCACGCTCTTTCCGTTCTTTGGGGGCTACTTCGATGGTCTCGGCGGGCAACCCTCGTGCGGTAGATGAGATTGTAGCCGGTTCCCTCTCAACCCCCTTACCCTTGTCCTTGAACGACAGAGGCATGGGTGTCACGAATTCCACAGCGTCTACCTCGCCAAGAAGCTGCTGTGACGGTGAAATGTCAAACTCGGCACTGCCTTGTGTTTCTTGTCTAGGGACATCTTCGAAGGCAAAGTCTTGAGTCTCTGGTTCGAAGCGACGAGCTCTCCTAGAAGGGGACTGCTCAACCTGTCCTTCCATATCTACGTCTTCCTCACCATGAATTACCCTGGGTCCCTGTCCGGCGCTGAGCGAGGGGCTGGGGCCAATGTTCCCAAAACTTGCGATACCTAACCTCTCGTCAGGAGTGGAAGGGATTTCATCATCTGAGGCAAAACGCTGTCTCTTTTTTCTACCATTTGGAGTTGATGGTGTACCGAGAGGATTCATGGCGATAGCCAGTCTTTTCTTGGAGGTGCTTAGAGTAGCATCTGATTGCATGTCTTGAGGTTTCGACAGGATTCCTAGGTCAAGCTCGTCCTTTTCTGACTGAGATGTTTCGTCGTCATCTTCGGATTCCGCATCGGGCTCGTCCAACACGCCACTGGCGGCAAATTCGAAGACATAGTCTGTGTAGTACTGCTGTAATGGCTGGGCAGCCTCGCTCTGCAGGCCTAGAGATTTCGCGGCTGCTTCCCAATCGATTTCAACACCTCCTTGCAGGTACTGGTCCCTGACGACTTGCCAAAGAAGATATGTGTCGATGGGTTGCCCATTGATTTTGGGATTGATGCCAAGGTCCAATTCGTTGATTCCGGAACCGGCGGCACCTTTCAACCTTCTAAACTCCCAGAATCCCTTCAGATGATCGAAGAAGAATTCTCTCGAGATACCTTGGGATGCTACGCCATCGCCTTGTGTCTCTGGCGTCTGAGTGCTGTAATCTTCTTCTGCTGTAGGCCGTGAGACTAGGGGCGCAACAGGCCCCGACGTCTTGGTGATGGGAAGAGTATCGAGTTGCCTGGCCTGTTCATTTTGTCGACTTAATTGACCGCTGCAGGCGGTGTCTTGCTTAAGCGTGTGGTTATTCATGGACAGCTCCTTAGGTAAAGGATTCTTTCCCTCAAAATCTTCATCTAGCAATGGTTTCAAAATGTCTGTCCAATGCTTTCTCCAGGCAACCAAAGAGTGGCTGGTATTCTGTCGCGTGTCAGCTCGGTGTTCATGTTCACCAAGGAAGAAGTGCAACGTACTCTGTCTGCGAATGCCTGGAAAAAGCGGGTAGTGAGTGGAGGGCCATGCTCCCTGGCCGCCTGTATAAGTTCATCATCTTCAGCCTTGGTGAACTTGTTTCTCTTCGAGGGAGTCAGTTCTGGTTTGGCTTCAGCCCGCGGTGTCTCCGCTGCCGGCAGTTGCGCAACAGCTGGTGCAACAGGGGCGAGCGATCGTCTCCTTCCTGCTTGAGCTATTTCGGGGAATGGTGTTGAATGCTGGATATCAGGAGCGGAAGCGACCAAGCTGTCAAGTGCCGCTTGAGACAACTTGGAGACCTTCTTCACCCAGCGATCTCTCCAAGACTGCCTAGTATGGCGATTGTTCTTTTATACATCAGTGGCCCGCTAGAGTATACTTCTGAAGGAGAAACCCACCATCTCCTCAAGTGTTTTATATACTTCATTGCCGCTTCTCTTGTTTATTGGGTGCGAGAGCACCCATTTGGCAAGTATCGCATCGTCGGCTGCAGTGAATGGAGTGCGGGTTCCCTTGAGTGGCGCCGACAACGCGGGAGAACGAGAAGACCCGACCAGACGCGAAGTGATAGGCGACTGGTGAATCAAATACTTATCAGTCTCCTGTATAGCACCGTTATCGACGGAATCCTTGATAAATTTCCAATGAAGTGACGTGGACGGATATTCTGGCCTGGGATGATCGGCGATGATTATGTCCGCCTTATTAGTATCCGTCTTGACGATCTTGCCGCCGTTTTGCTATTAACGTAAGCCTAGAATTTCACCGTGTAAGGAGCGCGGGCGCAGACGTACTGTGATTAGATCCAGGATGGTCTTCCTATCGGGAACGCGCTGGAAAACATAGAAACTAGTCTCCTTGAAGAGCACACCTCGGGCACCGGGCACCCCGCTGTATGTGGTTGCTGCTGACATTCTGTGAGATCAACTATATTCTGGAAGGGATACCAAGCGGGTGGTCTCGGTAGATTCAATCTGTCCAGTCCTGAAGATGCCTTGCGTGTCGCTGATTGTGGGCTCACACAAGCGGTTGAGATGATAGAGAGTTTGCGTGTACCGGGGCAGACACCGAGAGGTATGAACTGCAGGCGCCAGGTGGGGAAGCACGTATTGGTGTATTTTTTAAACGTGACGAGGGGATTCGCAGAGAGGTTGCGCTTATCAGCGAGGTCGGATTTCCCAACTAGGCGAACATGAATATGGGACCAGACGACGACCACTCTTGCGTTTGATGCAAGGAAAATGGATGTTGTTGTTTGGCTCAAGCCTGATAGACAGATCTGCAGATGACTCTTTGTCTCGTGCAACCTTGTTACACTGATGCAGTGACGCGCAGCTTCCTGTCTGCGTCGCGTGATCACGTGTGGACAAAGAATTCATGCACCTAGAGGACATAACTCTATAAAGGCTATATGGCCTTCCTCCAACGAAACGCCACGACCTCTACTGGCCGATACAACAATCAATGCTCTGGCACATTTGATGACATCGCTCTCAATGAACCTTCGTCGTACCGAGTGCTTCAAGCCTTCTCATCGGTCAATCAGCCCATGTCTGACAAAAAAGTATAGTGAGACCAGCCGGTGTTCTTGTAGCTCCAAGATCATTGGGACGCGGTGGGCCTTGGCTGACACCTCAGGTTTTATCCACTCACTACCGCCGCTAACTTGAGCTTCTTACTGCACTGCCCGCTTCAGCCGATCTAAAACTCGAGCCTGACGAGACACCTTTAGACAAACGCTTGTCTCCTTCACCGTTTCCTCTCCAATAAACTATGATTCACGAGAAGTGATAGTAGCTTGAAACTCAGTCATCATGGGAACTTTAAGGAATGCGGCTCTCTTTGTGTTGGGCATCTCTTTCATGGTCTTTGTCGCCTTCTTCGGCCGGCTACCGGCTTTAAGGTTCGTAACCTCACCCAGTTCGTCGGGAGTTGGACCTACCGTATATAGCTTGAAAGATTTATTTGCTAACCACCAGCAGGCACACACCTATCGCAACGCTGCATAGAGTCATGTGGATCCGTATCCCGGACGGCTTCCTAGCTGTAGACAGACTTCTGACTGGAGGAAGGTTCTCAACCTCCATGATGCGCTTCGGCAACTACATGATGTATGACCGGCATCCCACTGTGGTCGTAAGTGGCTGGATAAGAGAACAAATACCGTGCCCTCGTTGTTCAGACGAGCTGACATCCGCAGATCTTCTTCCTTCTCATCCTTTCCGTGTCGGAATACTTATACCTACCTGGCGCCTGGCCCCAGCTCTCTAGCTTCCACAAAGTCACCGGTTCCATCGCCGTTGTGCTTCCATACCTCTTTCTCTACCTCTCCGTCACGGCCGACCCGGGCTACATCACACCCGCGAACCACGCATACTACATGTCCCTCTATCCTTACGACTACTCCATCTTCTTCCCTGGCCAGATGTGTAGCACCTGTAACCTCATCAAGCCGCCCCGCTCCAAGCACTGCAGCATCTGCAAGCGCTGCGTCGCCAAGCTTGACCACCATTGTATATTTATCAACGGCTGTGTAGGCTACCAAAACCAACACTACTTCGTTCTGCTCTTGCTGTCCACGGCCGTTCTCACCTCGTATGGTGCTCTACTCGGCTTCTCCCTGCTGGCTGGCAAGATTGGCTCGCAGTATCCAACGTGGTCGTTCTGGCCACCAAAGGGCATGGAGGTCAAAGAGTACCTGCTCATCTGGAGCTGGGCCCTGCAAGACAGTGTCGGTATGGGCGCCGTCACTCTGCTCGCTGCCATGACGTCGCCCTTGGTCTGGGGGTTACTAAGCTACACTGTCTGGCTGATCTACTGCGGCACCACCACCAACGAATCGCTGAAGTGGTCGGACTGGAAGGCCGAGATGGACGATGGCTGTGCTTTCAAGCGCAGCATGTCCGCGAATCGTGTAAAGGACACGCGTTTCGAGCCAAAGCGGACGCGCTGGCCTCTAGAGGCTGTGCAGGTACTGGCGAGGACCGACGACGGGATGCCTCCCCCCGATCACGGGCCGGGTGCGGGTGAATGGGAGCGGGTCTGGAATCTGAAAGATGTTGAAAACCTGTACGACCTGGGTCTATGGGATAACTTGGCAGACATTTTCGTCTCCAACTACGACTTCAATGTCAAGCGCGATCAGCCACCCGTGGAGAATCCCGGACGATAGAGGCACGCATCTAAATCTTGACCCTTGTAGCCACAT